ATTTGTGGATTTTCTGCTTTTGCCTTCAGTCTCTCTTTTATTTTATTTTTTTTGCTCTGTGGTTCACACCCAGTGATGCACAGGGGTTATTCCTGGCTCTTCACTCAGGAATTACTCCTGGTGGTGCTGGAGGGACCGTTATGGGATGCTGGGAATTGAACCCGGGTCGGCCGCATGCAAGGCAAACGCCCTACCCCATGTGCTATCTCTCCAGCCCCTTTTTTTTAGTCTCTCTTTATTTTTGGCTTTTGCCTTCAAATAAAGATTTTTTTAACAACACCCCCCGCCCAATCCATTGAGCTTTTGTAGGGGATAGAAAAGGGAAGATCTTCAGTCAGAGGAAAATAAAATCAGTGGTGAATATTTAATTTACAGATAGAGAGTACAGGGGTTAAAGAGCTTGCCTTGCATGTGGTCAGTCAAGATTCTATTACAGGAGCAACCCCCAGCTCAGAGCCAACAGTTTACCAGCTACTCAGGTCCCCATCCCCCCCATCAGTTCATAGATCAACATAGCAAATATTCACTCTGTAAGGAAACTCCTGAAGAAGCTTCCTGTGCTTTCTACAAAATCGCCCTACTGGGTTTTTTTTTTTTTGGTTTTGGGGTCACACCCAGCTGTATCCAGGGTTTGCTCCTGGCTCTGGACTCAGGGGTCACTCCTGGTGGAGCTCAGAGGATCATATGTGGTGCCAGGGATCAAACCCTGGTATGAGGCATTCAAGGCAAATGCCTTTCCCCCTCAGGTCCTAACAACGGTTGCTTTTTTACCAGGCACGGGAGATGGGGAGAATGGGCTCTACGGAAGCCAAACTATGCAGTGTTTCACTTACATGTCCTGGTCCTTAATTCAGTTGCAAAACCTTCCTGGTTTGAGCAGCTCGGAAGGAGAAACTGACTTAAAGAATCCGAGGTCTATCATTTCTGCCCAGAGGGGAAAGGGTGTTGCCCCATTCGCCCTCTCCTCTCTGGAAAGAAAGATGGCGGCCACATGGGAGCCTTGTGGACAGCAGGTATGAGCCGGGAGTGTGGGGGCGACTAAAACCTCATGGGAAGGGGGGCGTTTCGGTCCGCCCTTCACGCCCTACCGAGGCCACAAGTTGCCCCCACGAGCGGCTCTCCAGCACGGCCACGACTCCAGAACACAGAAACCAATTTCTTAACTATCTGACTTTCAGTAGAAATACTTCCAGGGTCAATAGGTAAAATAGCAGAAATCCAAAACCAACATTTAATTATTGTTGTAATAATAATTACAGCTGTAGAAAGCAAATCACTTCACAATGCTTTTTCAGCATGTCTGATTTGGGGGGGGGGTAAACTCTAAATAATAGTGGTGAATCTTTTATTGAAACAATGAATCTAATCAAAGCAGATAGAGTGTTAACTAGAATTCATCTGCCTCACAGGGGAGGGGTGGGGGGTGGGGTTTTATTGGGGTTCTTCATGGTAAAAAATAAGTATTGGTAAAGGGAAATGTGTTTGATATTTGCATGACTGAGACCTAAACCTGAAAGCTTTGTAACCTTTCCCACAGTGATTCAATAAATAAATAAATAAATTTAAAAAAAAAAAAAGAATCCGAGGCCTGACGCTGGGGCTGCGTAGGCTGGCACTATCAAAATGAAAAAGACCTGTGCATAAAGGAAGAGAGAAAAGGGAGAAGCCCGGGAAATTCTTTTGGGGAATGCTTCAACTCAGTAAGATTCCTCTACCTCTACACTTGGTCCCTAGTGCCTAGTGCCACATGCCCCCTTCCCCTCCATACTGGGAGTGACCCCCACCCCCAGCACAGAGTCCAGAGTAACCCGGGAGTATCTCTGGTGTGACCTCCAAACAAGAAAAATAAATATTCTTCCACGATTCCTTGCAAGGGGCTGGCCAGCCGCCTCAAGACCAGAGCTGACCTCAAGACATGGGAAGACTGCGTCCCAGCAGGCAGAGAGACTGTTTACACAACAGCTGGCTTCCACCCAATGCCAGGCACTGAGCCAAGCTCACCTGGAGGCCAGCAAACCTGAGCCGTGGAATGTAGAGGCAGAGCGCGCGGTCGGGGGAGGGTGGGGGGCAAGCTGCTGGGCTACAGAGCTAGCCACCTTGCAGAACTTGTAGTTTGGACCTAGGGGAAAAGGCCTCGCGTGATTCCTCGAAAACCTCGCGGACTTCCGGGAGAAAGATCTGCGGGAGCGGGGAGGCTGGTGGCCTTCGAAACTAGAAAGCAGGGGTGGGATTCGGCCGTTGTAGCGCTTTACATCCGCGGTCACCCTGGAGGCGGATCTGCTACGTGGGTCCCAGGCTCGGGTCCAGGGAAGGGAAACTGGACCCACGGCCGCGGAGCAAAAGCGGTTGCTCGGGAAACGGGGAGGCGGAGCAGCCGGGTCTAGCTTTGATTGACAGGTTGGCGCAGCGGGGGCGGGACTCTGCTTCTGACTGGCTGGAGCCCTCAGGGGCGTGGCTTACGTAGGACCGACAGAGGCTCGGGGCGGGGCGGGTTTGAGATTGACCCGACACACTTGCGTGGGAGGAACCGGGCCTTGCCTCTGCCTGGGGGCGCGCCAGACCCGACCAGGCAAGGCTGGTACGATGGTCACGAACCCACAGGGCAGGAGCTGAGCTGACTAACCAGCAGTCCTTAGCCATCCTCATGCCTTTTCCATGTATGGCCTGGCTCAAGCCATATTTCTCCTTAGAGCGTGGGAGGGGAAAAGCAAGTTTATTTTATCTTGGTCTTGGCCAGGCAGGGACTCTGGGACAGAGTCAGCGGAAAGCTAGCAGAGAAGGATCTAGAAGCACTAGAGAAAGAAGGGGACCAAGAGCAGAGCAGGTGATCCGCACAGTTACTGTTTTCTGGGGGAAGTTCCAAGTATGAGGAGGCACTTTGGAAAATGTCGGATTTGGCCCTAGAAAGCCTCTGAAGTTAGCCGAAAGCTACCTTTTCTTCCTCTACTTGGAAAACCTGCCATGGAATTAGGAAGCTGACAGAGGTGTCTTTCTAACTCCCACTCTGGGGTCAGTGTTACCACAGATAATTGTTGTAAAATAATTCTGGATGATCATTTCACAGACATTCCTGCACTTCATGTCTCATAGTTTTATAAAGATTTTTATCTTGGGCAACACTTGGCGATGCTCAGGGGTACTACTGGCACTCAGGAATCACTCGTGGCGGTGCTCAGCAGACCAGATGGGATACAAGGCCCGCCATGTGCAAGGCAAATGCCCTCCCTGCTGTACTATCTCTTCAACCCCAAGATTTTCTAATAAAAGCACAATGCCTCCCCATTTCCGAAGTGTAACACAATGCCACTTTTCTTTTTTCTGTTTTTGAGCCACACCTGGCAGAGCTCAGGTCATATGTGGTGCTGGGGACCAAACCTGGGTTGGCCATATGAAAGGCAAGTACTCATCCTTTGTACTCTCTCTGGCTCATGGTTTCAAGGCCAAAGCAGTTAACTGCAAAGGTTCAGGGCAGTTCCTTAGGACTGGGTGGGAGTGCTGGTTCTGATTGGCAGAACAGGATGTAACTGAAATGAATGATCCAAATGTCCTACTTCACTAGAATGGAAATCTTTGCTTAGACTTGGCGCGTTTGCCTTGCACGCAGCCAACATGGCCGACCCGAGTTCGATTCCTCCGCCCCTCTCAGAGAGCCCGGCAAGCTACCGAGAGTATTCGATATGCCAGACACAGTAACAACAAAGTCTCCAATGGAGACGTTACTGGGCCCGCTCGAGCAAATCGATGATCAACGGGAGGGCCTTTACTTTACTTTACTTACTTTTAGACTTGATCTACAAAACCCTTTAGCCTAGCAACTCTCAGTGACTTTAGTAAAAGGTCTGTGTGTACTCTCTTAGGAGCCAGTTTTGCTGACTGGTAAACAAATTATGCCCCAGAAGGAGATACCCTGGAATGTCACCAGGACTAGGAAAATAGCCTCAAATTTGCCTGGTGGCCAGCAAGTGAAGAAGAAATTCAGAATTGCCCAGAATCTAGTCTCCGCACCTGCCAAGCTGTGTAGCTTTTGGCAATGTTCTCAACGTCTTAAAACCTGTGCTAAGAATAGAAACACGATGTCAGCCCCACAGGAGTGACTGTGAAGATAAATAGTTCTGTAGGAAAGGGCATGCTTTGGTCCTGGGTTTGATCCACAACGCCAGAGGGTGGGGGTGGGGTAGGCTAGGAGTGAAGGGTCTTTCCTTGTACACATCCGACCCCTACTTAATCCCCAGTATCACAATGCTCCCCTGAACATCGCCAGGCATCATCCCTGAGCACAGAGGCAGGATAAGCACTGAGCACTGGCGCAATTACTCCCTCCCAGAAGAAACAATGGGAATTGCATATGTGGGAGGAAATGGGAGAGTCTGGGGTAGGGATAGGGTATTACTGGCAAATGACCTCTGTCAGGCTGGTTCAGGTGCTGTCTCAATGGTGGCGTGGAGGGACATGGGGAGGACGTGCTGGCCTGCAGACTTCTCTGACGGAGCTGGGCAGACCTTGGCTCTCTACCTTCTTTTCTCCAGAGGCCTCCCTGGTCCCAGAGGCTACTACCCCATACCTAATGCCCAAAGGAAATCAAGAAGCCCAGAGTCTGAGCTGGTGCAGAGCTGTGTGACAGTGAAGCAAAGTGACCAGTAATCCACAGCTAAGAAGAAAGCCACTCTCCACACCTAACCCCAGGACTCAGGGAGCAGGTATACTGATTCTCCAATCCCAGAGCGCCCTCTGCTGGGGCCGGAGGCCCCGAACAGAAGAGACAGCAGGAGCGGAGGCCCCAGCCAGACTTTGTAGGACCAGAAAGGCAGGCCCCAGGGCAGGACACTCATCATGGGCACTCAGAACATGCAATCAGGATCAAGCAGCTTGCTTTCAGTTTATTGAGTGACAATGGCGCCCTAACTTGTATCACGAGTGACACGGGGCTGGGGAAGCAGGAAAGTGCTAGAGTCCTGGGCCTCTTTGCCACTCCTTCCCTTAGGCAGATTTTCCGGAGTGGAGTACACGGCCAGCTGCTTTGGGGGGTCGGCCAGCACACACCCAAGCCTACTTCCTCTTTAAATGGCCCCTTCTTCTCTCAAGGGTGGAGGAGGTAGGAATAGGGCCAAACCTCAAGAAAGAGCAAGAGCAAGCAAGGCTTGGGGTTCTGTGGAGTGTCGACGGAACACCAAGCACCCTGTGTTCACACTGTACAGCTGGGGCCAGCTGCCCTCCAGTGGGTATTTTGGCCACCCCGCCCCCCAGAAGCCTCAGGCGGGTAAGCACCGTTCCCACAGTGGGGTGCTATGTCAGAGGTTCCCGAGCTCTGGAGAGGGACTGCTGCTCAGCCTTTGGGGCTTCAGGGTTTGGGGACGAGAGTGGGAGTGTTTTGATTTGAAGTGCTGAAGTCAGAGCTGGCCAAGAACTCTTCAATCTGTGCCTAAAGATGCCCACATTGCGATGTTGGGGAGGGGGGGTGGAGGGGAGGATGGCAGAAGCAGCCCAGGACACTCCTTTGTTCTCGACCCTTAACCTCTTGCGGGATGTGAGGGAGGACCCTGAGTGTCCCTCAGTCTCTGTCCTGAGATCCGGAGGCTTCTCCCAAGTGGAGGAGTGCTGTCGGAGACAACGTGGCTGGTGTGTTTCAGGAAGGGAAAGTCCTGTAGCCTGCCTGGCTGGCAGGGGACAGGAGGCTGGGAAGGGAAGCCAGAGGGCAGGCCGGGCCAGCGTGTCTTCCCCTGGCTTCCGGGATGATGTGGACACACACACACACGCACACCATGTACGTATCTAGGTAGACATACAGGAGCAAGAGAAAGGGGTACAGGCCCTGCTCCCTGAAACCACAGGGGAGAGAGAAAGGCTTATGGGGCACCTCTCCCAGCCGAAGGATTGCTGGTCTCAAAGGCTGCTCCTTCCGCAAACCCCTGCCCAGTCCCAGATAGACAGCGTGTGGCAAGGATGCAAGGTTCCACCAAGCAGTCGCCCCAGGAGCTCGGGCAGGGCGACAGGCTCTCACGTTCCCTCAAAGCCCCTTGTTGTAGTAAGCCACTTCCATGTTGGGGTTCCGCTCATGGATCTGAGCTCTGAGCTCTGGCTCCAGTCTGCTGACGTGGATGGAGCTGCAAGAGAAGCGCAGGGCAGGCTAAGTCTGCCCAGGACCTGCCCCGCGTGGGCGAAGGGAGCGCCAGCCCTCCTCCCAGGCCAAAGAATCTCCTTTAACTGCCAATTGTCCTCGGTAGTCCTCCACCTCCAGACCCGCTGCATGCTGCCAGGCCTCTGTCTGGAATGCACCAAGTGACCCTCGGGTCAGTTGGTTCCCGTGAGCCCTGGCCAGAGCCTCCCATCAAGACTTTTGGATTTTTTTTTTTGAGCCACATCCTGAAAGGTCCAGGGACTGCACCTGGTTCTACCCTCAGGAATCAGGAATCACTCCTGGCAAAGCTCACAGGACCATATGGGAGGCCGGAAATCTCATCCAGGTGGGCTGTTCGCAAGGCAAGCGCCCTACTCACTATACTATCTCTTCTGCCCTCCAGCCAAGCCTTCTGCAGCACTTACCTTTTCTGGGGAAACAGGGCGCAGCACAGGGGCGTGGCAAACACCAGGCTGGGGGATAGAGCATTGGAAAGGTTTGTGAAGCTTTGTCCTAAGGCTGATCTCCCTGCTGGACCCTACACCATCTCCAGAGAGAGCCCTAGGATTGGAGATTGATGAAATCGCACCCTGGTACACTGGAATCAGACAGAGGCGAGAGCCTTCAGCGGGGTTCTGGAGCCCCCCAGTCAATGAGCAGCAGGATCAAGAATAAAAGTGCATGGAACTCCTGACTGGTCCCCCAAAGTGCATTTCCATGGTTTCAATTTATAAAGACTGGAGCCCCTTCAGCTGGGCCCTTGACCCTCCAGGGCAGCCCCAGCATGCCTGCAGACAGTCACACCCCTCCCCCGCAACTGCTGCGTGTGTGAATGAGTGATGAACATAAACATCTTATTTGTTTCATTTTATTTGGGGGTGTTAGGTCACACCCTGCGGAGCTCAGGCGCTATTCCTGGCTCTGTGCTTGAGTGACCAACCATATGCGATGTCAGGGAGTCAAACTGACGCCTTACCCGGGTACCATATCTCCGGGCTGAACACAGACATCCTAAAAGCAAGAAAACCACCACCCGAGCCCACCCAGGAACTGCCCGTGCACTTACCAGAAGCCCACGAGTCCCACCTGCAGGGGTGCCCCCAGCCAGGGACGACGCTGTAAGGAGAAAGAACGGAACCTGGCCTGTATCCCGGGGACCCCTACCCCATTTCACCTGCCCCTTTCCCTTCTCTGAAATCCATAACGACCAAGTCAGGACATCCAGACCTCCCCCTCCCCCCACTCCAGTCAGACCTGCTTGCCCACAGGCTCCAGTTGTTCCAGCCTCCCAAACTGGGGCAACTCCACCCCTCACCCCTTTCTCTTCCCTCGCCTGCTTTCTTCAGCAAGTCATTACCCATCCCCAGTGGGCAGGAAGCTGGCTCCCTGTCTCATCCAGCAGTGCTCAGGGGCTACTCCTGGCTCTGTGCTTGAGGACTGCTCTTGGAGGGGGCGCAAAACCAGGGCTTCTGCATGCAAAGCCCCTGCTCCAGCCCACTGAGCTATCCCTGCTGCCCCCTGCTAAACACAGCCCTTGCCCTGCACCCGTTCCACCATTCACTGCACCACTCTGCTCCTCCCACTGGGGTCCCAAGCTGGGGCTCAGGAAAGCCTGGGACCTCAGCTTGACAGATGTGCCAGCCTGGAAATTTCTGCCCTCTGTTTCTCTGGCCCGCTGGGGCATGTGTGAGCCTGTGTAGTCACAGGGTGAAGGGTGACAACACGAGCATGTTGTGACTAGGGGACCGGGGCTGTCACAAACTTCCTGACCAGAAACCATTTCCTTCCTCCCCTCCTGGCTCTCCCCCTGCTCTTAAAGCCCCCCCCCCACCAACCCAGCCTGGATTCTTGTTTTTTGTTGTCCTGGTGGTGTCGGGAATCAAACCCAGGTCCTCACACCTGCAGGGGGAGTGCCAATCTGCTGAGCCACACCCCTCCTTTCCCCTCAGGGATTCATTCCTGCCCAGCAATGGGAGGAGATGGATGGCAAGTCTCAGTGTGTTGGCAGGAGGCCACACAGGAGAGAGGGCGCGCAGTCGCATTCCGGCGGGGAAGGTGAGGGCGGCCTTACCTTCAGGAAGGCCTTCTTCTCCAGCGTGTTCATGATCACAGGGGGGATAGCTGAGGGGCGGAAGGGGAGCAGGGATTAGTGGAGAGAGGGTCAGAACCTTTTTTTTTTTTTTTTTTTCTTTTTGGGTCACTCCTGGCTCTGCATTCAGAAATTACTCCTGGTGGTGCTCGGGGGGACCATATGGGATGCTGGGAATCGAACCCAGGTCGGCCACGTGCAAGGCAAACGCCCTACCTGCTGTACTATAGCTCCAGTCCCAGGGTCAGAACCTTAAGGAAGGACAGACCCCCTCTCCCCTGCAGAGTTTCACAGCTCCTGGAATCCTCAACCCCAGAAGGTTCCCTGCTTTCTCTTAGAGCCTCCCAGTGCCCAGGCACCACCTGGCCTCACCCATCGCTGGAATCGCCATGCAGATTCGCGACACGACGACCTGGAAGATTCCCTGCTGGGCCGCAGTCACCGAGTGGCCCAGCCGCTGACCAGACTCATCTGTTATCGGGATACCCACCTGCAGCTCCCTGGGAATGGGAGAGGATGGGAGTCACATCACAGGCCCCAAGTGCCCCAAGTGCCCCCTGGAAGTCCTATTCCTGGCTTTGCACTCAGGAATCATTCCTGGCGGTGCTCGGGGACCATATGGGATGATGGGAATCGAACCTGGGTCAGCCACGTGCAAGGCAAACACCGTACCCGCTGTGCTATTGCTCCAACCCCTCCTTGGCCAGCTCTTTCCTGAGGTCCCCTCAGATGTTCTATTATTTTGTTCAGGGACTATGCCCAGCAGTGTTCAGCATCACTCTTGACTCTACTCAGGGATCACTCCTGGAGGTGCTTAGGGGACCATTTTTGGTGTTGGGGATAGAACCAGGGTTTGCTGCATGCAAGGCAAGCACCTGAACCCCTGTGATATCTCTCTGTCCCACACTCAAATGATTCAGATTTAAAGGCGACTTCTCCCAGCCCAGGACCCCTACCTAGACAGTGATGACCCGCCCCCCAACCCCACAGCACACGGTGTGGGGCATGGAGAAGTGTCCCCACTGTGGGCTGGTATGCGTGGTGGGTGGGGTGAGCTAAGCCTCCTAGATCGGGCCTCATCTCCAAGGTTCCTCTTTCCATGAAGAGCTGAGCTAGGTCTTGGTCCCCCCACAGTGCCCAGGGCCACTCACCTCTGCCTCATGAGGGGGATGTTGATGCAGTTGGCAGCAGCCACAGCAGCAAAGGGGACAAACCTGCCCACGAGTGGAGGCAGGTGCTGTGGAGGAAGGAGGCCACTGAGGGGCCCTGAGGGCCACAGGTAAAGAGACAGCTGGGAGCCGCAGGCCGGGTAGAGGGTGGATGGGGGGGATAGGGAAGGAGGTGAGGGGGAAAGGGTCTTGGGGGTCGCATGGGAAAGGGGCCCCTACCTTGGTGAGCGATTTGAGTCCCAGAGCTGTGGCCACCGCCCCAGTGGTGGCACTCACATACGCTGTCCCCAACTGCCTGCGGAGGATGGAAGGACCAAGGGGGAAGTGAGCGGCCCATGGGGGGATCCTTCTGTCAGGGACAGGTTGGGTCACCACACCCCAACACAAGAGGTATGGGACTGTGGCCTCACAGCAGAAATGAACCCCCCAAGCTCCTTATTGTCCACATGTCCAGAGGCCCCAATCCCTTCCCTTGAAGAAGAGCAGCGGGTCCCCCAAAACAGGAGGCCCCACACTCAGTTCAGGAAAGAGGGGCTCAGGGATAGAGGAGCCTGGCTGCCTGGGCCCTCCCTCCAGGAGCAGGAGGGGCACTGGGGGTGGGGAGACGAGTCCCCATCCTGCTGCCACTCTCTAGGGAACCAGACTCACCCCATGGTGATGGGGGCGTCGCCGCTGCGGTTGGAGTAGTTGACGATGGCGTTGAATGACTGATTCACCCACTGCCAGAACACCACGGTGGGGGTCTTCCTGAGGGAACATGCACACTTACTTCCACCCCTCGCCAGGGTTCCCCATCCCTGCACCCCAACAGGAGGTCCACAAGGTTACTTTCAAACCCTCAAGGTGCACCCAGCAGAAGACTGGGAACTGCGCTGGGGACCCCTCTCCAGGCCCACAGATCCACTCAGGGGGGCAGACCCGAGGCCTGAGTGCCGAGGAGATGAGGGGTCTGGATGGCAGCACTCTGGGCCCACTGGCCCTGACATAGGGGGAGCACCCGGGGGGACGTGCCTGTAGAAGGTGAGCATGCAGCCGGTGATGGTCATGTTCATGGGCACCTGTGCCGACATGCGGCCGATCAGGACCAGCTTCTCCCCCGTGTCGGGATGGAAGGCAGAATCATACACGTACTTGGCCCGCCAGAGCTGGTCCTCGGTGAGCCCTGGGCTTACCACGCCGGCCCTGCAGAGGTTGGCAGGAGGCATTTTAGGGGGCAAATCTGTCCTCCCAAGCCCCACACACCCAGCTTACAGCAAATTGTTATAGGGGACCAGGAACTTCGATCCCTGGTCTCAGAACAATGGTGCTTCTTGTGTCTCAAAGGAAAGAGGCCAGGCTTCCTAGAAGTGAGGGCCCCTACTTCTTCCTTTCTGGTCACTTAAAGAGAATTGTCCTTTTGGGCTGGAAAGATAAAACAGTGGGTGCTTGCCTTGCACACAGCCAAGTTTGATCCCCGGTACCACATATGGTTCCTCGTCCCCACCAGGAATGATCCCTGAACTCAGAACAGGAATAAGCACGGCCAGGTGTGCCTCCCCGCACCCCAAACACAGAGAGGAAAGAGGAGAGGGGAGAGGGGAGAGGGGGGGAGAGAGAGAGAGAGAGAGAGAGAGAGAAAGAGAGATTGATTCCCTTAAAACTGCCCAATCGGGGCTGGAGCGACGGCACAGCAGGTACGGCATTTGCCTCACACGCGGCTGACCCGGGTTCAATTCCCAGAAATCCCCAAGCACTGCCAGGAGTGATTCCTGAGTGCATGAGCCAGGAGTAACCCCTGTGCATCGCTGGGTGTGACCCAAAAAGCAATAAATAAATAAATAAATATAAAACTGCCCGATCACTGGTGGAGGGATGGGTACTCGATCACTGTATGACTGAAACCCAAGCACGAAAGTTTGTAAGTCTACAACTGTACCTCATGGTGTTTCACTAATAAAAAATAATAATTTAAAAAAGTAAAACTGCCCAAATGCTGGATCGTGCATAAAGATGGTTTGAAACACAGCTCCTCCCTCCTTGGAAATTTGAATGCCTCCAGAAGGATCCCCAGCAGAGAACCAGATCCTGGAGACCAGTGGTTTTCAACCTTTCACACCTGCACACCAGCCCTGTCCTCAAAACAGCAGATGAAAGCCATTGCCTTAAAAGGGCTTCCGACCCACCCACACTATCAGCAACACCTCCTCAAGCCCGACACCTTAAAATCCTTTTTTCAGTTCTGTGTTGCAGACAGGACCTGGGGTAAGGGGTCTGAGGGTCACCCACCCTCCAAACCGGGGAGTCAGGGGCAGAAGGTCCATTGGAGTGGCAAGAAGGTGGCACCCAGGGTCCAGGGTCACAGGGGTAGGGGGGTCACCTGTAGTTCTGCACGATGTTCCGAGACGCTTCCAGCTGTGCCTCAGACAGAAGCAGATTCCGGGGGTCAGTTACAGTGAAGAAGTGCCGGGCTCTGCCCATGAAAGTGCTCTGGTCCCAGCGAGGTTCCTGGATGTTGATATCTAAGGGCAGCTCACCCATTTTCTGCAGGGCAGGGATCAGGATCAGAGGCCTCCAAGCAGGGGGTCCAAGGCTCTGCGTGGGAGCCTGAGCCAGTTCCCCGGGCCTACTGCCAATCCCTTCCAGAGCTCAAGGTGACTCCAGATAGGTAAGCAAGGGGCGGGGGAGGAGCTGCTTTCTAGCCCATGTCCAGCAGCAGCTATGGGAGGAGAGTGCAGGGGAGAACAGCAACAGGAAAATAGATCTCCTTACACACACACACACACACACACACACACACACACACACACACACACCGGGTCAGCATGGCTTTTCACTTAGGTGTGCAGTTGATCTACGAGCAGCCATGACCCCAAGCAACTGCTCTCCTGCTCCATCTGCACAAACTATATGATGTGCATGACACATCCATGCTGGTGGCAGCTCTGGGCCCAGCAGTCTTGAGACCTAGTTGCAACTCCCCCAGGCTGTTAAGATGGTATAAGCCAACCCACACCCTAGTCCCTGGCTGGAGGAAAGCCAGAGCTCCCTGGCCACCCCTGGGCTTATATATCTTCCAGATCTTTAACAAGACACATGCCAGCCCACGATGTGCGCTCATGGGCATGCGCCAGCCCCCATTCTTCTCCCTCAACCTCCCTGTTTCCCAGCTGACATCTGGCCCCAACGACCTCCCCAGGAGCTTCCAGCTTCCAGAAGGGACACATGCCCCTCTACAAGGCAGAGAGGAAAAAGCCGGAGCTGCCATCTGGCTGTGTAGAGCAAAATCCTGCAGAATGACTAATCCTCTCCAACCAGACTTCCTCCCTCCCTGCAGACACACCCTCCCCTCCCCACATACCCACACACAAAGACACATCACACATGCCCTCCACAGACACAACAGGGTGGGCACGCCCTGCATACCCTGGCTCACAAAACCCGCTACTTACACTTACACAAACACAAACACACACACACACACACTGCGTCTCCGTATCTATCAGCGGCAGCATTAGAATGCATGACCGCACGAGCCCCACCCTGATCCCCCCACCATCAATGCCCCAAGGACCGCCCTAGAGCCGGAGACACGGAACCCGCAGAGTTCAAGCAGCCTCCTTCCCCCTGACCCCCACCCCTACGCTCCCGACTCGCCCAGCACGGCCAGCACTCACGCACCCCAACAATCCCGGGCTCCAGAGCTCCCGGCCTCCGCTACTGTCAGACCCGCCTTCCTCTCTGCGCAGCAGCCCCGCTCCCGCCCAACACGTAGCGTCACGAGGGGCTCCGGCCAGCAAGGGGGCGGGGCTCGCTGGGAGCGTCCGCCCGGCGTGCCCGCGGATTGGCCGAGCCTGGGGGGCGGGATGCTCCTCGAGGCCACGCCCCCAGCTCCGGCCTCCGGGACCCTCCCCGACGCCGCTTCCCGGAGCCAATCGGAGCTCTCAGATCTGTGCCGGTGCCGGCCGCATCCCCGGGAGCAGGGGGCGGCGGCGCGGGCACCGTGCCCTTTGCTTACGGTTCCCTGGCTGACCTCGGGTGGCACCCCGCCTCTGCTGCAAGGGGTCTCAGGCTGCAGGGCAAGGGCGGGCAGCGAGGAGGGGCGGTTCTCGGGTGGTGCCCCCCCACCCCCACCCCCCAGACTCGGGTTACAGTGCGGCTTGTTTACTTGGCTGCCTCGGCATTGGCCTTGCCTACTTGGCCCCCTGGACTCCTACCCCAGTTCCCATAAGCACCTCACCGTTCACACCCCCATTCTTCCCTGCTGTGCCCCTGCTGTGCCCCTGCTATGTCCCCAGCTTTTACCTCTTCTCCGGCCCTTTCGCCCCTAACTCCAATCTCTGTATACCCCAGCCCCCAATCCCTACCCCTGGACCACAGACCCTAGTTCCAGTCCCTGCCATGGACTCATGGAGGTCAGAAGACTCAAGGCACCTCCGTCTGCATCCAACGAGTAGGTAAGAAGGGGTCAGAGCGATAGCCCAGCTGATTGGGCGCTTGTCTGCACGCAGCTACCCCGGCTCGATCCTTGCCATTCCATGTGGTCCCACAAACACCTGTTTGGCACCAGGAGTGATGTTTGAGTGTAGAGTCAGGAGTAAGCCCTGCGCACCGTTGGGTGTGGCCCCAAAATAAAACACAACAACACGAGAGTCAATGAGAAAGGAGTTTCCACCCCTCGGGTGCAGGTCCCAGACGCCCCCTCTGCGTTCTTTCCATCCCTGGGTGGCCAGAGCTGCATTTTCTGACCGGGCTCCACCACACCTGCACCCACACCCCGTCATCCCCCGTGCACCAGCCTCGCTTCTGCCCAGGGGCAACTCCCTGTCCCCCAGAGACCTCAGAGGTGACTTTGGGAGATGGCAAGTCCCTGAGCCCTGGGATCATCCGGGTCTGAAGATAGCGCTTCTGGGGCTCCCTCAGGGCACAGGCAGGGCGAGCCGAGATCCCAGTTATACTTTTCTGGGGCGGGGTGACTCTTCCGAATTCGAATTCGAGGCCACACATTCCAGGGGGCAATCGGCAAGCCTGGTGGCCCAAGGGAGGAGGAGCATGGCGGTGACTGGCAGGCCACCTAGCCAATGGGAGCGCGAGGCAGCGCAGGCCGGCCCCGTTCACCAACTGGGAGCCGGGGCTGGTTCCCCGACAGCTGCAGTCCGCACCCCGCTGGCGGGCGAGGCCAGGAGGACCACACTCAGGAGCCAGGTGACAGGTGCAGGGTGCGGGCCGGGAGGATGGAGTCGGGCCGCGCGGTGCTGCGTTTTGGGTCCCAGGGCGAGTCTGAGGGAATTGAGCCCACGTTTTGCGTGGGGTGCTGGGAGGGGTTCAGGTCCTCCCAGGTAACTGCCGGGAACCAGGGAATCCCTGGGGGCCAGGGAGTGTGGGGTCCTGGGCGGCATCTGTCCTCGGTCCTGACCCCCGAGAAGGGTGGTGTAGAACTGTCCGCATCCCAGCCCGTGACACCTCTATTCTCCTCTCTCCTCTACCGAGAGCGGTAAAGAGGGGAAGAGGTGCCCCCAGTCCGGGCGTAAATAGCCCCGAAAGTCCACCAGGTGCGTGGATGACGGGGTGCTTAGAGCCCGCCAGGGCAGAATGCTCCACGCGGGTGAGGATGGGAGTTCTGGAGAGCCAGGCAGAATCACCCCACTCACACACCTCCCCAACCTCTGCTCTCTCTGTGCAGGTCTGAACCGCCTGTGGTGGGGGGCTCCGGTGACTGAGACACCCCCCTACCACCGCCAACACACGCACAGAAGGCTTATGGAGCCCAGAGCCCTGGTGGCGCCGTCCCTCCAAGACTAGGGGCTCCTTCGGGACCCCGGGGCGCTGTGCCACAGCATGGCACAGGGGTTCGTGGTGGGCGAGCCCCCCAGCCCCGGAGACCTGAGCTCCAGCTCTCTGAGCTCCCTCTCGCTGTCCTCCCACGGCCACCTGCCTGGTGACTCGGTTGGGTCCGCAACGCGATACCTGCTGAGGAAGCAGCAGCGGCTGCTGAATGGGCCCCCGCGCGGAATCCGAGCCTCCTCGCCCATGGGGCGCGTCATCCTCATCAACTCCCCCATCGAAGGTGGGGCCCGGGCGTGGAGGCTGGGGGTGGGCTGGGGGTCAACGGTGGGCATCAGGCAGGAGCCCACTGGAGTTTTAGGTATGGGGGTGGGTGGGCTCTGGAAAACTATGTGTTCTTTTTGGTTGTTATTGGGGGCGGACAGGTATTCCAGTGACTCCCAGCTCAGGGTTGAGGGCCACCCCTGGTGGTATTGGGGGACCATGCAGTTCCAGGGATGAAACCCGAGGCTCCTGCACACAAATCCTGCACTCCAGCTCATGGCGGACAGAACAAAAGGCTTTGGGCTCTAGAGCAGATGTTCCCAAGAGGAGAGTGAAGGGCCCAGAGGGAGCCTGCAGTCTGGTCCCTGGAGGAGAGAAAGAGCTGACTTTATGACATTCCTTAATACCATCTAATTTACAAACCCATAGTCCCCTATTCCATATTGGCCCTGGCCCGGCAGAAGGAGACCAAGAGAGACATAAGGCTCAGCTTTCACCTTCTAGAAATGCCAGTGAGGCTGAGGAAATAGTCAAAAGGCTGGAGTACATGCTTTGCATGTAGGAGGTGCATATTTGGGGGTTGGAGAGAGCATACAGCAGGCAAGGCACTTGCCTTGCACACAGCTGACCTGGCTTTGATCCCCAGTATCATATATGGTCCTCTGAGCTACTCCAGGAGTGATCACTGAGCATTTCTGGGTGTGGCCCAAAAAGCAAAAACATAAAAACAGGTTTGAACTTTGGCACCTCATGGACCCCCAAACATACCTTGGAGCAACCTCCCACTGCTGAGTTGCAAGTTGCCCTGATACGTGCAAAAAACAGAAAGAAAGAGAGATGGCAGTATAGGTGGACTTGAAAAGGATACCAAGGAGAGAGAGAGAGCTAGGTGTGGGAAAACAAAAGCCAGTGGCAGAAAGAAGGAGATGGAGGGGTGGGTTCCTAGGAGTCAGCCCGACTGCAGTGACAGGTGTGAGGCAACAAAGGCAGAACCTGGAGCAAGTCTGACCTTGAATGCCAGCATGGAGGGGGCGGGGGCGGGGGAGTTGGCTGAGCTGGGCCTTCTGGTCAGGTGCAGATAAGTATCTTCTGCTCCTCCCTGCTCAGCCATCGGAACCTTCCTGGCTGCTTCCCATACCGGACCCGTCAGCCCCGTCCATCTCCCGCTTCCTCTGAACCAGCTGAGCACCTCATGCCTGGGCTAGATTTTGGCCCAGGGGCAGAACGCTCTGTTCCAAGGTGGGATTTCCTACCCAGTGGCCTGGCCTGTTCCCTGCTCCCTCACCCTACTTGGCCTGACTTAAAGAGGAGCAGCAGGAACTGCTTAAGGCCACACGACTGTCATTCTGGTCATTGAGCAGAAATCCCCAGAGGGACCAGGAGATCTGGGGGGGAAGGAGAAGCCAGCAGCATGGCCCTTGTCGGGCCCCCTTTATTTAGATCTGTGCTCTATTCCTCCCCTTAGCTGGAACTCGGATGCAGCTGTGGATTCTGTACTGCCAAAGAACCGCCTTCATGGTGGGGAGCTGGCTCGAGAAGCTGGGGTACAAGCTTTGGATGGTCAGAACCCTGGACTTGCCTCCCTAGCACTGCTAGCCATGGCCAAAGAACAAATGAAAGACCCTCGTCTAGCGGTCCTGAGACTCCCCTTAGACGGGGGTGCAGCGGGCAGAGAGAGTAGCTTCTACTAACAGCAGGAGATCTGGGCTCTGGCCCTGGCTAACTGGCCCCTGGCCTATCTGGGCTGGAAGTGTGAGATTCTCAACATCTCCTACTTCACTGCAGCCTGGATCTCTCCCTGGGTTCCTATCGAGACCCATTCCAAGACAAAAAAGTCCCCCAGAAGAGAGGGAAACACTGGGAAGAACAAAGACATACATGTTACTGCCACGTAGTCCCATAGCCCCCCTCAGACTCAGCTGAACCTGGAGAAGCTCCAATGACTTTAATCCAAACCCGCCCTTTCACTTTGTATCAATCATTCATTCACTCATTCATTCATCTACCCACTTACCTCCTTATTTATTCAAAAGTTACCTAGCATGATCCCTGAGCACAGAACCAGGAATAAGCTCTGAGCACTGCTAGTCGTGCCCCAAATGCTTCCGCCTGCAAAACAAAACAAAACTACATAGCAAATACCTAGTATTGTTAAACATATTTGGAAGACCTGTAAGAAAAAAGTAAGAAAGTCCTGGGGCTGGGGAAATAGTCCAAGTTAACAGGTCATGTGTCTTGTATGTGTGAGGCCTTGAATTTGATTCCTGATACTATTAAACCTGAACATCACTAAAGATGTCCCCTATTTTTTAAAAAGAATCAGCAGAAGAAGGAACCAAAGATATAGTTCAAAGGACCAAGAACAGGCCTCACATGCCAGAGGCCTGGGTTTGATCCCTGGAAACTCATGGTCCCCCGGCACCACTGGGAGTGATCTCTGAGCACGGAGTCTCCAATATCCCTCCAAACACTGCAATTTGTAAGTGGGGGGAAAAAAGAGGAGAAGGAGAAGAAGTCTAGTAACTAGAGATACAATATAGTGGGTAAGAGACTTGCCTTGCATGAGGTTGATTCCAGTTTGATTTCTGGAACCAAGCACTCCCCCAGGCACCACTAGGGATGACCTCCTAGTACAAAACCAGGAGTATTGACTGGGTACTGCTGAGTGTGACCCCACAACCTCCTCTTCCTGCCCCCCAAAAGAAGATAATTATGGTGATTGAACTTACCTTCTAAAGAAAAGTTAGAAAACAGCAAGTCACAAACAAATCACCCAATAAGAAAGCTGGCTTCAGCTCTGGGGCGCTAGGAGAGAAGGGTTCTCGGATTTGAATACACCAGAATTGCTTGGTTAGACAGATTGCGATTCTTTTTTTTTTTTTTTTCCCTCTACACTGGGCGATGCTTAGGGCCTCCTTCTTACTCTGCACTCAGGAATTACTCCTGGCGGTGTTTGGGGATTATATGGGATGCTGGGGATAGAATCCAGGTTGGGCATGTGCAAGGCAAGTGCCCTACCTGCTGTACTGTCTCCAGCCCCCTTTTTTTCTTTAAATTATTTTTTCTTTTTGGGTCACACCTGGCAATGCTCAGGGGTTATTCCTGGCTCATGCACTCAGGAATTACTACTGGTGGTGCTCGGGGGACCATATGAGATGCTGGGAATCGAACCAGGGTCGGCCATGTTGGCTGCGTGCAAGGCGAATGCCCTACCTGCTGTGCTATCGCTCCAGCGCCTCTTTAAATTATTTTGATTAAGGAAACTCTATGGTTTGTACAAGTGCAAATGTTCATGGTTTAGGGGTGGAAAGCTTCTAACTTTGGAGAGTCTGCAGGAAGCCTAAAGACCTCCCACACTGAAAAAGTTCTGGGAGTGTGATGGAGGGGGTTCCCCCCTAGGTGGGGTTCTCCCGGAAGGCTGAGAGAACAGCGCTGCCATGTAAGGTCCAGGTCAAGGATCACAGGATCATGGACTCGAGGAGGCCAGTTACGGTGAGCAGAGGTGACGGGAGAGAGGTGAACAGTGGAAGCCCACAAAGGAAGGAGTGTATAGTTCCTTCTAGAAGTAGAGAAAGGAGTTGAAGTTTTCAGTCATGGGGCCAGAGAGCTAGCTGGAGTGCTTGCCGAGCATGCAGGAGGACTGTCCAATGCCCAACACCGCATGGTCCCCCAAGCACTGGGTCAGGAGCAGTCCCCGAACACTGCCAACTGTGGTCCCAAAAACCGAACCCAAAACTAAGACAAACAGGGGCCAAAGAGATAGTACAGGGGCTAAGGTACAGGCTTTGCTTGCGGTCAGTTTCTGTTCAATCCCCAGCACCATGTATGGTCCCCTAAGTATTGCCAGAAGTGATCCTGGAGCACAGTCTGGGGTGGCCCCCAACCAAAACCACAAGACAAACAAAAACCCTGAAACTTGACAAGGAAAAGCCTTGATTAAAACTTTAGCCTTGTGCCTATGGGAGAGCTGGACAATGGCCAGGAGTGGACAGTGGAAGCCAAAGGGGTCTCCTGGCTCCTGGGCTCAAAATTTCATGTTCAGAGCCAGAAAAGTAGCTCAGTGGTAGAGGGCAGGGCTCAGATATGCATGGCCCTCCCTGGATTCGGAAAATTATGGGGAATTTTTGTTGTTGTTGTTGTTGTTGTTGTTTTTGTGTCAGTGCTTGGGGGTTACTCCTGGTTCTGTGAAATCACTTCTGGTGGTGCTCAGGGGATGCCGGGGATTAGACCCGGATTGGCTGCATGCAACGCTACCCTCTGTACTATCACTCCAGCCCCAAAAACCCAATTTTCTATCCCCCATGGAAGGAAAGGAGAACAAAAGCTCCTGACGAGCAGAAAGCAACCAGAAGACCCAGGGTTCCCCTCACCTCTGTCCTGTCCTGCCCACAGGCTGCCCTTGAGGAATTCTTCCTGAACCTCCCTGGCCGTTTACTGAGACGTACTTTCTTTGAGATCACAATGGCATGTGTGTGTCTGTCTGTCTGTCTGTCTGTGTATCTGTGTATCTGTGTCTGTGTATCTATGTGTCTGTGTGTCTGTGTGTTAGATCTCCCTCTCAACAGCTAGAAGTTTTATTTATTCTTTTTTTTTTTTTGCTTTTTGGGTCACACCCGGTGATGCTCAGGGGTTACTCCTGGCTCATGCACTCAGAAATCACTCCTGGCGGTGCTCGGGGGACCATATGGGATGCTGGGAATTGAACCTGTGTTGGCCATGTTGGCTGCGTGCAAGGCAAACGCCCTACCCACTGTGCTATCGCTCCAGCCCCATTCTTTTTTTTAATTGAAAAATTTGTAACTGTGAGATACAGTTACAAAGCTTTCATGTTTGAGTTTCAGTGATACAATGATGGAACACCCATCCCTCCACCAGTGCACCCATCATTCATTTTTTTAAGGAGCTTCTCAAGTGGTGCCCAGGAGGCCTGGGCACCTTCCTAGGAATTCTCAGACAAATAGGCTGAGAGTTTATTGCAAAAGCCTGAGGATAATAGGCTGCTCAAGACATGTGGTGCTGGGGTAACCCAGAGTCACCCCACAGTACTAGGAGTCTCCATAGTCATGCTGGGGGCCTCTAGGACCTCCTCTGGGACCAGATGGTGCTGGGACTCGAACCTGGGCCAGGCACATATTAGCTTTATATGCCCTCTCTGATGTCCTCTCTCCTGGTCCTCGTGTGGCCTCATCAAGACAAGCTCACCTTCTTTTCGGGATGCCAGGCCTACTCGGTCCCACACTTTCCTGGAAGACCTCATCTCACTCAGCTCCTCATCAGCATCTGCCCTTTCTCCTCTCCACTGCCAGTTTTCCCCATCGTAATCCCCAAATCCTCTCCTGACTGCTGTAGACCTAGGGCGCCCCTGCTCTGGCCTCCCCAGCCCTGGCTGCAGCCTGCCTTCATGCTGTTTCTCTGCTGTGTCCTCCTGGGGTCCTCCCTCACAATCACCAAGCCTCAAGGGTAGGGGCCCCAGGAATCCTTTCAGCACATCCTGGCCAAGGGTTTACCAAGTCTCAGTTTCCACGTCTCTAGTGATGGAGAGCTTACTGTCCTGAAAAACTCATTCCACTGCCTGACAGCTGAAAGTTTGGGTTTGATTTGGGGACCACACCCTGTGTAGCTTGAGGGTTTTTCCCCCAGTTTGGTGCTCAGAAGTCATTCCCAGCAGTGCTATTTGGGGGCCATGCCGTGCTGTGGATCTAGGGGACCCTCCAGCACCATCTTGATCAGCTCAGCCCATAAAGCTTTTCTCTCTAGCCCCATCTGAAAGTGGTTTTTTTTTGTGGTTTTGTTTCATTTTGGGGTAATAAGCAGTGGTGCTCAGGACTCACTCACCCCGGCTCTGAAATCAGGGCGCACTCTTGGGGGACCATATGGGATGCCAGGGATTGAACCCAGGTTAGCTGCATGCAAGGCAAGTGCCAGACCCACTGTACTATCATTCTAGCTCCATGTTTGTTTGTGTTTTTGCATGGTGTCAGGGCTCGAATCCAGGGCCTCATACACGCAAGGTTAGGGCTCTCCCACTGAGCCGTGTTCCCAGCTCCAATCAACAGGGCTTTCTACAGTTTTCCCTTCCCGAATCTGCTTCCGTCTGATTGCCCTCTAAGGGCTTTGTGCTGTGCTCTGAGTAACACAAGCAAAAACATCTGACACCTTTCCCAGAATACCCACTCGGCTGTTTGAAGCCAGAGCTGCTTTGCTTTTGTGCTGGAGGCTGAAGAACCCAGACTCCCTCGCGGGGCCCACAGAACATCTCCTGTCCCTCTGAAGGCCACATAGCTGGGTTTTAGGAGCCTGACCCAGTCGCACCTTTGATCACGCAGAGTTCACTGAGCCTCGGACACTGCAGATGCACCCCTGTGATGAGGAAGGAAGAGCACTGTTCTCTGGCTGGAGTCCTGTCCTGCTGGCTACACACCAGCCCTGGCCCAGGGCCCCTAAACCCCCAAAGAGGACTCCGAAACTGGCTGCCCTCCCTTTTAGCCCCTGGTACCTTGTGCCCAAGCCAGCAAGACAGCCTTTGCACACCCAGGGTCCCCTGTGACCAGAGCGGGCCTCGAGCTCTGCCTCTGTGCACCCCACAGCCAACAGTGACGAGAGCGACGTCATCCATGCCGTCCGGGTGGAGAAGAGCCCAGGCGGGAGGCTGGGTTTCAGCGTGCGCGGCGGCTCCGAGCACGGCCTGGGCATCTTCGTCAGCAAGGTGGAGGAGGGGAGCAGTGCAGGTGCGCGGGTCCCAGGGCGGGATGCGAGCTCAGGACGTGACCCCCACCTCCTTCCTTGGTGCAGTATGGGGCGCCTCGATCAGAGACCCCGCGCCTTATGTGGGAATTCCCAGTCACCTTGACACCAAGGGGTCTGGTCTGAGGGGGGAGGTTCATCCTGGCCTGATGGAAGAGGTTCAGTCTGGTCTGAAAAGGGAGGCGCACCTGTGGGAGGTAGGGGATATCTCGCCCTCCCAGGTGGTCCATGCCCGCCCCCTGCCCCTGCAGAGCGCGCGGGCCTATGTGTGGGGGACAAGATCACAGAGGTGAACGGGCTGAGCCTGGAGAGCACCACCATGGGCAGCGCCGTGAGGACGCTGACGGGGAGCAGCTGCCTGCACATGACGGTGAGACGCATGGGCCGCGTGCCGGCCATCAAGTTCTCCAAGGAGAAGACCACGTGGTGAGAAGGCGGCCGCGCCCCTCCCAGTCCCCTCCAGGACACCAGGGCTGCCATTCCCCAGCACCTGCCCTGGAAACCCAGGGATCCAGGTCCGGACTGAAAGGAGAAAAGGCCACACAGCTCATGAGCCTCCCCCAACAACTGTGTGAGCCACAATGCCGGTGACCCTGTCCACTGCTTCTGTCCCCAGACTGGCTGCTGTGAGCTCAGGGACAATGACTGCCTCTCCCTCAGGCCACGGGAGGATTCAAAATGGGACCTGGGACATAGTAGCTGCTCATTAAAAAGAGCTGTGGGGAACAGAGAAGTAGCCCAAGGAACTGATGTAGATGCAAAGGCCTGGGTTCAAGTCTAGGTCCCTTTTCCCTCCCCCCAGCACCATTGCGTGTAGCCAGCACTAAGAGGGAGACACCCTTCAAAAAATAAGAGAAGGAGGGCAGGAATAATAGTACAGCAAGGAGGGTGCTTCCCTTGTATGCTGCCAATCCATGTTTAATCCCAGGCATCCCATAGATTCCTCCGAGCCTGTCAGGAATGATCCCTGACCACCCTGTGGTCCCCCCACCAAAAAAAAAAAGCCAATGATATAAATTGCTATACATCTGATTCTTAATAAAAGAAACTGAATGATGAAAGAAAGAAAGGAAGGAAGGAAAGAAAGAAAGAAGGAAGGAAGGAAAACAAAAGAAGGGAGAGCCAGAGACAAAGTACAGTGAGTAGGCACTTGCCTTGGCCTTGCATGCAGCCAACCCCAGTTCAATCCCTGGCACCATATATGGTCTCTAAGCCCTGCCAGGAGTGATAAACTGAGCACATAGCCAGGAGTAAGCCCTGAACAGCACTCAGTGTGACCCCAAAACCAAACCAAACCAAACCAAAAAGCCAAACATGGGCCAGAGCAATAGTTCAGTGGGGAGGGCATTTGCTTGAATGCGGCTGACCTGGGGTTCAATCCCCGGCATCCCATATGGTCTCCCAAGCACTGCCAGGAGTAATTCCTGAGTGCAGAGCCAGGAGTAACCCCTGAGCATCGCCAGGTATGACCCCAAAAGCCAAAAAAAATTAAAAAGTCAAACAAAAAAAGTTTGGCGAGAGGACCATTTCCCAGATTTGAAGAATCCATAGTGCCATAGAAGCCCCGGCCGTGCAGTGGTCTTTGTGCGGGCTGTGGGGGCCCGGGGGGACGCAGGCGAGGCCCTGGCTGTGCTCCCAGGGTGGACGTGGTGAACCGGAGGCTGGTGGTGGAGAAATGCGGCTCCTCGCGCTCCGACAGCAGCTCTGAGGATGGGGCGCGACGCATCGTGCACCTCTACACTACCTCCGACGACTTCTGCCTGGGCTTCAACATCCGCGGAGGCAAGGAGTTCGGCCTGGGCATCTACGTGTCCAAGTGAGCCCCCACCAGGACTGGGAAGGGCTTGGGGGGGGCGGGGCACTACTAGAAGCTACAGTTCTGCAGTGAGACCCCAGGGGGGCGGTGGAGGGGCCCTTGGAGAAGTTGGGGTTTGCTTGCGGGAACCAGGGGCACTGCTCGGTCTTGAAGAGGCCGAATGGGGGTGGGGGAGGGCGGCGAGGCCCTTCCCAGGTGTTGCCTGTGTCACTCCAGAGTGGACCATGGCGGGCTGGCCGAGGAGCATGGCATCAAGGTGGGGGACCAGGTGCTGGCAGCCAACGGTGTCAGGTTCGATGACCTCAGCCACAGCCAGGCCGTGGAGGTGCTCAAAGGCCAGACCCACATCATGCTGACCATCAAGGTGGGCAGGAGCAGGAGGGGGGTGAGAGGGTGCCCCTCGCTGGAGCCCTCGTCCTGCTGCTTCCAGCCTCTCCCTGCATCTGGGCAGGGTAACCCGTCCGCTCCACACGGGCAGAGGGACAAACCGGGGCTCAGAGTGTCTGGCTCTCAGGCCCCCTCGGACAACGCCCCTTCTCATGTGTGCTGGCCAACTGGGCTTGGAGGGAGAAGGGGGGTGGGCGCTGTGCCTTTGGGGATGGATATTCTCCGGGCTGGAGCCAGAGATTGGATTTCAGGGCAGGCGCTGGATCCATTATTCATGGAGGACTCATGGGCCCGCGGGGCCTTCCCTGCTCCCCAGGCCGCTCCTTGCTCTCTCCTCATGCCCAGTGCTGGCCCTGAACACCCTCCTTCGCTCTCCAGCTCATTCCTCACACCACATTCACCACCACCCCCACCCACACCCCCACCTCTGTCCCTCCTCCTCCTCCTCTTCTCCCCTTCCTCCCTCTTCATTGGCCTCACTTCTTTTCCACACATCCCTTCATCCATCCATCCAGCAGTCTTTGCTGTTGTTTGGAGCCACACCCAGCAGAACTCAGGAGTTACTCCGGACTAGCCCGGTTGGGAGGGCACATTGGATGCCGGGGATGTGAACCCCGGTTGGCTGCATGCAAGGGTTGGCTCCCCTCTGGACTTTTTATTTATTTATTTATTTATTGCTTTTTGGGTTATACCCAGCGATGTACAGAGGTTATTCCTGGCTCTGCACTCAGGAATTACCCCTGGCAGTGCTCAGGAGACCATATGGGATGCTGGGAATCGAACCCGGGTCGGCCGTGTGCAAGGCAAATGCCCTACTCTCTGTGCTATTGCTCCAGCCCCTATCACAGCAGTCTTAAGCACTGTACATGACCTCCCTGTGCCCAGCCCCAGGGCTACCTCACTGGACACACGAGGTCTCTGATCCTGGGGACAGACAAACACATACACTAGGTACTTGCAGATTGAGGCCATTACTCCAAGCTGGACAGGGTCTCAGGCAGGCCACTCTCTCCTGAGGGGGGCCACGGAGGAAGAGAACCCAGGCCAACAGAACAGGGGGACAAAGGACTGAGGCATAAAGGGCCATGTCATGGGCGGTTGTGTCCACTGTTTCCCCATTTTGAGGGGCTTTGTTTTGACGCCTTACCCAGGGATGTGCAGGAGTTACTCCTAGGCCAGTGCTCCGGGGTCAACCCCAGCTGTGCCGGGGGGACTATGTGGTGCAGGGTGGGCCTGCCACGCTACACTCAGCCTGTTGATCTGTCTCTCCAACTGTATTTCCCTGTTTCCACATGGCCCCCTCCCTGCTGTGCCTGCGGTGCCCTTCCCAGGAGACTGGCCGCTACCCTGCCTACAAGGAGATGGTCTCTGAGTACTGTTGGCTGGACCGACGTAAGTACTCCGCCCGGGACGCTCAGGGAAAAGGCCGGGCCCCCAGGTAGGGCAGTTACTGCAGGGGTGCAAGGTCTTTTGGAGAAGCTGCAGGTTTGGGCCCGGGGGGCTCCTGAAGAGGTGACTCACCTCAGATGGCGGGACCAGGGCCTCCTGGAGTGGCCCACTCCATGCCCATCGGGTTGCGGAGAAGCTAGCCAGGCAGGGCCTAGCTAAGGCTCCCGACGCACTGTCCCTTCCCCACATCCGTCTGTCTGTCCGCAGTGAGCAACGGGGCACTGCAGCAGCTGTCCCCCACCTCTGAGAGCAGCTCCAGCGTGTCCTCGTTCGCCTCCAGCGCCCCCTACAGCTCAGCCGAGGGCTCCCTCCCCTCCGACCGCATGGACGTGTGCCTGGGCCCAGAGGAGCCCAGCTGGGGCCGGGCAGACACGGCCATGCAGACAGAGCCGGAGCCGGGGGGCCGCGTGGAGACCTGGTGCAGCGTGCGCCCCACTGTCATCCTCAGGGACACGGCCATCCGCTCCGAGGCGCCCGCAGCTCCCCGCCGCCTGGACTCCGCCCTCTCGGAGTCCCCCAAGACTGCTCTGCTGCTGGCGCTTAGTCGGCCCCGGCCCCCCATCACTCGCTCCCAGAGCCACCTGACTTTGTGGGGTACGTGGGGGGGTGGGGGGTGGGGAAGGCGGTCACTGCTCTCTCCAAATCTCCGTCCTGCATCCCACAGCCTGACCCGGGCGCGTCCCTCTCCTCCTCCCGGCCTCAACCAAGCCCCAGCCCAGAACCCAGAATCAGCTCTGGTTTTGGGGTCCAGGCCCCAAACCCACCCCCCCTCAGCCCTAGTCCCAGGTCCCGTCAGATTAGGCTCCAAACCAGTCCCTCCGTCCTGCACACACGCGCAGACGCAGGTGCATGTTCGTGTGCATGCAGACACATCCATGTGCGTGCAAACACATCCATGTGCGTGCAGACACCGGTATGTACACATACGAACACGTGTCCATGCATGCATACATACATATGCACGCACAGACACAGGTGTGCACACCTGCTTCTTGGTGAAGAGTTTCCACACAACTGTGGGGTATGGAGGCAGAAAGTTGGAAGCAGCACCCCATCCATAGCCCCCCGTTCTCATCCCTGTCCTCTCACGTGGATGCAGATCCTGTCTGCCCCCTTTCTCTCTGCTCCTCCCCGCACCCCTGTCCCCTTCTTCCTTCCCTTCTGCCCACCCCTCCAGCCCTCCCGGGTGATCCCTCGTGTCTGCAGAGGAGAAGAAGCAGCGGAAGAAGGAGAAGTTGGGGTCCTCTGGGGAGAAAGGGGCCCTGCAGCGCTCCAAGACGCTGATGAACCTCTTCTTCAAGGGAGGGCGGCAGGGCCGGCTGGCAGGGGACGGGCACAGAGAGGCCTGGACGCTGGATGGCCGGAGCCCCGCTAGGTGGCGCCCTCGTCTGGACATGGAGAAAGGCAAGTACCAGGCTCAGTCCTGCAAACCCTTCTTAGGGTTCTGAGTCAGTTGTATCCCCACAGAGCCTCAATCTTCTTGTGCGTGAAGTGGGATTACCAATACCTCTATTCCTTCTGTCCCTTCCTCCCTCCCTTCCTTCCTTTTTTCCTTGGTTTCTCTCTTTCTTCCTTGATTTCTTTCTTTTCCTTCCTTCCTCCCTCCCTCCCTCCCTCCCTCCCTCCCTCCCTCCCTTCCTTCCTTCCTTCCTTCCTTCCCTCCCTTCCTTCCTTCCTTCCTTCCTTCCTTCCTTCCTTCCTTCCTTCTTGCCACACCCAGTAGTGCTCAGGGCATTCTCCTGGCTCTGTTCTGCACTCAAGGATCACTCCTGGAGGGTTCCAGGGACCATATGCAGTGACAAGGATTGAACCCGGGTGATCCATGTGCAAGGCAAGAGCCTTCGCCCCTGCACTATCTCTCGGGCCCATCATATCTATTTCTTTAGGAACAGGAAAGACCCAGCGCAGCTCGGTTCATTTCTGGCCCAGGAAGGGCACAGAGACCTGAGGGAGTCACCCGGAGCTTTGTGCTGTGGCAGATGACACTGCTTTCCCAGAGTATTCGGCATCACTGCCAGTGCTCAGAGTGCCATGGAACAAACCTAGTTCTAAAGCCATCTTTTTATTTTTTTTTTGGCAGGGGCGGGGGGCAGGGGATGACCACACCCAGTGCTGTTCAGGGGTTACTCCTGGCTCTGTACTCAGGAATTACTACTGGCAGTGGTTTGGGGGACCATATGAGAAAGCCGGGGGTTGAACCTGAGTTGACTGCATGCAAGACAAGTACTACTGTTCTGTCTCTCTGGCCCTAAAGCCATCTTCAGCAAGGCCACATCTAGGTGAGAAGACAGACAGAAGGGCCTGAGCAGACTTTGTGACCAGGACCGCTCCCCTCTCCCGGTTCAGAGACCAGCTGAGTGGATGAGCAGACCCCTGGGTTTGCCTGGGGCAGAAACTCAAATCACCTTGGATTTTTGTTTGCTTGTTTGGGGGCCACACCCAGTGATACTCAGAGGTTACTCCTGGCTTTGCACTCAGGAATTATTCCTAGCAGTGCTCAGGGAACCATATGGGATGTTAAGGATGGACGCTGGGGGTCAAACCTGGGTGAGCTGTGTGCAAGGCAAGTGCCCTCGCATCACCTTTGAAAAGAACTTGCCATGAGGTGGTGTTGCTGCGTGACAGCCTCTCAACACTGGCCTTCTTCACCTTTGGCTTCCTCTCCCCTGGGCTGGCTCCAGTGTCCTGTAGGGCAGCGAGAGCCTCTTCTCAAATCCTTCCAGCCCAAGCCCCAGGCAGGACACTTGCCCAGCAGACCCCAGTGTCCCGGTGCAGAGATCTTGGGCCATTCATTGCCAGACACGGGGTGGGGTGAGTCCCCCTTGAAATCTGGGTGCTGATTCCAGAAGAGATTGGTATTGCATGGCAAAAACAAGCAGAGGACAAAACCCCAAGCTCCGCCCCTTGAGGACAGTCCCCTCACACTCTTCCGGTCAGAGTGGCAAGGCCCTCCCTCAGCTGCCACCTGCCACAGTCCACCAGGTCTCTCTATCGCCTGCCACCTCTCCGACCTCGCCCTCCTCTTTTCTCTGAAGGCAGGTGCTCCCCAAGTGTTGTCCTTAGGCTTAGGCCACTATATGTTTGCTGAGTAACCGCACCATCTCTCTTTTGTTCTTTTTGGGTCATACCCTGCAATGCACAGGGGTTACTCCTGGCTCATGCACTCAGGAATTACTCCTAGTGGTGCTTGGGGGGCCATTTGGGATGCTGGGAATCGAACCCAGATCAGTCGCGTGCAAGGCAAACGCCCGACCCAATGTGCTATTGCTCCAGCCCCCACCCTGTCTGTCGACCCCAAACCTTCCCTGGGCAGGTTCCCAGGGCCTGTGGGTGAAGCCTCGGGCCTGAGCCCGACCTCCAGGCCTCACTGCCTTCAACCTGAGCACTCTGAGCCAGCCTGGGGGTCTAGCCAGCTCTGGCTCCCCGCCCACCCAGCCATCTCTCCAGTCTCCTTTCAGATGGGGGTGCCGGGCCCAGCACTGAGCTTCTTTCTTCTCCCTAGCAGGGAGCGTGGGCCCCGTGCAGAAGTCTGTGACCTGGAGACTGAGACGTGGTAATCCACCGACCCCGTCCTGAGGCCGGTTTCCTGTGGACCTGCAAGTGGGGTGCATGTCTGGGAGAGCTCCGGGGCTCTGGGCCTCAGTGTCTGAGTCAGTCAAGTCTGAGGGTCACAGAGAGAGAGAGAGAGAGAGGGAGAGAGAGAGAGAGAGAGAGAGAGAGAGAGAGGCGAAGGGTGTGGTTAGAAAGAACTGGATGGGGCTGGAGCAATAGTACAGCAGCGGGGAGAGTGTTTTCCTTGCACGCAGGGGACCCGGGTTCAATCCCCGGCATCCCATATGGTCCCCTGAGCAATGCCAGGAGTAATTCCTGAGTGCCGAGCCAGGAGTAACCCCTGAGCATCGCCAGGTGTGACCCCAAAAGTTAAAAAACAAACTATACTCAGTTTACCAAGAAAAAGAGGGCTGTAGAGAGAGTCTAGGGTGCATGGGGAACTGGGACTCCTAAACACAGATTTGGGGGTGATGGTGGTGCCTGATTTGGAGCCCCACAGGGGGACAGACTATGAGAGACCATCAGGGTTTCTTAGGGGGCTGTTTTGCAGCCTGACCCTGACTGGGGAAGCCTCTGTCACCGTCCCCCAACGACTCCCAGTTCCTCTGTACCCCTTTGCCTCTGCCCTGCAGACCGGGAGAGGGGCCGCGCACTGCTCTCTGGCAGGCCTGCGAGCCCCTGCAGCCAACTGCCCGACGCTGATGAGCGTGCGCAGGCCTGGGAGAGCCGCCGACCCTTAATCCAGGACCTGGCCCGGCGGCTGCTCACGGAGGACGAGGTGCTGGCGGTCACCCGCCACTGCTCCAGGGTGAGCCTCCGGGTGCCCCACCCGTGGCAGTCACCAGGAATGTGGACGCCCTCACTCCTGACTGGAGGCTGAGTCTGCAAAAGCACAAATGACCTCTCTTTCTCTCTCTCTCTCTCTCTGTCTCTGTCTCTCTCCCTCTCCCTCTTTCCCCTCCCCCCCCCTCTCTGTCTCACACATACACATACACGTGCATATGTGCATCCCCTCTCATGTGCTCACACACATATACTTACATGCATTCTCACACATTCACACATACACACACATGTCCTCTCACACACACCTGCACTCACACACATACACACACACTCACACACTGAGCTGTAAAGGAAGGAGACAGAATGAAGAGCTCAAATATTCCTAGCTGGGAGACTACGAAGAGGAGAGCACCCCGAGGCATGGTCCTTAGATGCGGCTATCTGGGTGGCCACCTCCCTCCCCCAGGTGATATCCCAGCTGCTGAGGGAAGATGCCCAGCAGGAGATGGAGGGGGAGTCCTTGCAGTCAGTTGTCTGAGCACCTCTGAGCCCCAGCCGTGTCTCCTGATGCTCCTCCCACCCCTCTTCCTCCCCCACCCCTCACTCCACACAAAGGCAGGGGTGGAGCTGAGATAGACGTGAAACTTTTGGAGTCCAGATGTTGGGGAGTGGATGGGGGACTGGAACTCCTCCTCCTGTTCTGTCTCAAGCACCCCCGGGTTCTAGTGATGGGTGACTGTGAGCCTGTGTGACCGGACAAGCGGAGAGTGTCAGGGAATCATCTGTGCTCCCTGAACCCCCTAGCTTGGTCAGGGTGGGCCTCTGTTGTGTCTGATATTGTCGGTGAGTTTGTGTGACCAAACTGTGTGACTATATTTGAGGGTGTACGTGTCTCCGTGTACCCCCTGGGGACTCCCTGATTCCTGCATCTCTTGTTTTGGTTTTGTTTTGGGGTCACAGCTGGAAGTGTTCAGGGGTTACCCTGGCTCTGTACTTAGGAGTCACTCCTGGCAGGAAGGGTGACTGTATGGGATGGAATTCTGGTTGGCCTCGTGCAGGCAAACTCCCTACCCGCTGTACTATGGCTCCGGTCCCTAATTCCTGTATCTCTTACCCAAGGCCTAGTTTGTGGAGAGCTGCAGGCAGGGGGTGGGTGGAGGGGATGGGGGGCTCAGTCTTGGAGAGCTAGGCGGGGCTGTGTGTGCCCGCCTGCCTCTGCCTGCAATGCTGGATTCTAGCCACTAGGTGGGGCCCTGCATCTATTTCTCCCACGTCCTCATCGCTTGCTCCTCCCACCGTGTCCTGTTGGCCTCTGGCACCTTGGGGAGCCAGGCACCCCCACCAAGCCCAACCCACGCCCCCCACGCCAAGACAGCAGACCCTCTGAAATGGAGTCCTGGCCCAGTGTTTAATAAATCACTCCTTGAGACACATCTGCCTTTAAAAAAAATGTTGGGTCTGGGATCACACTCACCAGTGCTCAGGACTTACTCCTGTCTTTGCACTCAGGGCTCACTCCTGGCGGGGCTTGGGAGACCATCTGGGGTGCTGGAGACTGAACCCAGATGGGTTTGCATACAGAGCAAGCACCCTAGCCCCATGGAACCCAGCTGTTTCTGCTCTCTCCCACTGTGCCCCTCTTCCCTTCTCTAAGCCTTCACTCTGGCAAAACTCAGGGCAAGTGGCTTATCCTTGTCCTCACATTCAAGGCCCTCCTTGCCTTGAACGTCCCCCACCCCCACACCTTAGCCATCCTGTTGTCACATTTTCATCTTCCTCTAGTCACCCAATAGGTGGACACTGATTGCAAACTCAACGACTCAAAGGGTGCCTCTCACATTTCTTTTTTCTTTTTTTTTTGCTTTTTGGATCACATCCAGCGATGCACAGGGGTTCCTCCTGAATTTGCACTCAGGAGTTACTCCTGGTGGTGCTCAGGGGACCATATGGGATGCCAGGAATCAAACCCAGGTCAGCTGTGTGCAAGGCAAACGCCCTACCCGCTATGCTATCGTTCCAGCCCTGAGGCACCTCTCACATTATTGGCACAGCTGGAGCAGCCCACACAGGCTCTTAACACACCCACCAGGGCCGCACTGCTCCAAATCACCCCTGGAGCCCTTGAGTCCCAACCTCTTGCTGGGCCCTGCGTCTGTCCTGGGAGGCAGTGCAGGGGCCGGGGAGACAGCTCCAAGGGCTGGAGCTCTTGGCTTTGCACACAGAAGGCCTGGTCGGGTTCCTCGGTACTGCCTGTTCCTACAAGCACAGAGCTGGGAGTAGCCCCTGAGCACTGCCAGGTGTGACCCAAGGCTCCCCCCACACCTCCTCCTCCCATGAGTTTTTCCTTTTACATGGTTGGCCGGGTCCCACCTCTCATACCCATAGAGTCCCTTAAACTTTGGGAACTCTCAAATGTGTTCCCTCTCAAACAAAAACAGAAATAGCTATAAAGGAGCCAGAGAGATAGTTTAGCAGCTCAGCGGCTTTTCTTGCACACAGCCAACCCAAGTTCGATTCCAACACTGCATAAAGTCCAACTGTGACTCAAAAACCAAGAACACAAAAGTATCAGTGTAAATGCCAACACCTCCATGAAGCCTCCTCTGATTGTCCCACCCTCCTCAGAGATTCACTCTGTGAGGCTGTCAGTGGCTTGTAATTCACTGGGGGACACCATTCTACTCCTCATTCTCACTAGTATGAGTTTCCGAGGATCTGGAACGGCTCTTCACTGTCGTGCCTGGTACAGGGTCTGACGCTCGGTGGTTGCTGAAAGCAGGTGTGGAAGAATGTGAGTGTGTGTGACAGGTTCTGTGCGGTTAGAGATTTCTGACCAGGGTGTGGGTGGTAGTCGGTGCATGTGTGAGTCCCTGCGGCTCTGCCTGCGGTTGGGGCCACACACCCAGTTTGTAGTTTGGTTCAGACATTTATGGCTGTCGGCCTCCAGCAGGCGGTGCAGTGGCTCCCTCCACCACCAGGGGGCGGTGTGCCCTCTGCGAGGGTGACTCCCAGGGTTCCCTTTCCCGGTTTGTTGGTAGGGTGTGGCTGGTGGCATCCGGGTAGTGCCAGGCAGAAGGACCTCCACCCCGCTGGGGACCGACTAGAGACACTTTTGCGGGGCCACCGCCTTCTCCAGCTTGCCCGTTCTGGCCCTGACCAGTGTCTAATGTGTGGGTCTGTAGCCAGCCCACAGCTGGTGGTGGCTCCAATTCCGTCATGGTGGGCAGTGGGCACCGGGGGAAAGTGGGCAGGAGGCCACAGGGAAACAGGCTTCTGGGCCGGAGGCTCAGGTCCCTCTCACCCCCTTCTCGATGTGGCCTGGGCAGAGGCCCTCGGTCCCCCCTTAAGCCTTGCTCAGGGCCTGGCCGAGGGGAGCAGAGAAGCCCTGGAGGCCACAGGTAAAGGTTTCGCGTCTTCACTAGAAACCTGGGGACGGGCAGAACCTTCCTAAACACAGGGGCTGCCTCCCCAGACGCCCCCCTCAAGGGGCTGTGCCTCCCCTCTCCTCAGTACGTGCACGAGGGTGGCGTGGAGGACCTGGTGAGGCCACTGCTGGCCATCCTGGACAGGCCCATCAAGCTGCTGCTACTGCGGGACATCAGGTGGGCAGGGGACTGGACGGAGACACGCTCCTCCCTGAGGAACTCTGCCCCCCCCTCACCTTTCCTCCCGCCCCTCCAGGAGCGTGGTGGCTCCCACCGACCTGGGCCGCTTCGACAGCATGGTGATGCCTGTGGAGATGGAGGCCTTTGAGGCCCTCAGGAGCAGGGCAGGTCTGTCCCGGGGGGCAGTGGGGGGGGGGCAGGACATCTGGCGGAGAGGGTGCCCCTCAGCTGAGGGCCCTCCAAGAGGCCCTGCCTCTGACCGGCTCTCTCTTACCAGTTCGGCCTCTGGCCCTGCGGCCCGCCCGGCAGGACACCCCACCCAAACGGCACCTCATCACACCTGTGCCTGGTCAGTGCGAGTCCCAGAGCTTAGGGAGGCCTCACATCCCTGCCCCAGGGACCTGTGGCTTCCAAGTTTCGTCTCCTTGTTCCGTTGTTGCCACCCTGCCCCGTGGACCTGTCATTTCTTTCACAGGAGTTGAAATTCTAAATTCTGCTGTAATCTCTTTCTTCTGGAGTATGCAGGGTGCACATCTAGCAGTGCTCAGGGTTCCTCCTGGCTCTGTGCTCAGGGATCACTCCTGGTGGTGCCCAGGGGACCATGTGGGGTGCTGGGGATCGAACCCAGGTCATCCGTGTGCAGGGCAAGCGCCCTGCTGGATGCTGGATGCTCATTCTGTGTGCTGGATGCTCATTCTGTGTGACCACCTCTGAGAAGGGGCCGGTCAGGTGAGGACAGAGCTTCCTCACAGCTTTGAATTAAAAGTGGAGCCAGAGAGATTTTGAGAGCGGAGCACACACCCTGTGGAGCAGGAGGCCCCCCAGCTTCCATCCCGGGCACCATAGGGTCCCCCAAGCATGGCAGAGTGGCCCTCCAGACTGAACTAATTGGCAATTATTGCAGTGAATAAGACACTGTGTCAGGAGACTGGCCTCACCCAGGGCAGGCAGCACCCAGGCCCTACCGTGGTCCCAGGGGCTGGGCTGGGCGCTCTCCTAGTGGACGGGAAGGTTGGGGCCTTCAAGGCAGGCTGGGTTGGTCTGGGGGCGCTGCCTGACCGGGCCCCTCCCCCAGACAGTCGTGGCGGCTTCTACCTGCTGCCGGTGAATGGCTTCTCCGAGGAGGAAGGCAATGGGGAGCTGCGGGAGAGGCTGGAAGACCTGCAGGTGTCCCCAGGGACCGCTGCCGCCCCCCGCCACCCTCCGAAAGGGATCCCCCCTCTCCGAGACGTGCCAGTGGACGCCTTTGCTCCACGCCGAGGCACCGGCACCCCCCCTCCCCAGCCACCCCCCGTGGCGCCCCGGCCCCAGAGGCCCAACTGGCTGCTGACGGAGCCCCGGGAAGACCCTCGGCAGAGCTGGAGCCAGGGCCCGGCCCAGAGCCGCAGCCGCAGCCGCAGCCGCAGCAGGGGCCGGGGCAAGTCCCCAGGGCGCGGCCGGTCCCCGTCCCCTGCGGCCGCCCCCTGCCCCAGCACGACCCACGGGCGCTACCACAAGCCACGGAGGCCTAGGCCGGCTCTGCCCAGACCTCTGGACGGGCAGGCAGCCCAGGCAGGGGTCAGCCCAGCGCTGCCCCCCGAGAACGGGACTGTCGGGCCGGCAGAAGTGGCCACAGCAGCCTCCTGGGGGGAGCTGCGGACAGTCACGCTGTCCAAAACCAAGCAATCTCTGGGTGAGTCCAGGGGCCCTGGGCCTGCCATGGGCAATGCTAGGGTTGGGGGGAGGTGGGTGGGCTTGGATTTTGGGGTGGGGGGGCATATCGAGGGTGTCTGGGCCTGGGAAAGGAATCTGGGCACTGGGGAATCTAAATTTGGGGGTTGGTAGTCTGGAGGATGTGTGTGGGGGGGAGTTGAGGACCAAGTGGTGACAGAGCCTGGGGGTTGAGGCCCCAGGCTCCGGCTTTGGGGGTGCGGGTGCACCCAAACAGTGCTCTCCCTCTCACTAGGCATCAGCATTTCTGGGGGCATCGAGTCCCGGGTGCAGCCTATGGTGAAGATAGAAAAGATCTTCCCCGGCGGGGCCGCCTTCCTCAGTGGGACCCTGCAGGTGGGCGAGGCGCCCCCAGGCCCCTACCCCTCACCTCCGCCTGGGTCCCTGCAGTATTTGGGATGGGGTGGGTGGGCCCTGCTCCTCTCTCTGGCTGTCAGAGTGGCAGGTCGCTGAGGGTGGGGCCGGAGAGGAGCAGTCCCAGGGAGAAGGTCCCTCCTGCCAGCCTGGGCCTGTGGGTGGCCGGTCTGTTCAGGCCCTGGGGACAAAGGGCCATTGTCTGAGCCCCACCCTGCCCCCAACAGCTCCGGGCACAACAGCCCTCATTGTCCACCCCTTCACCCAGAGGGAGGGAGAGCGCAGGCTGGAGGTGAGAGGTTACACTGTGTGTGGGGGGGTGGGCTGAGGTCAGCACACTCGTTTTTCCAGGCGGGTTTCGAGCTCGTGGCTGTGGACGGAGAGAGCCTGGAGCAGGTGACCCATCAGCGAGCCGTGGACACCATCCGCCGGGCGTATCGAAACAAGGCCCGTGAGCCCATGGAGCTGGTGGTCAGGGTCCCCGGGCCTGGCCCACAGGCCCTTCCCTCTGGCTCATCAGCCCTCCCTGGCCAGCGGCTCCCTGCTGACCAGCCCCCGCCCACTGACCCCTGATGACACTCAGCCTCCTCCCTGGCCTCCACCCCACCCACTCAGCTCATTTCCTCTTGTCCTTACTCCTCTACTGAGGCATCCAGCAAGGCCCTCAGAATCCTCCTGCCCCCGAAGCACCACACTGGTGGCCCCGACTTCCCACTCCCTTCGTCCCCATCCCCGATAGGGTTCTGCCCTCGCAGGGCAATGTCCGAGGACATGACCTCTAGGTTTGCTCACTGCCCCCATCCTCCAGCAGCCGAGGACTGAGCCTCCAGCTCTTTTGCCCACCCCTCCTGTACCAGGGGATATGGACTCCCAGGCAGGCCCCTCTAGCCTGCTGCCTAATGGTAGATGCAAAAACGGGGGAGAGTGGGGAAGGCTTTTCTTGCCTTATTTTTTTGCTTTTTGGTTCACATCGGTGAGTCTCAGGGGTTACTTCTGACTCTGCACTCAAGAATTACTCCTGGTGGTGCGCCGGAGACCATATGAGATGTGGGCGACAGGACCTGGGTTGGCCCCTTTTCTTGCTTTATATTTTTTGCTTTTTGGGTCGTACCCGGCGATGCTCGGGTTACTCCTGGCTCTGCACTCAGGAACTACTCCTGGCGGTGCTCAGGGGACCATATGGGATGCTGGGAATCGAACCCAGGTCGGCCTGATGTAAGGCAAACGCCCAACCCCTTACCCCTTTTTTGCTTTTTAGACCTTGATGGGTCATGTGGTCCCTAGGCCCCCAGACTGCCTACTGGGTGTGTCCTTCCCGCATCTCCCATCCTTGCCCAAAGCCCTCTATGAGGGACAGGGCTGAAAGAGTTGTAAATAAAGAGGGAGGGGATGAGACTCTAGCAAGTTCCCACGCTCCTGACCCAGGACATAAACTTTGTTTCCATTTTTTTTTTTTAAAAACAAAAAAATTTTTTAATTTTTTTCTTTGGGTTTGTACAAGAAATTTACAGTGTGAAAAATATACAAGTGAAAACGAGGCCATAAACCCGGGTGTGGGGATGGGGGGGGGGCGCACTGAGTCACAAACACAATAAAACATTTCTGAGTTCTTCCTTTGGTCTGACTACAGCCCCCTCAGCCCAGAGGAGGGCCTTCGGGCTGAAAGCCAGGGCTCGGGAAGCCCCCGATTCAGCCCTGGCCCCCAACATGGGCATGGGGCAGGCACATCTGGAGCAGCTGGCGCTGTCTGGCTCTCTCTGGCTTTGGGGGGCATAGGGGTGGGGGGCGGGGGGCGGGGAGAGAACATGGCAGTGAGGAAGCCTTCCTCTTCTCAGCCCTCTGGCCGGACCGGCTGGCAGTGTCTGGGGGACGCAGGGTGGCGTAGTGGCACTGGCAGCAGCCGGGGCTGTGACACGGGGGTGTAGCTCTGGGTGACCGTGAACACGGGGGACCTTCACGGGGTCTGCTCTGGCTCCTTCAAGCCACAGGGTAGCCCCACACGCTTGGCAGAAGCAGAAGGCTGGATCCCATAGTGGCACCACTGGTGGGCCCTGGGGCCCTGGGTGGACCCCAAAGCTCCCTGCAGCGCCGGCCGACCCTAGATTTCCGTGGCAGTGATCTCCTCCAGGCAGATGCAGGGCGCCGGCTCGGCCAGGCCCAGCTCCGCCAGCTCCCGGGCCTCCAGCTCCAGGCTGAGCTGCTGCAGCTCCTGCTCCAGCTGCCGGTTGCGCCGGTACATCTGGATGTAGTTGTGCTGCAGTTGCTTCTGGTAGCGGATCACCTGCTCCTTCTCAGCCTGCCAGGCCAGTCGCTCCCCCTCGAAGCTGTCCCGCTGCTCCTCGCCCCGCCGCCGCTCCCTCTGCAGCTCTCCCCGCAGCCGCTCCACCTGGGCCCGCAGGCTGCCCCCGACCCCGGCCACGACCCGCTGCACCTTGGCCTCGTCGCTCTCGGCCAGCAGGAAGGGGTCTGCGGCCCCGGAGGAGGATGACGACGATGACGGCCCGGGCGGCTCCCGGAGGCCAGCCGCCTCGGTGTCCAGCTGCCCCGCCTTCTCCCGCAGCCGCTCGGCGTCCTGGCGGTGCCGCTGCAGCTCCTGGGAACAGGCCTCCAGCTCCAGCTCCCGGGCCTGGGCCGCTTCCTGGAGGCCCCGCATCCGGCCCTCGCTGACCCGCAGCGCTGCCCGGGCCTCCCGCAGCGCCACCCGCAGGGCCACCAGCTCACTGCCCTTCTGCACCAGCTCGGCCTGCGACTCCTTCAGCTGCTGCTTCAGCAAGGAGATTTCGCCCGACTTCTGGCAGACCTGTGGGAAAGGAGGGTGCAAAGGCCCTGACGTCAGGCCGGGCATTTGGAGTTCCCACGCTGCTACCCACTTTATTTCTGTTTTGCTTTGGGGGGGGGGGGGCGGTCACACCTGCTGATGCTCAGTGGTGTGGCTTTTATGTTCTGGCATCACTCCTGGCGGTGCTCAGGGGACCGTATTGGGACGCCAGAGATTAAACCTGGGTCGGCCGTACACAAAGCCAGGGCCCTACCTGCTGTACACTCTCTCCCGCCCAAGGCCTGACAGCTAGTCAATGGTGAGCGCAGACAGACCCAGATCCTTCTACAGAGCAGGTCTTCGCAATCACCAGGAAGCACGGCACAGGCCTGCCAGGGGCCAGGCTGAAGGAGTGGCACCACTGGGGAAGTGGGTTCATTGCTCAGCCCTGCTGGCGAGTGACCTGGGGCTCGGGCCTCCTGGGTCCGTCCACTCATCTCTGTAACAGGGGTAACTGGGGCCGGAGTGAGAGCACAGCGGGGGAGGGTGTCTGCCTTGCACGCAGCTGACCCAGGTTCGATTCCCGGCATTTCATATGGTCCCCCGAGCACCACCAGGAGTAATTCCTGAGTGCAGAACCAGGAGGAACCTCTGAGTATGGCTGGGTGTGATCCAAAAAGACCCCCGCCCCCAAAAGAAAAAAAAACACGAAAACGCAATAGAAATATTAGCAGTCTCCACTGCTAGACAAGCTCCTCTACGACACAGGCTCCTGGCTGGAGGCCAGGGTACCGTCCTGGCACCTGTCACTGGCTGGGAGGCAGCAGGTGGGCATGTGAGCACCGGACCAGAGAGGAGACTCCCTCATCTCCCAACCCAGAGAGGACTGACCGGGGGAATCCCCATACAGCAAAGGGGCGGGCGGGAGTCCCTGGGGGTGGGGGGGTGGACCGCGCCCCTGTCCCTCCGCCTGGCCCACCTCCCACTTGGTCTCCTCCAGCCGAGGCCCGAGCTCCCGCTGCTCCCGCTCAAAGGTGGCGCAGCGTCGCTCCAGCTGTTCCCGCTCCTGCAGCAGCTGCGCAAAGTCATCCTGCAGCTGCCGCTTCTCCTGCTGCAGCTGGAACACCTGCAGCTGCAGCAGCTGCTGGGCCCGCTGGGCCCGCTGGGTCTGGGCGGCACCGTCTTCCCGCAGGGCCTCGCGCTCCCGCGGCCAGGGTCGCTGCCGCTCTTCGGACACCTGCGGGCCAAAAGGCAGAGTGGTAGGTCCTGGCAGCCCGCCAGCCCCAGCCCTGACCTCCCCAACTGCCCCCAACGCCCCAGTCACTGGCGGCTCTGGTGGCCCATGGGCCTGCCTCAGGGAGGGAGAGCCCATGAGGCAAGGCTAACAGGGGTCCGGGGAGGTAGAACAGGGGCTTGCCTTGCACACAGCCAACCTGTGCTCGAGCCCCTGGCGTCACCCACGATCACGTGATCCCTGAGCACAGAGCCCAGAGCACGCCCTGAGCACTGCTGGGTGTGTCCCCCCCAAACCAAACCAAACCAAACCAGGCTAACAAAGCTACCTGTGAGCGTGCATGGTGCTGCAGATGGCACCCAGGGTCTCACACTGGGGGCACTTGGCTCTGTCGCTAAGCCATGACTCCACCCTCAGCCCCAGCTTTTTACGTTTGGGTTTTGTTTTTTGAGCCACACCTGGTAACGGATGGGGGTTACTCCTGGCTCAGTGCGTGGGGGGGACCACGTGGTTTCGGGGAATGAACTGAACCCAGGGCTCCTGCCTGCCAAGCATGTGCTTCAGACCACTGAGTTAGCTGCCAGTCAACAACCACTTTTGCTCTTTGGTTTTGGGGCTGCACTTGGCTGTGCTCAGAGCTTACTCTGGGCTCTGTGCCCAAGGATCACTCCTGGCAGGGTCTGGGGGGACCAAATGGGGTGCTTGGGGGCGAAACCCAGGTTGGCCCGAGTGCCCTACCCACCGTACTATATTGCTCTAGCCTCAACAATCTTTCTGATAACAGAAACAGCCCCTACAGCAATGCCAACAGCACAACGCCAGGCAGGAGACCAAGTACTTTGGCCCCTTGGCCTGACTCAACCTTTGGGAGAACGTCTCCGGGCACAAGCCCCTCCGGTTTTGCATTAGGATACAGAAGCTCGGTTTGTGTAAGCTGAAGGCTTGGGGACAAAGCAGGACAGGGATGTGCCAGGCTTGACTCTCTGATGCTTTTTTTTTTTCCCCTTTTGGGTCACACCCAGTGATGCACAGGGGTTAACTCCTGTCTCTGCACTCAGGAATCACTCCTGGCAGTGCTCAGGGGACCATATGGGATACTGGGAATCGAACCCGGCTCGGCCGCGCGCAAGGCAAACGCCCTACCCACTGTGCTATCGCTCCAGCCCCTCTCTGATGCTTTTCTGCTGGTTTCTGGGCCACACCCGCAGTGCGCGGGGGCCCTGGGGCTGGCTTCGTGTCCATCCAGGGAGCCTGTGAAGGCAAAGGCTGCGCCCCGCCCTCTGTGCCCGCTCCAGCCCCCAGCCCGGCCCGCCGCCCCACCTGACACATGGTAGCCTCACTCTCGTCCAGACTGTCCCGGAGCTGCTGGAGCTGCGCCTCGCGGTCACGGAGCTTCCCTTCCAGGACACAGTGCAGCAGGGCCTCGTTGGAAGGTGGCGGTGGTGGTGGCGGGGGGAGGGGGGAGCGCTCCCCACAGGAACTGCTGTCGGGGGAGGCACGAGGGGCCCCTCCTGAGAGCCCCCCGGGTCCCCGGCCTCCCAGGGAGCCGGTGCTCTTGCTGGACGAAGATCGACCACTGTCTGAGTGGGAGGGCCCGGTCGGGGCCCCTCGGGTGGGCCCTGGCAGTGCCCCCCGCCCAGGGCCATGGGAGGGCAGGTGGCCACCCGGGGAGTGGGTGGCTGGCTCGGTGCCCCCGGTGCTGTAAGTGGGCAGGCTGGACAGTGAGTTCCGGCCGGAGTCAGAGAGCGTCCCCGATGGGCAGCCGCTGGTCCAGCCGCTCAGGGCCAGGGGTTTGTCAGCAGCCGAGGAAGAAGAGGAAGAGGAGGAGGAGGCGGGCCCCCCGAACAGCTGGGTGAGGCTCCCCTGGCTCCCCGACAGTCCGGCGGCCCGAGGCCCCAGGAAGCCGGGCAGAGACGGGGCCCCTCGCGGTTTGGGCACGACAGGCTTGAAGGCCGTGGGGCGGATCAGGATCTTCTCCATGTTCTGAAACAAGGTGCCCATCATTCAAAGGCCTCTCCCCTCTCCCAGCCCTCCCACTCCTAGGGGGACCCCCCCCAAACCTGGGGACGACCGTTCCCACTGCCTGCAGGCCCCCTGAGGCCCAGCGCTGGGTCGTGACAAGAAAAAGGCGCGTTTCTGATCATGACAACAGCAACCATGGAAAGAGTGTGACCCCCACTACAGAAAGGGAAACGGGGCCATGGTGAGGGTCTCGGTGCAGAGTTGCGGCTGAGCCTCACGGGCATGCGCATGTGGGTGGGTGACATCTAGGCCGGGGCCACCCAACACCTTCCAGGCCAGGTTTGACTTGGCAACTGGCCTGTGACCCCCACTTACAGACCCAGAGAAAGGAGGAATGACGCCCTGAGGTCCGATGGGCAGAATCTGCCGGCCAGATTCTGGGAGATGGGGGTCCCTAAAGTCAGACGCCAGCTTCTCTTGGGGGTGCGGGGCACCCAGCTTCCTTCCCCGGCCCCTGAGCAACGGCTTCGTCCTCACCTTCTCCAGCTTCCCAGAGACCGGGACGAGCTTGGGTGGGGGGCCGCGCAGGTGGGCGTTGCGTGCCCGTTGCTCTCGGGCGTCTTCGATGTCGCTGCTGGGGCTGGCGGGGGACTCGCTCCGGAAGTCCTCGTTGATGTAGGTGAAGGTGGTGGTGGGGACAGCCTTCCTGGGGGGCACAGCCGGGCACAGAGGCTCCTGCGCTTCATAACCGCCCCGCAGGAGCCCATCCTGCTGGCGGAAGAAGGTGGGCCCTGGGGGGCCGTGGTGGCGTGGTGGCGCCGTGCCCCCTGGGCAGGGCCGCCCGGAGATCAGGCTGCTCACGCTGCCCATGGCTGGGGCGTGGGGGGCTGTGGCAGCCTCAGGGGTGGGCTCCAGGGGCAGCGGCCGAGTGTGCACGATGGCCATGGCGGCGGGGGCTCAGGCCTGGCCACGGGCCTCCCGGGGAACCTGCGGGCAGACGGGAGAGCGGAGTCAGCTTCCCTGCACCCGGGCTAGGTCCTGACCCTCAGGCCCTTCCCGGAGCCTCCCTTGGGGTTTCTGGCCTGGGTTTTCGCGGTGCTCAGGGGACCACGTGGGACCCGTGCCCCACCCACCGGGCTCTCTCCCGTCTTTCCCTGCTGTCCCAGGCCAAACTGCCCACTGACACCACTACCAGGCCTGGATGCCCCCCTCTCCCCGTTATTCCTCCAGGCACTGGACCCCAGAACATGCCCAATATTGATGTGAACAGGGCTGAGGAGTCTCCCAAACAGGGACTGACAGGTGGTGTGGATAGAGATTAAGCAGGCCCTTGGCAGCAGGGACCCAGGCCCCAGGCCCAACCACGTGCCCACCCCCTCCCCGCCCCCTCTCCCATGACAGGACTTGAGCAAGGGAGCCCTCCCTCCTGGCTCCTGGCCTGGGCCTCTGGTCCCCGGGGATGGCTGGCCTCCTTAGAGGGCAGTCTGGGCAGAGGCGGCCTTAGGGACGCAATCAGCCACTCGGAGGGTAATTAGGGAACAAAGCGCCCAGGCCAGGCAGTGCCCAGCTTCCCCAGCCAGGCCTCAGTTTCTCCCAGACAGTGAGGCGGCAAGGGAGGAGCTGGCCAAACAAGAAACTCAGAGCTCTGGGGCCCAAGAGATAGTTCAAGGGGGTGAGCACAGGCGTCCTACCCAGCACCGGGCCGGAAGAAGCTCCTGAGCACTGCTGGGTGGGGCCCCAAAGCAGACAACAAAAAGAAACTCAGGGGCTGGAGTATTAGTGTGGTTGGGTACGGCCCTTGTAAGGTTGGTCTGACCCCATCCCAAATGGTTCCCTGAGCACTGCCAGGGTGATCCTTAAGTGCAGAGCCAGGAGTAAGCCCTGAACACGGCTGGGGTGCCCCCCCAACAAACAAACAAACTCAGAGCTCTGGGGGAGCCCAACTCCCAGAGTATAAGCAGCCTCCAGCTTCTTTCCAAGAAAACTCCCGGCTTCCCCACACCCAACAGTCTGGCTTGAAGGAGCCCACACAGGCCAACTGCCAACGCTCAGGAAGCCGGGGAGCTTGAGTTGCCCAGAATAACCTAGAGTAACCCGAGGGGAAGAGAGGAGAAACCCTGTCAGCTCAGGCAGCTGCTCCAAGATCTCACTCAACCCGAGCCGGGGAAGAGGCTCCACCTCCCGAGACCCGTGGCTTCCTGGAAGGGAACAGCAGGCTCCCTCTCCCTCCTCAGGCCCGAGGCACCCCAGGACGCAGGCATCTGCTGAAACCATCACGCAGAGCAGGGGGCCAAGTGACCAGCAGTGGGCAGGGAAGGGAGAGGGTACTGCCTCTCAGGGCTGGGAACACTGGGAAAGGGCCGGTGCATCTCTGCCTGTCTGGGGGAAACTGCGTCTAAACAGAGGGTCCCTCTGGGGAACGTGTGTGCGGGACAGGAGAAAAGGCAGGTGTCCAGTCCATGACAACGAGATCCCATGACAGGCGAACCCCGTGTGCATGATGTGAGCCTGGGAACAGGTGAGTGCCAGAGGGTGTGCGAATGCGGACCTGAGTGAGGGGGTGGGCTGGGGGCACCCTACCCCCCACCCCTGCGGCCTTCAGGGTCAACCAGAGAAGGGGTACGTGTCTCTGGTCACTCGGTGGAGTGTGGGGAGAGGGAAGGAGACACATTATCTGACGCCACTGCCTGGGCGGTCCCCTCTTCTTCCTTCCTTGGGTTTCATGAACTCCATCCCCCACTTCCCCCCTCCCAATTCAAAAGACTGAGAACTGAGTTCGCGGGGGGGGGGGGGGGGGGGGGGGGGGGGGGGGGGGGCTCAGATGGAGGAGCCAGAATCTGGGGGCTGCAAGTGGAGGACGCCCCCGCCTCCTGGCCAGGAGCAATAGGAGTCCCTGAGCAAAGTGAACCATGTCCACCCCCCCCCCACTCCCCAGATCATCCCGGGCGGCATTCGGGAGAGAGTGGGAGCAGGCAGGGGCTTCTTTGGGGGCTCCCAGGCTGGCATCTCCAGGAGGTAGGAAAGTGAAAAGTGAGGGGGAGGAAACAGGGTCCGGAGAAAGATTGGGGGGGCCCAAAAACAAGAGACAAAGACTTGGCTTGGCGCGGGGCCCCCACCATCCCCCCCCTCCCGCCCGGGCCGGGCACTTGGGCCATCGGCGGCCCGCGGCAGGGCCTGGGCCGGAGCGGGGTGGCCGGCTGGGCCCGCCTGCGCGCCGGGAAGGAGGGGCCGCGCGGCTCCATTTTGAGAGCTGCGTTTGCGGGTGTGCGAGGGGGGACCCCCGCCCGCCCCGCGCTTTCCCACCCCCCCGCCTCCCCCTGCACCCCGGCCACCGCCCCGGGTGGGGCCGGGCCGCGGCGGCCGCGCTCCGAGCTCCCTCCCGCAGCCCTGCTTGGGGGGGGGGCAGCTCAAGAGTTGGGGAAAGTCCCCCCTCCCCCCGCCAAACTCCAAAGAACCGGTCCAGCGGGCGCAAGTCGGGGGTCAGGAGTTGCCACTCGGCCGCAGGAAGCGGGGAGCCCCCCACCCCGGCCCACTCCCCGGGCCCGGGCCCCCCTCACCTGGGCCGCGCCGCTCCATGCTCAGCCCCGCGCCGCCGCCCCCCGCGCGCTCCGCAGCAGCCCCGCGCCGCCCGGCTCCGGCCCGCGCGCGCGCGGCCACTCGCCCCGCGGCCGCCCCGGCCCCGCCTCCCGCCTCCCGCGCCCCCGGCCCCGCGCCCCCGCCCCGTCCAGTGGGCGGCGCCGCGCGGGGGAGGGGTCCGAGGGGCGTCCCGCCCCCACCCCCGGGGCGCCGCACCCCGCGTCACGCGTGGCCGGCGGCGGGGCGCACGCAGCGGGACTGACTGCGCGGCGGGGCGCGGGGGCGGGCGCCGCGGGGGCCAGCGCGGCCGGCTCGGGGGCGCAGAGGGGCGCGGGGTCCCCCTCGAGCCCGGCCCGGGCCCCGGGGCCGCAGGCAGCTGGTCATTGTTCGAGCACAAAGAAGCCGGCGCCGGCGCCGCCGCCGCCGCGGCCGCCCTTCCCCCTCCGCCGCTCCGAGCGGCCGTCTCCTCCCCGGACGCACGGCCCGGCTGCGGGGTCCGCGGCAGGAGGCGGAGGGCCGGCTGCCCCCCGCCCCGCCGCCTCCCCCAAGCCCCCCGGGCCCAGCGCCCCAGCACAAGTTGGGGGGCCGGCGCGCGCCTGCCACCCCCCGCCCCAGCGGGCTGGAAACCGCCCGCCTGGGCGTGCAGAGGTGGCGCCACCTGGCGGACGGTCCTGAGAACAGACCGTCAGTTCCCCCCCACCACCACCACCACCGGTCTTGGGGGTCCCTACGCCCACTGACCCAACATCATGACCTTCCCCGTGAGCCCGCACCTGCCACGGCACTCCCCTGGGCTCCCCAACCTGCCCTCCGAGACGTGTACGGAGAGGTGCGGGGGCACTTCTCGGAGAGAGGCGGTTCCTGGCACCCGAACAATCGCTGGGGCGAGCCGGTCTAGACCTACAGCCCAACCTACAGCGGCCTCACGGCAAGACAACACCCCACTGTCTTCTCAGGGTCACAAACAGAGCTCACGCTCGCAAACAACACGCTCTTCTGAACACCCACACGACCTTTCCCACATCGGGGCCCGCGCGGGCCGGGCGCGGCGAGCACGTGACTGCAGGCGCCTTGGCAGGAGCCTTTGGGGGGCACCCACCCGCGCGCCCCGTCGCGGATGGCCATTCGCCACGTGCAGCCCTTTGCATCGTCACGGTCGTCAAGACCCTCCTTGTGCTAAGAAGCATCTTCCGCCGCCGCTGAGCCAGTGGCACACACAGCTCCGCACACTGCCTCTTTCACCAACACCGTGACCCAGACGGTCCCCGAAGGGTCTGACCTGGGCCCGGTCAGCTGATGCCCGCCGCCGCCGCCTCCCGCCCGCCCCCTCCCGGGACCAGGCCGGCCAGAGCTCGGCGCTGCCCCAGGAAGGAGCACCGGCCCCCCCTTCCAGGCCACAGCCCTGGCCAGCTCTCAGCTCTATTTTTAGCCCTATGGAAAGGGTTGTTTTTCTTGCATTTTCCTTGGAAAGGGAAACAGAGCACAGCCACCCTCAGGCTCACCCCAGACCCCTCGGGCCTCTTAAGAACAGACGGAGCCCCCTCTCCTCGGTGGAGACCCCCTTCCTGGGCTCTGCCCTCATCCCAGCCTCCCGGGCACCGGGGGCCGCCTCTTCTTCCTGGCAGCCTGCCCGCAGGCCCAGGCAGCATCTGGGCTCGGCGTGTGTATGGGGTGGGGGCGGGGCGGGCCGCGGCCCCCTCCCCCTCGCTCCTTGGGGGCTGGGGCCGGCAGGCAGGCCCGCTCGGGGCGCTGCGGGAATGTTTCCGCGCGTGCATTCCTAAGCGGACTCCGCGTGGGTTTGCTGGTCCGCGGGCTGCGGGGCGGAGCTCCCGCCGCCGCTGCACGCAGCCGAGTTGGGAGTCGGAGGGGACCCGGGGCGCGCTCGGGAAGCGTCTCGGCGAGCCGAAGGGACGGCACCGGGGGTGGGGGGGGGGCGCCGCTCTCCGCGACCGACGGTTCGAGCGCCCCCTGGGATCCCTTCAGGAGACACCAGGAATGTACCGGGGAGCGGCGGGCCAGGTAGCCCCGCTCCCGCCCGACTCCGGGACTCCAGGGGGCGTTGTGCGCGCAGGTCTGGGGCGCGCTGATCGCCTCCGGGGGCGGAGACCAGACTCCAGCCCAACGTGGGACCCAGCAGACTCACCCAGCTCGGCGCAGGGGAGGGGGCTGCGGGGCGCTCACGTGCTCGCCGCCTGTTTACGTCTCGGTCCTCACCTGCGGGCGGGCGGCCGGGCAGCAGGAACCTCCCGAGCCGGCCCACCCGGCTGGCTCGCCCCAGCTGGGGGGTGTGGGGGGGCGGCCTCTCTTCCCAGCCCCGTGAAGTCGGCGACAAGTGGAGCGACACGTCTGCTGGGGGTGCGCGCGGGCTAGGGGCGCTGCTCGGGGTGGGGGGTGGGGGGTGGGACTCCTCGGGGGGCCCAGTCACTGGGCAGGTCCGTGGAGCGCACGTGTGATCGTGCCACCCACTGCGCGCCTGGGTGAGCCCGTCGGTGTGAGTGTTCGTGGGGCGGGGGTGGGGGTCCCTGTTCAGCTTCTTTGCCTGCGCTCTCCTCCCCCACTCCCCACTCCGCCGAGACCCCGATCCTCACCCAAACCTCCCCTCCCCCCCGGTCTTCCCCAAACCTGAAAAGTTAGCTCCGGAGCAAAGGTGTGCGGGAGGCGGCCGCTCCCCCCCGCCGCCGTCGCCGCCGTCGCCGCCCGGGCACTCACCACCTGCGCCGCCGCTCCAGGGTCCCCCCCCACGGCTGCTCCTCCAGCGCGGTCACTTCCTCGCCGCAGACCCGCCCGCTCGGCAGCCGGCTCCGGGCTCCGGGCTCCGAGCCGCCAGCCGGGCCGGCCTGGCGGAGCGGGGCGGGGCGGTGCGGCGGAGGCCGCGCCCCCGACCCCGGGGGGGAGTGGTCTGCCTCACACCCCCTAGACAGCCAACCCTGGACCCAGCCCGGCGGAGGCTCGACGGTTGCCCGAGGCTGCCGCTCTGGCCTCTGCCTGCAGTTTGCCCGGCTGAGCTCTCCAGACCGGGGTTAGGGGCGAGCAGCAGGGTCCTGAACAGCTGCACCCACGGGCTGCGCTCCCCCACCTCCCACCCCACCCCCAGCTAGCAGTCAGGCTGTTCTGCGCCGCCGACCGGGCCCACTCCCCAAATGGAGGGAAACCCCCTGAAAGCAGACAAAGGCGGCTCAGGTTTCACCAAAACAGACCCCACCCCCCTCGACACCCGCCCAAGGTTGGGCTGCCCACGCAGAACCAGCACCTCGCCCTCCTGGAAGGGGTGTCTGCCCAGGTGAGCAGGCCTGCGGGTGGGGGGCGGGGAAGGCACCCTCCCCAACGGGCCAGGCTCTCCTCAGACTCGTAAAGTCCCACCCACAGGCAAACAGGAAGTTGGCCGGTACTGGAGGGGAGGCACCCAGCCACCCTCCCTGGGTGACATCCCGGCAGTCCGTGGGCCAGCAGATGGTGAGGTCTACAGGTATCCGGGCCATATGGGCAGCGAGCACTCGGGCTGCAGCAGTGCCTCCAAAAGCACTGTGCTTCGGGAGCTGCTGAGTAACACGGCACCTGAGACGAGGCTGCACCCAGTAGCACCCTGCCGCACCAGGCTCAGGAAGCTCCCCCCCAACACACACACACCCCAACACATGCACATACTGTTGGGCTCAGGGACCATGTGGTGCCTGGGACTGAAGCCTTGTCTCCCACCTGCAAAACAGCCCTTGGAGCAATCTCCCCAGTCCTCCCAGAGAGCTCTTGCGTGACAGTGCTTTTCAGGGGGGATTTCTGGCTATGCATTCAGGAATGACCCTTGGCAGTGCTCGGGGATTGTATATATGGTGCCCTGGGTCAAACCAGGACCAGCTGCATGCACTGTAGAGCCTTACCTCCCTATCTCCCTGGCCATGAGGGGGACTTGGGACATCCATTCACACCCACAGACTACTGGTCCAGGTCATTTGCCTCAGTCGACTGCACGACCACTTTCCAGACTCCAGTGCTCTTGAATACACTCTGGACTAATCTTGGTGAGTTTAAAACAGGTGTGGAATGGAATGTGTTTGTGTAGGGGGTGGGGCAGGGGGAGCGCTGACTTCCCCTTGTCACTATCACTCTGGTTCTTGTCTGAGGTACTTTGCTCCAGGGTAGGGTAAGACAAACGGGCAGTACTCATAGAATCTTGAGAACACACCAGACCTGCGTGGGGAATCAAAATGGGGAGCCCCTGTTCTGATAGGTAAAACTGACCTGGTGGTACACATCTGGAAGGCATAGCTGCTGAGTTTCTTAGACTCTGGGTGAGCCCTAGACCAGCCAGCGGCTGGGAATGATTACTGCAGGATTAGGAGGCCTGGCTCCAGCCAGTCTGGGAGACCCCCAAGAAGGGAGGCCCTGGAGGAGAAACCCTCCCTCCCTCTAACTGTAGCCAGAGCTTTCACACAACACACCAGAGACCCCCTACCCTTCCACAGAACCCCACCCCACCCCACCCCACCCTTTACAAAAGGCTTCATCCCAGACTCACACTCTCACCACTCTTGCTAGCAAAGAAAAGGGAAACTGGGACTTTCTCTCATAGGAATCCAGTCTATCCGCATCTGGCAATATTTTTCAGTGGGTCTCTGGATTTAGTCTCCTCCAGGGCTTGTTTAAAAAAAGAACGCTAACCTCCAGAATTGGAGGGGTCTGTGTGTGTACATTTTAAGGTTTGGGGGGAAAAAACATTCTGTATCACGTGGGGGTGGGGAGGATTACTCCCAGCTCCATGCTCCGAGGTTGCTTCCTGTGGTGCCTGTGGGACCCTGAACATTCTACATCATTTGGGGGTGGGGGGATGTTACTCCCAACCCATGCTTCCCGTAGTGCTTATGGGACCCTGAAGTGCTGGGGGATCAAACCTGAGCTTCCTACACGCAAAGCATGTGTTCAGCCTTGTTGGGTTGTCTCTTGGGCTCAAAGTTCTGTATTTTAGTTTTGTGTCACACCCCAGTGGTGCTCACGGGACCAAATGGGGTGCCAGGGATTGAACCCGGGTCAGCTACATGCAAGCCAAGTCCTTACCCACACCCAGTGATACCCAGGGATATCCTGGCTCTGTACTCAGGGATAACACCTAGTAATGCTCAGGGAACCATATCAGATGCCAGGTTGGCAACATGCAAGGCAAAGGCCCTACCTGCTGGCGTATCGCTCTGACCCCTAAAGTTCTGTAGGTTTTTTTTTTTTTTGCTTTTTTGGGTCACACCTGGCGGTGCACAGGAGTTACTCCTGGCGGTGCCCAGGGGACCATACGGGATGCTGGGAATCCAACCCGGGTCGGCCGCATGTAAGGCAAACGCCCTATCCGCTCTGCTATCTCTCCAGCCCCAAAGTTCTGTAGTTTTAATGAGAACTCCAGATGTTCAAATTTGTCTAAAAGTGACAAGGAGGAAAATGGATGGGGGTTAGTTAAGAATGTGCTAAGCCCGAGTACACGCTGTAAGAGGCCTGTAAGTGGCTCACATCACAAGAAAGACATGTGTTAAGGAGAAGGGCCGCACCCCTCAGGGGTCACAGGCAGCTAGCTTCCCAGGGGAAATAGTTAAAGAGGTACATCCACGCGGATGTGGTTTAAAGGCATGTGCTCCGGCACATGCCTGGCATCTAGGCTCTTTTATCCTGGCAAGGGGTGGCTCTTGCATTCCCGAGCAAAACAGCTTAAAGCTCGACCACTGTACTGCTGGGTCAGACAGCTTAAAGGGTCTCCACCCCGCAACCACCAGGTATAGCCCCCATTCACAGAGGCTGGGACGCGGCTCAGCTTGTGAGGTCCCCATTTAGTCCCTTCTCTCACACATACTTGAACACAGAGTGAGCCTGAAGGGCTGGGGCCACGGAAGCAGACCGAAGTTTGACTCTAGACACCGTGCGATCCCCTAAGCACTGAGCAGGGAGTAACTCATCCCCCGTGGGGTGGAGAAGGAAAAAAGGGCACATTTCCAACTTCTCTAGGCCAAGATAGGGTGTGTGCGCGCGCGGGCTTCTTAATGGTTCCTCTTCCTTGGGAGTATACAGTCAAACTCTGGAGATGGTGGGGAGGGGGGACCCATACATTCCCAATTCAGAGAGAAAAAAAATCCAGCTACAGACTGGGGAGACACCTGGTGGACAAATTAAAAAAAGCACAGAGACAAAGGCAATGGAAAATGTTTTTCTTCAGTAAAACAGGAAAAGGCTCTTTATAAACGCTTAACTGCTCACAGCTGGGCAATGGAGGCAGCATCCAATGAACGGGGGGCCCAGCGGCAGGCACTCTGGTGTGACAACTGCCTTCCATGGCTCTCAACCCAGCCTCCCATCTTTGGGGCCCTGCTATCACCGGGCCGAGCACCAAGGGTTGGATTGCTAAGTATAAGGCAGGCTCCCGGGAAGGGAGCGGAGGAGCCTGGTAGCACCATCTCACCCTCTGGGTCTGAAAGCCTAATTTTGGGGGCCATACCCGGCAATACTCGGGTTACTCCTGGCTCTGCACTAAGGAATTACTCCTGACGGTGCATTAGGAATCATATGGGATGCCGGGGTCCAACCTGGGTTGGCTTCGTGCCAGGCAAGTGCCCTACCCGGTCTACCTTCTCTCTAGCCCCCTAGTTTGGGCAGAAAGTTCTCCATCCTCCTCCAGCCTCAGGGTGCCTGCTCCTTCTGCCTTCAACTTGCTTGTTCCCAGCTCAGGCCTCTGTAATTCCTGAAGTCTCTGCATCTCTTTCATCTGATGTCTACGTGGCCCAGATGTAGTTCCTTAGCTCCTGCTTAAACAGTCTCTGCTCGGACATCTTTTCAGACTTTAGTCTAATTTGGTCCACGAGCAAGGCTGTTTTTCTTGATAACATTCTTTACTCTCTGAAACTTAAATGTTTTCATTTGCTTGAACAAATGTCCATGGAACCAAAGACTGCAGGTTCCAAGGCAGCAGGTTCTCACTGGTCTTGCCAATGTTGTATTCCCAAGATATTAGAACAATGCCTGGCACACAGTATTAAATTCTGTCATTGAATTTTCTACTGCAGAACCTGCCCTACGCTGAGTCCTAGCTCGGGGCCACATAACAGAAGTGGCCAAATCAGCCAAGACAAAGGCCATGCCCCAGCCTCGGCTGCCAGGCTCGTATCAGTGTGCAGCTCTGCACTGCCTTCACCGTGAAGGCCTGGAGGAGATTGGCTAGTAGGGGTTTGGAGCCGGGCTAGAGCCAGCCTCAGAGTTCTGGGACGCGGCACCTTTTTTGCCAGCAGAGGGCTTTTTGGTCACCAGCCCATTGTCATCCTTGATCTTCTTGAGTCGGGCCTTGCTCTTTGGGGGTATAGAGAAGGTGAGAGAGCTCTTGTTGAACTCAAGTGGGAAGACACCCACGTCTCCATCAAAGCGGTTCTTGGACACTTGTAGATACCGTTTCCCTGGCCCAGTGACCAGTTTCCTGTCCTGGAGGATCAGAACATTGTCCGCTTCCTGGCTTGCCTGGAGAATGGGGACAAAGGAGGGAGTGAGATCATATAGAAGCAGAAAGGAAGGTTGAATACATAGAAAGGAATAGCAAGAATGTGCGAAGAGGGGTCCTGAAAGGTAGTGCAAGAGATTAAGGTCTGCCTTGCATGTAGCAGACCCTGGTTTGAACTCAGGCACCACAGTCCCTGAGTAGCAGCAGGGGTCAGGGGCCACTATTGAGTGCAGAGCCAGGAATAGCTCCTGAGTACCATGGCCCCAAACCCACCTCGCCCAAATAAGAATGCGGGAAAGGAAAAGTACTTCTTCCATCCCTAAAGCTCTTTGAACTACTGCCCACAATGCCGAGCCACTTGAATCTGTGAGCTCCTTAAGAAGCCTGCCACCAGCCTAATACTCTATTTCTAATGTTTCTTTCCCACAGTACACCACCCCACTGAGCCCGGCTTCTTCTGACTCAGGTCTGATTATATGCCTACATTATCAGCACTTTATTTCTGGCTTGTTTGTTTTTGGGTTACACCAGGTGATGTTCACAGGGGTTACTCCTGGCTCTGCACTCAGAAATCACTCCTGGTGGTGCTTGGAGGACTGTATGGAATGCTGTGGATCAAACCCGAGTCACCCGAATCAGAAGCATGCAAGGTAAGCACCCTACCCACTATACTATGGCTCCAGCCCTCACAGCCCTTTTTTTTTAAAAATATAACGTAGGAATACTGCTATTTATTCAGCCATTGATTAAGCTGATTGAATTGGTCAGAGCCCATTCTTGATCCCTACAGAGCAACACCCTCTTTCCACTTCTGTTTTGACCCCAGTTTGTTCTTTTGTGGTACGGTTTGTGTTCCCCACCTTGAATTCCCTGTGGTCTGCCCAGGCCTGGCATATCATGCACATATACCCCCATAGAAGCTTCAGGATAGGACTGGTCTCTTTCCCCAAGAGGGCCCCCATTTGTTTCCCTATTATCTGGCACACTCAGGCCTTCCCTTTGTTGGCAGCTCCTCCAGGAAGCCTCCCCAGGTATCCCAGGTAACTCACGTCCTTCTTCTTTGCTCCCTAATACTCTGTTGCTTATTACTGCTCTCAGCACAATGAGCAGTACAGGAATTCCTTTACTCTACTAAATGATGTGAACCCTTGGAGGGCAAAGAACTAACTACCATCAGCCTCTGTATGCTTCGCGCATATATTCTTTGTGTATATTCCACGGCTCTAGAGGCAGCTGCCTTCTGCCTCTTCCAGACAGACGTCAAGATTTAAGGTGGTAGAAAGTCTGGTCCCTAATCACACTGCACTGTACCCTCTTCTTTCCAAACTGTGGGATTTTCTAAAGGTCACTTACTTTGGCTGAGCCAAATATGGATGCTGTCTGCAGCTCCTTATCGTCATCCTCCTTCCGGGGATGAATGACCAGTGTCACATGGCAGTTATTGTCTGTCGCAAATTTCCGAAAGGCCCCCACGATGTAGTCTTGAGCTGCAATCCTGCCCCCACCCCAACAAAGCAGAGGTTACTGGACAGAAGAGGACACTAACCGTACATACTCTGGCGTCAGTCCATCCTCCCACCGCCAGCACCCACACAACTTCCCTCTATGCAAGGACACGTATGATGATCCCCGTCCACAGATCCCGCTGCGTGTGCATATGGCTAGCGAGGAACATCAGAGGTTGCCTGTGTCCAGCACAGGTCAGGGAACAAGAGAGCAGTGTGTGTGCCTAACAGTGGGCTCCCGTGAGACAAGAGGAGGACGTCACCTGTCTGAAGACAGCTGCTCGTGACCCATCATAAATTGCAGATTATCGATGACCACATGACAAATGTCATAAACGTAGACTGCATGTTGCATTGTGTCTATTACTGTCCTGGGAAGAGGAACAGGGGATAATTCCACGAGTTAATAGCAAGTCACCAGACTAGAACGGACAGAAAAGTTTCCAGCACCCTGAAAGCTGCTGGGGGCTGAGGGGTTAGGGGTGGTCCATTCTCCTGCTCTTCCGTCTTTGAAAATCCCAGGCCTGGGAATCTCACCTGATGCTCTGCTGTCCATGAAAAGTCATGAAATACAGGGGCAGGTCCTCAAAGCGGTCGGCCCACTCATCGTATTTGTCCAGCTGTTCTTCCAGTCGCCCCACAGCAAACTGGGTCAGCATGACCCGAGCTAGTCTCACGTTGCTGATCTCAAAGCTCCCCCACAGCGTGTTCACCCCCTGGGTACACAAATCCAGGGCATACTCACTGATGAATGTGGTCTTTCCACTGCCCGTTGGCCCTGCAGGCGGATCAAACACAAACTGAAGTGAGGGAGAGAAGTTTCACCCTTGAGCCCCAGACACAGGCAGGGCTTTAAAGTTGGCTGGGGACATTGCTTCAACGTTTACTTTGGTCCCAACCCACCATTTTCATCACCCGATCCCTGCATCCTACCCCAGCAGCGAGGGTTACCTGTGAAGGGTTACCTGTGAAGACTGTCAGCTCGCCCTTTCGATGACCCTTCAGGAGACGGTTGAGGTCTGGGAAGCGACTCCAGCGGATGCCCGCTGCCTGCTCCACGTTGGACAGTTCTCCTAGCACCTCCTCGCGAAGCTGGCGGAAAGACACGATGGACTTGTGCCAAGCGGGCAGCGCCGTGCGCAGGATGCGGGTAAGATTTAAGCCTTGGTTCAGGGCTTCCAGGGGACGAGGCTGCTGGTCTCCAGGGCGCACCAATGAGCATCGCTTGGGGTTTAGTTTTCGGGCAAACAGTTTGGCAGCTTCCCAGGACCGAAGGTCATCCCCCAGCCAGAGCACAATCCTTCGGAACTGCTCGAGGTACGGGAGCAGGGCTGGGGGCAAGCAGGCGGTGCCTCGGGGGAGGGCCAAGGTGGGCAGGCCTGTGGACTGACTCAGGGCTAGGCTATCCAGCTCACCACTGGTAAGGACCAGCTCCACATCCCGACGACCAATTAGCGGCAACCCAAACAGGTTGCGGTAGGCACCGGGCCGTGGAATGGTGGTTTCCACGTAGCGCACCGCCTCCCCCTGGCTCTCAGCTCCCAGGAGCTTCAGACCCCGTAGTCTCATGCTTCCCGGGGAGAACCAGGGGAAGACGAGGCTGCGCGCTGCTCGCAGGTAGCGCACGCTGAAGCGCCTGAGCGTGTCATCTGTCACTTTGGTGAGGCCAAACATCACACGGGCCAGCTGGGCCTCCTCCTGTTCAGGCAGGTCCCAGAGGGGCACGGCCCGCTCCCAAATCCTCAGGACCTCCTCACTGTCCTGGGCGGCAGGGGACTCGCCGAGCAGGAGCCCCTCTCTGGCCCCATCCCCGCGGCCCTCCACACTGGCCTGGAAGTCCTCCCAGCTCCCCTCGGCGAGGCTGATCATGCAGAGGAAGCGGCCCGTGGTCTTGTCGATGAAGAGGCTGGAGGAGGCGGGCGCCGCGGCCTGGTCCTGATGCTGGGCGTCCCCGACGAAGGGGCTGGGCGCTCGCAGGCAGCTGTGGCCGTCCTGGAAGGGGATGCCGTGGGCCCGCAAGTACTGGCGGATCTCGGTGGTCGTGACGGGCAGCGCGGGGCCATCCAGGGCCGGGAGGGCTTCCTTCCGGTAGCGTCGGCGAGGAGGGCCCGGGCCCAGGCTTCTGGGCAGGCCCCTGCGCCCCATCCACTCGCAGCGCAGGGGCAGCAGGACGCGGAGGGGGTGCCCCCCGCGCAGGAGGACCCACATTCCTAGTCAAACGGAGGAGGTCACGTGAATCACGGGGGTGGGGGGCGCCTCGCTGGGGTGCCTCCAAGAGGTCAGCCCCCCAGTGGACCCAATCCACACACGCCCAACAGAGTTCTTGCTAGGGGGGCGTTTGCTCGCCAACACGGCCCCCGTAGTCCATCTAGAAGCTTCTAGAGCCCTGCAGCCGTGCTCCCTCCTAGCTCAGCTCCTCTCCCCAGCCTCCCGTTTTCCCCATCGCCCTCCCCTCAGTCCCTGGGCGGGCCACCTCGGCGTGCTCACACACACCCCCGCCCCCATCGCCACCTGCATCCTCTCGGTGCCCTCCCCCCAACTCCACGCGCCCCCCCATTCGCTCCGTGGGACCCCCGACGCGACGAGCGCGCGCTCTCTCCGGCCCGCCCACGCGCGTCTCCCCGCCCTCCTGGCCGTGGCTCCGCCAAGCGACCGCCAAGTGACCCACGTCTCGTCTCACCCCTTTTCCCCCGTAACGTGGATCACGGACTCGCGCCACCGACCATGACCTCGGAAGCAAAACTCCAGCGGGCACGCACGCCCCCGGAAGCGGAAGTCGCCGCTCCAGCCCCGCCCTCGCCGCCGGGGTCGCGCCGCGGAGACCCGGAGTGTGTGTGTGTGTTGGGGCGGGGGTAGGGGCGACCGGACCGGGGAGTCAGCGGGAGCCATGACGGCGCGGGGGACCCCAAGCCGGTTCCTGACCAGCGTCCTCCACAACGGGCTGGGGCGCTACGTGCAGCAGCTGCAGCGCCTCAGCTTCACCCTCAGCCGCGACGGACCCTCGTCCCGCGGCGCCAGGTGAGGCGTGTGCGGGACGGTGCGCGGGATGATGCGGGCGCCTTGCCCTTCCCTCCCCTCCCCCACTCCCCCCTCCAGCCTCACGCCGTCTCGGGCCCCGCAGGGAGTTCGTGGAACAGGCCGCGATCGACTTCGCCCGCCAAAACCCCGGGGTGGTGCTGTACGTGAACCCGCGGCCGTGCTGTGTGCCCAGAGTGGTGGCGGAGTACCGTGAGTTGGGGGGCGCGCCCGGGCGGGGAAGGGGGGCCCGGGTGGGGTGAATGGGGGGAATAAGGGCGTCGCTGACCACCCTTCCCACCCCTTTCCTCTCCCCCACCTTGCCTCCGTGCTGCCAGTGAATGGGGCAGTGCACGAGGAGAGCCTGCACTGCAAGTCGCCGGAGGAGATCAGCGCCCTGGTGCAGAAGCTGGCCACCCGCTCGGGGCTGGACGTGATCCGCATCCGCAAGCCCTTCCACACCGACAACCCCAGCATCCAGGGCCAGTGGCACCCCTTCACCAACAAAGCCTCGGCGGCTGGCGGGCTGCGCCCCCGGGAACCCCCGCCCCCCACCCCGGGGCCGTGAAATGGGACTCCGGCAGAAGGGTGCTCTCACCCCGAGACGGGCCGGCTCCTCCACCCGTTGGCGATTCCCACTGTTCACCGTTGAGGCCAGGGACCCCGAGCCTCCGAACTCTGATCCATTCTGTGCCCCCCGAAATCTGGGGGTGGCCCCTGGAGGATTTGACAGGCGTTCTCTGTCTCCCAGCTGGATGGGTAACTTCGGGGCATGGTGAGGCTGGCCAAGTCTCTGCCGGCACATTTCTACCAGCTCTGAGCCGTGGGGCCGGCTCCTTAGAGTCGGCTGTGAACACTGTGGAGCAGGGCCCATGGCACATGTGTGTGTTCACCCCCAGGAGGCAAGAAAGATTCAATAAATGGCCTCAAGGTCACACTTAATGCTTCCTTCCACCCCATGTGTCATTCTCCAAACACGTGCTCAGAGCCCATTAGAATGGTTGCTATCGAGCTGTCTGGGAGAGTGTTTGCCAGGCCAGGTTCCTGGAAGCAAGCTTGTCTGTCTGTGGGGTGACAGTTCTTGGCTCCCCTGAGACAGGACCCAAGAGGGGCAGATGAGAAGAAAGTGCCAAGAGGTAAAAATCTAGAAATCAGAGCTGGAGCAGTAGCACAGCAGGCGGGGCATGTTTGCTTTGCTCACGGCCGACCTAGGTTCGATTCCCAGCATCCCATATGGTCCCCCGAGCACCGCCAGGAGTAATTCCTGAGTGCATGAGCCAGGAGTAACCCCTGTGCAATGCCGGGTGTGACCCAAAAAGAAAAAAATAACTAGAAATCTTTATATGAAGTTTGTTGTTTTGGGGCCACACCTGACTGTGCTCAGAGCTTACTTCTGGCCCTGCACTCAAGAGATCTTCTAGTCAGCTCGGGGTTCCATAGGTGGTGCTGGAGATTGGATCTAGGTTGGTTGTGTGCAAGGCAAGCGCCCTACCCACTAGACTATTGCTCTGGCCCCTTTATAAGAATTTTTGAACTTGGCTATAATGTTACCCTGCTAATAGGATCCCAAAGCAAGGCCTATGTCCTCTCCAAGTCAGCTAGGATGGAAGTGGAGGATCCCATTTCCCTTAGGAAAAGGTTTGATGGGAAGCGGAGCCAACCCTGTGGTCCCATGTCCTCATGGTTCAGAAATCCAGAGGAAGGCCAGTGCCGACCAAGCAAACCACTCATCGCTGTGGGGAAAAAGGGTTTTTATTAACCAACGGGTTAGGAGGAAGGTTGGGAGGAGCAGAACCCAGGCTCCCCAGGCTGGCAGGAGCCTGTTCGGCCCACCTGGCTGGTGAGTGGGGGGTGTTTCTAAGGGTAGTTTTTTTCACAATAAATACATTCATTGTAGGGGAGAAAAGGGGTGAAGGGTAGTAAAAATCCGTGGGATGCCACGTCCTCAGCTACAAAAATAACAGTCATCCTCACCCAAGGGAAATGGGAGGCTCAGTCAGGATTTGATTGTCCCTCATGGGCCTGGAGACTTCAGAGGCCCCTGGACCCTGAAAGTGCCCCGGTGAGGTAGGACAGGGGTGGGAGCCAAAGCATCCAAACTCCCAGCCTCTGCCCTTTGCATAGTTCCAAGAACGGGCTTCATGTGCCAGGTAGACGTCAGATCTCTCCTCCCTCTGCTCTGGTTAGGGGTAGCAAATGCTTGGTTCCCAAAAGGGAGGCTGGCTCATTGAGTGCAGAGTTGGTCGCCCATCCTCGAGTGTCAGCGAGGACCGCTAAATGGGAGAAGGCTCTCCCTCTGAAATGTCCACAGACCAAACCTGACAGACACAAGGCTCAGAAGGTGCTTGTGAGAGGAAATGTGTGCACGCCTGTGAGGGAGGGGCATGCCGGGGGCTCGTCTTGCTACTCGGGTTACTGAGGGGCTTGGGGGAGGCTGACTCACGAGGGCTGCATATAAAGGGAGGAAGAGGGGGATGATGCTGTCTGACCTCCCTCCACTGGCCTGTTCCTAAGCGGCTCTCTGCCAAAGAGGTCACCACGTGGGCTGGGTCTAAAGGACTAGATAGGATGGGATGTGGCAATAGGGTACCCAAAGTCCAGGAGAAAGAATGAAACATAAGAATGGGGGGCCTGGGGGGGCCTGCAGCCCGGCTGATAGACATATAAAGGGGGATGTACGTAGGGCTCAGGTAGCTGGCAGAGGTCTTTGTGGTTTGGGGACCATCCAGTACATTGGGCCATACAGACAGAGAGTGGTGACATTGAGGCTGTCTGGACCTGCAGAGCCCTGCATAGGGAGAGAGGAAGGATGAGTAGGAAAAAAGGGGCAAGATAGTGGGGTTCTCTCCTCCCAAGTGCTCAGGCCAGAGGACTAGGAACTGGGGCAGGCGCTGCAGAGCAGCAGAGTCTGAGGGAGCACCTACCTCTAGGAGCACCGTTTGGCCTGGGCTGTTCACGTAGAACGTGAAGACTGAGAAGTAAGGGTGGGTGCAGACTCTTTCTGGATCCGTTGGTCTAGCCCTACAGGAACATCAAGAAATTCGGGGGAAGGGCTTGGAGTGGGGCAGGAGAAGGGGCGGGGGATGACTGCTGGGTAGGCAGCCCAGCCTGGGGCAGGTAGGCTGACTTGGAAGAGGGTTGGTTGGTTGATCTTTTTTTTTTTTTTTTTTTGTCCCGGGAGGTTGCGCTCAGACAGAGCTCTCGTCCAGGTTCTCTACGAGCTGTGTGTGCTTCCTCTTTTCCAGGATGCGGCTGAGTTCCTCAGCAAAGGAGCAGGGCCCCGCTGGCACTCCGTTGTTGCTTTGCCTCAGCAGCATGTAGCTGTTGCCATTCATTCTGCGCAGCCGGCTGGGCAGCGCCACCAGCCCATTAGTCAGCTCAGTGGGTGGTGGGGGCGGGGGCGGGGGCGGCGGCGCTGGGGCTCCCTCCCCAGGAATGACCTGGAGGCAGTTGCCTTCCACGCCCCCAGTCCCCTCCCCGTCGTCACCCTCATCTTCCTCTCCTGGACACTGGCCTGAGACCGTCTGCAGCTGCACAGCCGAGCCCCCTGCCCGGCGTGCTTGACCCAGGGAGTATTTTCGTCGATTACCTCCTCTGTTTTCCTGCAGATAGGCCATATAGAGGAGGCAGGCGGTCAGGATAAGGCAGAGGCCACCGAGCACAGCAATGGTCATTACATAGAGCGATCTCCCACTGGAGTGTGGAGCCGTTTGTGGAACTGGGGTAGGAGTGTCCTGCCGCACTGAGAGACTGTAGGAGGCCAGCAGGGTGCGGAGGCTGTTTTCCTCAGCATAGCAGCTGTAGTTGCCACTGTGCTGGGCCTGCGTGCCGATCACCAGCAGCCCGTCCACTCCCACACGGTAGCCGTTCTGCCCATCTCTCATGACCACAGTCCCATTGAGCAGCCACAAGGCCCGGGCCAAGTTGGACGGTTGGTCACAGGGCAGGAGGACGTCATCACCTCGGAGCACAGAGCGGAGCTTCAGTGGTGGTGGCAGCTCTGGAGGGATGAGGGGACAGGAGGCACCGTCAGTGCCCCAGAGAGGGCATTGAAAGGGACAAGCCAGGGGGTTCACTGTCAAGTTCCCAGAACTGAGCTCTGAATCTGAAATCGGTGACAGTGGACAAGCCCTCTGTGCTCGTGCTCCCGTTTAAGGTTCAGGTTGGCTTTTCTCAGGAAGCAGATAATGCCTCCGGCCCATTCCCTGCTCGAGCTCTGCTCATCCTTTCCTGTGGATTTAATTCCTGCCATCTGCCAATGATTCCTAATCTCTGCCCCCCTGTCACAGAGTTCTCTCCTGAGTGCCAGACTTCAGTCTCTTCCCTGTGCTGCCGGGCATCTCCACAGGAGGTCTCTTGGACAAGTCACAGGAACTAAAGCCAATGTCTCCCTCCCTAGTTGCACCAGCCCTTTTCCCCTTGAATTATCATAGTGAATGGCACCACCAGCTACTGAACTGTGTAAGGCAGAAAATGGAGTCCTGTGTCTGCCTCTTCCACCTGCTTTGTATCTAATCCTTAGATTCTGCCTCCTAAATTTTCTCAGACCTGTTTATGTCTCTCCTTCCCCAGATGCTGACCTGCTCTGTTTCTCATCTGGTCTCACTGTGTAGCAGTGGGGTGACCTTTTAAAAACACTAATCTGCTGGGGAGATGGAATAACAGGTCGTGCATTTACCTTGCATGTGACCAACCTGTATTTGGTATTCGGCATCCCGTGTGGTCCTCTGAGAACCGCCAGGAGTTATCCCTGAACGCAGAGCTAGGAGTAAACCCTGAGCACAGCTAGGTGTGCCCTCCCCTCCAATTTTTTTTAAGTTGGGGGAAAAAAAAACCCGCTGGTCATTCCCCTCCCCTGCCTCAGCTTGAGTCCTTGCCTTCTTCTCCAGCCTCTTTTAGCTAAAAGTGCCTCCTTTGCTCTGCTTGTTGTTCCCTCAGCTTAGGTGCCGCCCCCTTTTCAAGCCCTGGACTTGTTTGATGAACTCAGGCGAGAGATTATAACAGTGATCAAAGGGGCAGAAGCAATAATACAGCCGGTAGGGTGCTTGCCTTGCACGTGGCCGACCCAGGTTCAATCCCCAGCATCCCAAATGGTCTCCCGACCATTGCCAGGAGTAATTCCTGAGTGCAGAGCCAGAAGTAACCCCTAAGCACCACCAGGTGTGGGACAAAAAAAAAAAATTATGTGATCAAAACTGCAAACTCCAGTCAGATTAAGTCAGATTATTTAGGGTCAGCTTTACATCAGAAGCTGCTGACAGCTAATAGAGCAGTTAACTTATTCTGTCTGTGCCTAAGACAGGAAGGAGTCTTAAGGAAATGGTAATAATGACACCTCTCTAAGGATTGGCAGGATTAAGTGAGATGGTATGTGTGTGTTTGATCATAGTATCAAGTATGTTAGCCATGATTAACATTTATTCTTTCAGATAGCTCAGTTATCTTCCTTGGGGAAGAACATGTTACCTTCATAAACTCTTGCCATAATTATAATTATTCTTTTTAAACAAAATAACGAAAATATGGACGTGATCATTTGATTGCCTCTATCCTTCCTCACCTACACACTCTAGAAGCTCTAGACGTTCCTAAACTTTATAACTCATTTGAACACCAGATGTTTGTTGAGTAGTTACTGTCTACTGGACGTGACTGGGCTGCCCTCTCAGAAAGCAGAGACACAGGCCATTCTGGTACCTGTACACTATCAGCAATGAATGGCAGAGGCCAGGCTGTGCAGGTGGATGCGCTTACCTGTGTCTGTGTGGCCGTCACAGCCTCGGTTTCCTCGCTCTATGTCCTGTATCAGTTCTGACCTGGAGGCAGAGATCAGGACTAATAAGGGAATATGAACTTTTTTGTTTTGGGGTCACACCTGGCAATTCTCAGGGTTTATTCCTGGCTCTGCACTCAGGAATCACTCCTGGAGGTGCTCAGGGGACCATATGGGATGCCAGAGATTGAGCCAAGGTCAACCACATGCAGAGCAAGCATCCCACCCGCTGTTCCATCTCTCTGCCCCCGGGGCATGTGAGCTTTGTGGTCCCCAGTGGTGGTCAGCAGGGGCTGGTGCCAGCCTGGCCCCCCTCCTGAGTCCCCATTCCATTCATCCCAGGACACAGAAGACCCTTGTTCCTGTCAGTTCCTACCTGTCAGTTAGGGTCTTATTGGGTCCGGTGGTAGCTCTGCAGGCATGGGCATTGGGGTCCCAGCCACAGTAGGGGTCCCGGGCCAGAATGCAGTCGTAGCAGGAGTGGTAGCGGGAACAGAAGGATAACGGTAGCTGCACGACTTCACTAGAACCCCCAACGTAGAGGCTGTGCTGGGAGCCAGAGAGAACCGTTGGTCATCAGCCCCCCTGCCCCCTAGAGAAACAGCTCTACACCCTCCCTCTGTTTCTGGCAAGGCCACCCTGGGTCCCAAGTCAGGGGTTACCTGCATTGGAGAGACAGCCAGATTCTCCACCGACTGGGCCTCCTTGAAGACTTGTGTCTCTTCAATAATGTGCACCCCAGAGCCCAGAACCACGGCCTTGTGGATCCAGCCGTCAGCTGGTGTGGAAAGGGCAGAGTCAGACTCACCACAGCTGACACTGGCTTCCAGCTCCCTGCAGCAGCCCAGTGACTGACCAGGGACAGGGCTGGGCCAGTAGCCATGGGCCCTTGGCTTGGGACATCAGGGATTTTGGCTAATCAGCGGGAATTACTGGGCTCAGCAGAATTAGAGGTAGGGTCAAGTGTCACTGTGGTTGGTGACAAAAGTCTCAAGAAGCAGTGGTGAGTATTCACTGAAGAATCAACATGGGCCTGTGGGGGCTAGTGATGAGCAGGGGTCAAAGACTCATGTCACATGTCCCTGGAAGCCTCTCAGTTCAGGGTTAAAAGCACCTGTGCTTAGGAAGAGCAGGTCATAGGTGGGTCCTGCCGGCGTGGTGACAGGTGTCCCTGTGAGGTGTGTGTAACGCACATTGCGCTTGAGCAGGAGGGGCCGTCCGCGTGTGGGCGGCACCGGCCGCGCCATCACTGGGTGCAGCCTGACAAAGTCCAGGACCGTGGTCGGCAAATCATGTGATGAATTGTAGCCTTGGCTGCGCAGGGAATCTGTGATGCACTGGGGAGGGGGCAGGGTGGTGAACCGCAGGGCTCCACCATGGCCAGGCCCTCCTGCCCCAGCCCAGCCCCCGCAGGGCTCCACCATGGCCAGGCCCTCCTGCCCCAGCCCAGCCCCCGTCACTCACCGAGCCAGGCCGGGGCTCTGGCACTGCGCCCTCATAGAGGCCCCAGCGCCGAGCACGATCCTGGTACTCCAGGTAGGGGCCTGTGAAAACAGCCTGCAGGTCAGCCAGGTCGTAGCGGCAAATCACTGAGGCCTCCAGGGTCTTCCTAGGGATGGGACATCAGGGAAAGGGCAGAGTCACGCTGAGTGAAAGTCACCCCCTGCCAACCTACCAAATTTTTTTTTTTTTTGCTTTTTGGGTCACACCTGGTGATGCACAGGGGTTACTCCTGGCTCTGCACTCAGGAATTACCCCTGGTGGTGCTCAGGGGACCATATGGAATGCTGGGAATCAAACTCGGGTCGGCCGCATGCAAGGCAAACGCCCTACCTGTTGTGCTATTGCTCCAGCTCCAAACCTACCAAATCTTTTTTTTTTTTTTGGCTTTTTGGGTCACACCTGGCAATGCACAGGGGTTACTCCTGGCTCTGCACTCAGGAATTACTCCTGGCGATAGCTCAGGGGACCATATGGGATGCTGGGAATCGAACCCAGGTCGGCCGCATGCGAGGCCCTACCCGATGTGCTATTGCTCCAGCCCCCAAACCTACCAAATCTTGAGCCCACCGCTGCCCTGGCCAACCACAGGACCTGTCCCGAGACTCAGATGGCTGCTTTGGCTGCTGGCCCTTGGCGAGCCAGATATGCCTGAAATTCTGCTGCCAACCCTCCCCGCGGATTCTGTTATCTTCACTGGCTGCCGCTCCAGTTCCCGCCTCCCCTCTGTCCCCACACTGACCACTGCGTGACTAGCGTGAAGGCTGCATAGAAGCGTGTGCCGGCTGCAGTATCAGCATCCAGGCTGCAGACACTGCGCAGCGTCTCATACTGTGGAATGTGGCAGATGAGGCGCGCCTTCAAGAAGGTGGTCCACTTCTTCTGCAGAATCTTCTTCCCTCCCAGGTCTCCCTGGGGAGGCAGAGGCATGGGTGGGGTCAGGGAGTCAGTGTCGGAGGTTCGATCTCTCGCACGGTGCCCCAGCCGGGACTTGACTCACCTTGCACACGCGGGCCACCCGGGCCACACGGTTTACGCGTTGGTTGCTGCGACTCTGAGGAAAGTTGACATAGCCTTCATCCATAGCACGCTCCATGAAGAAGTAGTAAACCTTGTCATCGTCACCCACCGCACTGGTTTTGCTCTCCGGGACCAGGACGGAGAACACAAACTCAGCATCTGTGGGTCAGGTGGTTCAGGGGGCTTCTGAAAGAGGCTGGGGATCCTCCCCCCGTCTCCACCCCTTACTCCACACACAGGAAGACAAGGCTCACCTGGGGGCCTGGGGGTGGGATGTCCAACCAAATAGTCCCCTACCCCCCATCATCCTGTGCCTCATCCTCCTAACCATTGAGCCAGTGTATCGGCGCCTCCTCCGTTTTCAGGGTGTATGGGTGGTGGCTTCGGCGAATGTCAGGGATGCTCCGGAATTCATAACGGGTGGCTGTGTAGAAGCTTCCATCTGGGCCGGGTGAATGGGAGGGGGGATAGAACAGGTGGAAGACGCAGATCACATACAAGGCACACAGGGAGCATGTCCGAGTGAACAGATCCAAGCCCCATGTGACGGTGGGTGAGGGTCAGGATGGAGTCGAGGGCACACTCACCGATGAGGAGGCCGGTGAAGCCATGGGCTGGGTCATAAGGACACATCTCCCTTCCCTCCTCAAAGTGGGTTGGCATGGTGAAGTCTTCTGCATCCTGGGGAATGAGCGGTCAGAAGTCAGGGGGTGCTACCAGGGATCACAGCGGTCTGGGGTTGGAGCAACCCCAGGGCCAGGCCAGGGAGACTCACAATGACGGCACAGAAGGGCTGGAAGGCATGAGTCCCGCATACATAGAGGTGGGTATCATTGAACCGCTGAAGGAAACGCACATGGTTGAAGCACTCGGTCTGTGGGGCAGATGGGGGATGCTCAGTTCCTGGCCTAGTTAAAGGCCTCTTCTATGACTCTAACTTTGTAGTTTCGCTCTGTGCCCATCCACAGTATAAATAGTTCTCTCCAGGATCCCGCGGGGCCTTCTCATTGCCCAGAACAGAATATTCCCTGGAAACGCCCTCTCTTCTGGCCTCCCAGGGAGATGGCCCCTCTTGATACTCTCTGCCAGCTTCTCCGGCATCACCTTTGGTCTCCTGTACCCAAGTTAAGGGCTTCCAGCACCCTAAGATGCTTCTTTCACATCTCGTTTTTGTTTGTTTTTGCTTTTTGGGTCACACCCAGTGATGCACATCAGTTACTCCAGGCTTTGCACTCAGGAATTACTCTTGGCGGTGCTCAGGGGACCGTATGGGATGCTGGGATTTAAACCCAGGTCAGCCACGTGCAAGGCAAACCCAACCCGCTGTAATATCCCTCCAGCCCCTTATTTTTGTCCTTATTTTGCTTTTTTAGGTCATTCACCCAGCAATACTCCTGGCTCTGCATTCAGGGATCACTCCCGACAGTGCTTGGGGGGACCGTATGGATGCCGGAGATGGAACCCCAGTTAGCCAGAGGCAGGCGAACGCTCTGCCTGTCGTACTATCGCTCTGGCCTCAGTTTCTTTCACATCTCGCCAGAAACAGGCACCCCAGACCTCTCTCCACCTGATGCATCATAGACACGTCCACCTCACCTTGTCTGAAAGCATGCTCACCACTCCCCTGCCTGCCTCTTCCCTCCCCAGCCAGTTCCTCTAGTCTTTCCCAGTTCCCTTCACCCATCTCTCCTATTACTCAGTCTATAAGCCAGGAGACACCCATGCTCCTTCCCAGTCCTTTACTCTCTTCTCCATGATTCTTTGTCCTAAATGTCCCTTGACTTGATCTGCTTCTCTCCACCTCCTTAGCCATCATCCAAATACTACTGTCACCTCTTCTTCAGACAACAGAAGTGACCATCTGACAGCTTCCCATCCTCCACTCTTAACAAATACTTTCATTTGCATTGCAAACACATAGATTCAAAAGGTACAAAGGGAGATGTTGCAAACAAGAAGAGTTTTTCTTTAATCCCTGTTGGCTTCAAAAGGGACTGCTGTTCCCATTGTCTGGAGTTTCCTTCCAAAAATATTCTACCTATCAGCACAGTCCAGCAACCCACTTTTCAAGACATATTTAAAAAATGTAAACCAGATCATTCCACTGCTGTATTTAAAAACCTTTGAGAGGTTCACCGGAGACCTGAACAGAGACCACAAGCTTCCAGGCATGCCAGGAGAGGACCCTGTCCCTTTCTTTGGCCTCACCCACCCCAAGCCCCCCCCCCCCCCCCCCCCCACACACACACATACACACCTGTACCTGTAATGAGTTATCCTTTCAGGTTATTTTAGATAGGGTCAGATAATAGCTAAGTGGGCACTGAGCAATTGCTTATTGTTATCATGATTATTATTTGAAAGCCCAGAAGAATTAAAATGCCATCATAGGGCAAGCTGGTAGGTCACTAGATGCCCTGCCGGCAACACTTGCAATGTTTGTTGAGCTGCTGCAATGCACAGTTGATCTGTTCCTTTGTCTATGTCCCCACCAACCCTGACATTGCAGCTGGGGACAGAGCAGACCACATACCTGGTTGTTTTTCCCTTTGAGATGACATTGGCTTTGCTTCTCTGCGGAGACCTCCCAGAGGATCTGGAGGGAGGGAAAGCGAGAGGCTGTCAGGCTGACTCTCACCATAGCTCACCTGATGAATCAGGCAAGAGGACCCCAGGGAATGGCAGGATTGGGGGTGGCGAGTTTCCTGAGGATCACAGGGGGACCTCCCCCGATCCGGGGAAGAGCAGCATGTGCTGACCATCAGGCCCTGAAAGGCTAGTGGGGTTTCCAGGAGGTGGGGAGCCGAAGGAAGCGGGACTCTGACCTCTTTGTGCGCCCCATCTCCGATGTTCTGGGCGTTGAGAGAGAACAGGGCCCCTCGGGCTCCCACCAGCAGCCGCGCGGGGCCCTCCTCCAGCAGTAGAGTCGAGTAGTTTCGGGCTGGGCCCTTGAAACTTGGAATTCCGGAGATCTCTAGGGAAAGGGTTGGAGCTGTAAGCATGGCTTTGGGGCTGCCCTCCCACCCCCACCACGGGCCTCTACAGCCTTTCAAGGTGGCGGGGTCTAACCTTCATAGGAGAGAGTCATGCGTGGGGTAACATCGAGGTCCCTGGAAGTTCTCCGCAGTGAGGGCCCGGGAACTGCAGTGGCCGTGAGGAAGCTCAGAAAGAAGGGCCAGAGCCTCCGCCACATCTTCCTGCGGAGGCCCAGACCCACAGGAATCCCACGGGGAGCCAGTGGAAGGGGACAGACGGGAAAAGAGTCACAGGGGTCAAGGTCCAGGGAGGTTACTCAGGAAGTCAAGGGACATGAGGCCAGGGAGGGTCCTGGAACTTGGGGGACAAGGACTCATAGGTTAGTGTGGCCATGGGATTCCAGGAAAGCGATCAGAGCATGGGATGAGTCCCACACAGTTGCGTGGCATCCAGTCCAGGCTCCATGCTGGGCGGGAGCTGGGTCATCGATTGGGCTGGAGGTGACTGTTGAGGTCACCTGGCCCCCACAGCAGAGCTTGTCCTGGTTCTGAGGTCTGTTCTCTGGGGAGGGGAGGGCGGAAATAGGAAAGAAAGCTCTTTAATCTAAGTGTGAGTGGAAGGTAGATTTTTTTTGGGGGGTAGGGGGGTTGGTCGCCCACTTGGTGTTTCTCAGGGCTTACTCCCTGCTCTGTGCTCAGGGATCACACCTGGTAGAGCTCAAGGACCACACGGGGATGCTCAAGATCCAACACAGGTTGGCTGTGTGCAAGGCAAGTTCCCTACCCACTGAGCACTCTCTCTGGCCCCAGGTAGATGGCTCTCTCGCTGGGCTTCAGGGGCTGCTGAAGCACCACAGCACCCCCAGTTGGACCAGCCCACTCTTTCTGTCTGGATACAGGAAGTTGGGCAGGAATCACTCTCCTTCAAAGACTCCCCCACTCAACAGGGAACAGCTGAACAGCCCTCATGGGGTGGAATAAACAGCTAGCCCTCTCTGCTGCCTGCAGGCCTGCCTTGGGCAGGAAGGCCTGGGCAGAGACACTTAATGGGCCTTTGTTTATTGTCCCATTTTCCCATTGCTTTTTTCTCTTCCCAGTCCAGAGCATTCCCTCTGGAATTTCTCTTTAATTAGACACTTCTCCCTGGCAGCATTCCTCTCTAGGGGTGCACATCTCCGCCCGGCCCCTGTGAGTCTGTACTGCACCCTTCGAGTAGGCAGCCAACACGTGCCCGCCCCTCCCCGCACACAGGCACTCTCAGGCATCGGGAAGGGGTGTCTGCACCCCCACCCCTCAATCCACACACCCCACTACACAGATGAAACATGTCTCTGCAGGAGACTGCGAGTGTGCAAGACCAGTTCATGGAGAAACGAGCAAAGACAAAAGTGAAGGTGAGGGGGCTGGAGAGATAGCACAGCAGGTAGGGCATTTGCCTTGCACACGGCCAACCCGGGTTCGATTCCCAGCATCCCATATGGTCCCCTGAGCACCACCAGGAGTAATTCCTGAGTGCATGAGCCAGGAGTAGCCCCTGTGCATTGCCGGGTGTGACCCAAAAAAGAAAAAAAAAGTGAAGGTGGGGTCCCTGAGCTTTTGGGAGGCGCTTCCCCCACCTGGGAGCACCTGCAGGCCAGTCATTGGGGAATGGGGTGAGAGTAAAGTAAAGGCTGGCCACTAGGAGAGCTACTGATGGCTTCCTGGGGTAGGTGTGGAAGAAGCCCAACCCACCCAATCTCATCGTTACCACAGACAGCGCCAAAGAGGCCACTGGTCACTCCCCTCCGTTCCAGGTCAAATATTAACTAGATGGCCTTGAGGGGAAGGGAGGGACCAGGAGCTGGCCCAAGGAGGAACAGACATTTGGAGTCTCTGTTTAATAAGTAAAGGTCATCCCTTTGCTGGGCAGGCAGAGCCCCAAGTGTGTGAGAATGGTGTATGAGGGTAAAGAAGGGGGTCCTGGGGACCGGAGAAGCTGCTTTGCACGTGGCCAACTCAGGTTCGATTCCCGGCATCCCCTATGGTCTACTGGGAACCTGTAGGGGTTATCCCCGAGTGCAGAGCCAGGAGTAACCCCTGAGCACCATGGTTGTGACTCTCTCTCCATCCCCCCCAAAAAAGAAAAAAAAATAGGGTCAATGGACTACAGACGGGCTGGAGCGATAGCACAGCGGTAGGGCGTTTGCCTTGAGCACAGTCGGCCTGGCCAAGCCGGGTTCGATTCCTCCGCCCCTCTTGGAGAGTCCAGCAAGCTACTGAGAGTATCTCGCCGGCACGGCAAAGCCTGGCAAGCTACCCGTGACGTATTCCATATGCCAAACACAGTAACAAGTCTCACGATGGAGACGTTACTGGGCCCACTCGAGCAAATCGATTAACAACGGGAGGGCCATGACCGTGGCCGGACTACAGACAGGACATCAGCTTCTGGTTTGGGGTCAGGGATAGTGGGAGGCAACTGGTAAGTGGCCTGTGGCCCATCTCTCTCCCCGAAGGCACACCTGTTTACTTTTGCAGCCTCCTGTTTGCTTAGTGCTGAGCGGGGTGTGTAGGGGAGGAAGCTCTAGGGTTGGGCGGGAGGAACAGACCCAGGTGAGAGGAGCCACTCAGAGCGCAGCGCATGGCACACTCACACAGGTTTACGCAAGTCTGGGGAGTGGGGTGCAGGCACACTGGGGTGCAACACACGGATCCCAGGAGGGCTACAAACCCGGGAACTCACATGCAGGGGAGGATTGTGTGGGCACGGCCGACCATGTGCGATCAAACCCATTCACACGGAAGGTTGGACTCACCTGCCCATTCATTCTGCCACACACATGCTAATAATGCAGGGTCGCACAACCCAACCGGGCACTGGAGGGGCCTGTGGACACACGCGTGTAGGGGCTGTGAGCACACAGTCACGCTCACAGAAGGGCCAACTACATGTGAGTCACATGGTCTTTGCAGGCAGTTACATCTGTGTGGAGATGAGCGAGCAATGCCTCTCCATCAGCAGCTGCCAGTGCCCACTGGGGCTAAGGGCCAGAGCAGATCCCCACCTTCCTTCCCGAGAGTCCCAGCTCCAAACCCTGGTTTGTGCAGTGACTGGGGGAGACTCTAAGGAAAGGGGAGCGGAGGTCAGGGGCACCAAAGCCACGCAGAAAGCGGCAGGAGCCCGTGAAGTAGGGAATTTGGCACCCCTCTTTCCCCATACCACTGTCACCCATGGGGGTCGGGTAGGAGCTCCCAGGCCCCATGTCACCTGTTGTGAGGGAGGGCGAGTTTGGGGAGCTGGAAGGGTAGGACTGTCACCCCATCCCAGTGGCGGCTAGGCATCAAGGCTTAATCTAATCGCACCCCCATCCCCCACGCCCCCACCCTCGCCCCGTTCCTCCCCAGGACCAGCCCCCTTGAACTCTGATCACCTCCCCAGGCTTAAAGCCAGGGCAGATGCAAGAGAAGAGCGGGCACCGCCAAGGCCGGATCCGCAAGCTCTCGACCTTCACCCCGAGGTGCACCTGTCCACCATCTCCCGCCGCCCCGCAGGACGCCGGCCTCTCCCGGCCTGCCGGCCTCGCCCCCTCGCGCGGGCACCCTCCGGGTCCGCCCGCGCTCTCCGGGCTCGGGCTCGAGGACGCGCTCTCCTTCGATCCCGGATCCCGCCGAGGGGGGGGGATGTGACCCAGATCCCGGAGCGCACGGGGCGCCCCGCGGCTCGGCGGCTGGGGTCTGCGCCGCGCGCTGCCCGGGGCCTGCCCGCGCCCGCCCCTCCCGAGCCGGGATGCGGGCGCGGGGCCGGGTGCGAGAGGCCTGACCTCGCCCGCCGGGCGGAAAGGGGGTGGGAAGGTCGGAGCCCGCCGCGGCCCTGCGCCATCCGCGCCCCGCGCCCCGCTCACCTTTGCGCTCCGAGCCCCGGCCATAGAGACGGTGACGCGCGGCCCCGCGGCCCCACGGCACCCGCTGCAGGAGGAAGGGGCCGCGGCCGGAGCGGGGCGGGGGGTGGAGGCGGAGCCGGGGGTGTGGCGGGGGCCTGGGAGGCGGGACCCGGGAGCTGGGCTGACAGGGTGGGGCGTGGGGAAGGGCTCTGCGCTCCTCTGCCTCCACGCTGCACAATGGAGACGCGTGGATGCCAAGGCTCGGCAGCCCCGGGCCATCTGTCAGCCCGCCCTCTCCTGGGCCTGGGTCCCGGGGCAGGACTTACGTATAAGCCTCCTTCCCCCTTCCCGCTAGCCCTGACTACCCCCGCCCCCCCCCCCACACATACACACCCCAACACTTGCCTATTGCAGTTTGATACTTCGGCTACCCTCTGGGGGCTTTGCCGTGCCCAGGATCGCCCTAACCCGGAGCTCCTGGTTAGGGAGTGGAGGGCCCGGCAGGTGAAGACCAAGTGTTGGCATAGCTTTGCCACAGAACAGGGTCTTTTAGACTCTTGTCAAGAGAGTAGAAGAGGGGGAGCTATGTGTGGAAGACCCGGTATAAGAGTGTGACCACGAGTGCACACAGAAAATGCTCTTTTTATTTTTATTCTTCATGGATAATAAGCTAGTGGCATTTGTACCTGTCCAACCAAATCTTAGCGGTGTCCCAGGTTCCTCAGGTCCTGGGTCACTCAGTGCACCTGCCTTTCCATTCAGCTCATTGTGAACATTCTTATTCCAGATCCTTCCATGAAATCCTCCCAGGCAATGAGGCTTCCTGTCCTCCCTAGGTTCAGCTGCCTCCCCCAGTAGCAGCCTGGAGAAGTTGCCTTAGAATGAGCTCTCCAGCTCCTTGACTTCAGATGGGATGGTCCTTCATGCTCTCTCTAACCCTGCAGTTTCCTTCAACAATCAAACCCAACGTCTAGTCATGATCTGACCTCATCCAGGAGAATGTCAATATGGGCTCAAGAGAGGAACCAAAATGAGGCTCACTGATTCTTGGGAACTGGGGTGTGTGTGTGTGTGTGTGTGTGTGTGTGTGTGTGTGTGTGTGTCTATGTTGGGCAAACCTGATGGTGCTCAGGGGTTATTTCCTGGCTCTGTTCTAGGAGTGATCCCTGACAGTGCTTAGGTGACCATATGTGGTGCTGGGGTTTGAACCCAGGTGACAGCTAGCTAGGCAGTATGCAAGGCAAGTGTCCTCTCTCCAGCACTCCCTCTCCAGCTTGGTAACTGATTCTTTGATGTACATGAATCTGAGATCTGAGGGACAGGGAATGGGGGAACAGATGGATGAACAGTGACTCGAGAGTGGGTGAATAGGATTCAACTGGTTGTCACAATCGAACTCAAAGGATCCTGGGAGAGACAATTTATCCCTTGTTTCTGAATTCCCCAGAGCTCAGTTTGGCACCTCGTCACATACAATTCTGTATTTTGAGCTGCATTGCATGCAGATTGCTAGACAGAAGGGCCCACGTTACACTTCCACCTCCCCCAGCACTCTGCAAATAGGATGTCTGTGTATTGTGGAGTGATTGTGGAATGGGAGGTAGGTGGGGGAGAAGTGCTTAAAGTGTACACACATTTTTACAAAGAATGTCGTTTAAAAAATTATAATCTCATCCTATCCTGAGGAATTACATAGCCCCATTTTAGAGATGGGAAAATAAGAGGTTAGGCAATGTGCTTGTCTAAAGGCATTATGATAGCAATTATGATAGCATGATAACAAAGGCAGAAATGTGTACTTAAGTTTGTGTATAGATTCATGCTAAGGAAATCAGAAGAATAGGGCATGAGAGAGGACAGTGATTTTGATTTGATGATATGGGATGCTTCCTAGTGGGAAAGATAAAAATGAGCTAACAGGAAAAGACAAGAGAAGAAAATTATTTTTTTCCTTTTGGTTCACACCCAGCGATGCTCAGGGGTTACTCCTGGCTCTGCACTCAGAAATTACTCCTGGAGGTTCTTGGGGGACCACATGGGATGCCAGGGGTTGAGCCAAGGTCGGCTGTGTGCAAGGCAAACGCCCTTCCCAATGTACTATCACTCCAGCCCAAGAAGAAAATTCTGAAAGCAGATGGATTTGAGTAAGGAGCCCCAGTTGAGAAGACTAGCAAAGAAAGATAAAGATGAAGGAGAGGGAGAGGGGGACGGGAGAGAGGAGAGAGAGAGAGAAGAGAGAGAGAGAGAGAGAGAGAGAGAGAGAGAGAGAGAGAGAGAGAGAGAGAGAGATGGGTGGGAGATTGCTAGGTCCACAGACCCATGCAGGAACTAAACTGAAAGGGCAGTATATGAGGAGCTGGGCTAAGGGGCGCAGCTCCCCATAATCCAATTGAACCGAAAATGTACCTTAGGAGATAGCAAGTAGGCCAAAGTGACATAGTGGTAGGTTCAGCATCTCACTCATCTGTAGGCTACAAAGCAGGGCTTTTTTCACTGAAGTGGTCCGATGATGGGCCAGAGAGATAGTACAGTGGGTAGGGAGGTGTACTTGCCTTTCCCCAATATACAGTGCTCTGATGGACAGACTCAGAACCACCTCGCGCATTTTTTTTTCTTTTTGGGTCACACCCGGCAATGCACAGGGCTTACTCCTGGCTCTGCACTCAGGAGTCACTCCTGGCGGTGCTCAGGGGACCATATGGGATGCTGGGAATCAAACCTGGGTCGGCCGCATGCAAGGCAAACACCCTACTTGCTGTGCTATTATCTCTCCAGCCCCATCACGCATTTTCAAGTGAACGAAATAAATTTGTAAATCACACTGGAAATCACAGTCAGAGTTCCAGTATGGCATGTGCCAAACTATATAGCTGGCCAATATTTCAGTGCTTCTGATAATGCAGACTGACCTCAGTCCACTTCTCTCTGGGGTCTGCTCAACCAAATCTCAAACTCACAATCAGATGTGACAGTACTTAATAGAGCCCCCATCGATTAACAATATCCATCTCTGCAAATAAAGCTGGTCAAATACAAATGGGAATTGTGATAGTGGAAGAGCCCTGAAGTGCAAGCCAAGAAAGGAATCCTAAGCCAACAGTGACCGTAGATGCTGGGACACAAGTCACTAGGCTGCTCTTCACCCTTAAAGTCAGTATCCCGGCTGCTTCCATCATGGTGTGGCTGTGAGAGGATCTCATTTGAAAACCTTCCAGTTATTTCAGACCAGAGTACAAAAGCAACGGGTTTTGTTTCTGCTATATTCTCCCCAACCCCACTATAAGAAAATGCTTGAGGGCAGTGCAAAGTGTCCTCGTCCAACTCTACATCAGTGTTTGGGCTCCAAGCTTTGCACAGGGCACATAATCACTGTTGTAGGGACATAAGGTGAAGTGGGAGCTGAGGTATGAGCTCAGGAAACTTGACCAGAGGCTTCCTGAGGCGAGAGAACTCTCTGGCCTAGTCAGGTTGTCCTGCTTCCTATTCACTGAGGCAGCAGTTCTGTCCCTGCTCTGCCATCTCCACCTCTGGTTTACCCGAAGCTTTCCCTTTAGGTGGCATGATCTTTACTTGGCCACAGAAGACAGTTGATGTGCTTCTTCAGGAGAGACTGTCCCCAGTGCAACAATGCTGTAGTGTCACTGCTCCACTGTGCCTCCCAGGAGCCTGTTTTACCTGTTAAGTTTTTCTCCCAGTCAGCCGTCTTGGAGTCAGACCTAAAGCTAGGCCTTCCGGTTTGCCCTCTCTTGACTCGAGCCTGGGAAATGGTTAGCAAAGAAAAGGGAGTGTCAGGACATGGCCATTAATGCTGGAAAAATCACCAAAAAAAAAATCACCCACCACCCCTTTCTCAGCTTAGCAAGATTTATTTTTGCTTTTTTTTTTTTTTTGGGTCATATCCAGTGATGCACAGGGGTTAGTCCTGCTCAGGCACTCAGGAATTACTCCTGGCGGTGCTCAGGGGACCATATGGGATGCTGGAAATTGAACCGGGTTCAGCCACGTGCAAGGCAAACGCCCTACCCACATCGCTATCACTCCAGCCCTGCAAGATGGGTTTTAAATAAAATTATAAACAGAGAGAAGCTTCTGGAGCTCTGAAATGGAGTACATATGGACTTAGAAGATAGGCTTGCTCAGAACTGCCTTAAGATCAATTTTATTTGGGGGCTAATGGAATCTCATTATTACTGTATTTTCTGCTATTTTGTTGTTGTTTTGGGGCCACTCAGTACTGTACTGAGTAAGTAAGTAGTATGTACTCCTGGGCTTACTCCTGGCTCTGAGCTGAGGGATCAGCCCTGGCAGGGGTCAGGGAAGACATATGAGGTACGGAGAGTTGAATCCAGGTCAGCTGTGTCCAAAAAAAGGATCCTACCCACCATACTATCTCTCCCACCCCCACTATCAAAACTTTTAAGATTATTTTGTCATCTAAGAAGAGACAGCGAACATTTACTGAGTTTCTGCAGTACAATAGGAACTTTGCTTAAGTATTTCATGCATATTGCATTTAGTTTTCATTACTCTTCCCATATAACAGATTAAGCAATTAAAGGTCAGAGAGATTAAGTGACTTGCCAAAGATCCAAATGTTCGGTACAGTGAATAGAGGAACTGAGGTTAGGACTGTGGGCAAGAAGGCCAGTACCTGTCTCCTAGTAGGAATTTACAGAAGTATCTCTGCTTTGGCTTGGGCTGTCTCTCTCCCACTTCTCCAGCAGAGAGAAGTGGCCACAGACCGGTTCCTTGGAACTAGAGTATCAGGAGGGAGGGTGCTAGTTCTGGAACTGAGGCCTTTAGCAACCATGCCCTTCTATGAGCTCATAGAAGTTTCTTCTGTGAGGAAGTGTCCACATAGGTCTCTCCCAGCTTCTTTCTCCAGAGCTGTAGCTGATAGTTGGGAAGTGGTCCAGATCCCTGAATCTGCATCTTCTGTTTTCCCCTTCCTTGGTCTTAGGCTCTAGAGTGAGAGTTAGGTCAAGAGGATTCCTTTCCAGGCCTCTCTGACAAGGAATATTTTATTTTTTATTATTTATATATTTTTGATCTTAGTAGCAGTTTATTACAAAGAAGTTTATCCCAGAAGAAATTTATGTTATGGAGGGCCTAGGTTCTCTCAAGCACATGTTTCCCTTGCTAGTCTCTTCTTGGTCCATCTTGCAGCCCTGCTCTCTCTTTCTCCAGCTCCCTTGACAAGAAATATTTTATTTTTATTTATTTATTTGCTCGAGCAGGCCCAGTAACGTCTCCATTGGAGACTTTGTTGTTACTGTGTCTGGCATATCGAATACGTCACGGGGAGTTTGCCAGGTTCTGCCGTGCAAGCGAAAAACTCTCGGTAGCTTGCCGGGCTCTCCGAGAGGGGCAGAGGAATCGAACTCGGGTCGGCCATGTTAGCTGCGTGCAAGGCAAACGCCCTACCGCTGTGCTATTTGCTTTTTGGGTCACACCTGGTGATGCACAGGGGTTACTCCTGGCTCTGCACTCAGGAGTTACTTCTGGCGGTGCTCAGGGGCCATATGGGATGCCGGGAATTGAACCCGGGTTGGCCACGTGCAAGGCAAATGCCCTACCCGTTGTGCTATCTCTCCAGCCCCGACAAGGAATATTTTAATCTGGATACCAGAAGGTAAGATTTCTGAGAACTCTTTTCTGTTGTTCATCAATAAATCCCTACTAAATTTAAAAAAAGAGTGCCAAGCATGTAGAAGTACACAATGGTTATTTAATGAACACAGAGAATGAGCAAATATTGAAATGAGATTACCAAATTTCTAACTACAAAACACAGCTTTTTAAAATTTCTGGTGACACCTGGCAGTATTTAGAGCTCACTCTTGGCTCTGTGCTCAGGGACATTCCTGGCAAGCTTGGGGAACCCTAAGGGGTGCTGGGCATCTAAATGGGTAGGCTGTGCGCAAGGCAAGCACCCTCCCCATTGCACCATGGCGCCTGACCCCATCTAGCCAATTCTTGATTGGGTTATATAAAAGTGAACTGTGCACAATTACGGCTTTATGCATTCCAGAAACAGGAGACATCAAGCTAAAAGACTGATGAATCCAAAGGAAGAGGAAGAAAAATTCTAGTTTAAAAACTAGAGAATGAGGCAAGGGAATGAAACAGATTTCAGATACTTAACCATGCCCACTTCCAAACAAATACGACCAAACACATGTTCAAACTGAGAAAAAGCCATTTTAATCACACATATACATTCATAGGACTTTAACAAGATGTAATATAAAATATTCAAAAAAAAGGAAAAAAGAAAAGGAAATCTGCATTTACTTGTAAACTGCGTAACAGCTGGTGGATTAACTGGCCGGCAGGGCTACCAAGGGAAGCAAATGCAGAGATAATGAGGTACACAACACTGTTAATGAGGAAAAAGTAACCACCACAGATCATGCTAACTGCTCTACATGCCCAGCCACCTGTACACTACTCTTGCCTCCTTAGAGACAAAGCAGGACAGTCCTTCCATCAATTCTCAGACTCAGTACCTTGTTAACGGGTCATCTCTTTTGTTTTGTTTTGGGGCCACACCTGGCAGGGGCTATACTTGGGTTCAGTGCTTGGGGGTAGCTCTTGGCAGTGCTCAGGAGGTTTATGGTCTGGGCAGTGAACCCATGCCTTCAGACTACAGCTCTTATCTTCCTGGCCCCCAAATTTTGCTCTTTCAAATTAAAAAAAAATCACACTTCGTTTAAAGACTCCATACATTGTTACTGGCCCCTCCCCACCAACTACACTTGCCTTGACAAAAATAAGAAATAAAAATGCTCCAACTGAGCCTGGATGACACCACACCATTCGATCTTTTGCATCTGGGGAGAATTTTGTGAAGTCAAGAAGTGAGCTATTACACCTTGAAGTGAAAACAAAAACGCCAACTGTCCATCGGATGGAAGGCGCCACTGCCATCAGGAGAGAGGACATGTACAAACGCTGTTTAGTATACGGCTACATAGATGTGTTTTGTGCACGGAGAGCCTCTTCATTTAACATGATATAACTAATATTATATTCTTGGATAACAAGAAAAGCAGTTTAGAAAAGGCGAACAATTACACACAAAAGCATAAACACATATAAGTACCTTAAGTTTCAGCTTGCAATAAGGGTACTAAGTTTGACATACACATCCAGAAAATAAGACAGAAATTAGTGATTTTTGGCACAGGAATATTGCCAAACACACCACCACTCAGTGCAAGCTTTATCTGCCAAGTCCCAAAAGTGGCCTGACATTCTATGTGCAATGAACATTTTCTCCCCCACTATCATCCCATTCACTGAGCAACAACAGCAGGAGGGAGACAAAGCCTGGGGACTCAAGAGGGAGGAGGATGATAATACTTGATTTGGGAGAAGAAAATCAGGGGCTAGTTGTGCTGAAAGAGAACTACAACTTTTTTTTTTTTAAATGAGAACCCAAATGCAAATACTGACTGGAACATGACCTGGAGACTGAAGACATCTACCAGAGTCATAAGTACAAGGGCCCAAACTAGAGTTTGGCCACTATGTTAAAGGGACAAATCAAGTATTCTCTAATGGAGAACGATAAAAATAGAGACTTTTCTTATTGGACTGCTAAATAAAAATGTATCAAAGTGGTTTTAAGTTTGATGGGCAGTTATCTGTTAGAGCTGCAATATAAAAGGGTCACTTAAAAAAAAACCTGAATAATCCATCTGTCCCCCCATCAATGTACACGATTAGAAAATATTTACACACTGTAATTACAAGCAATATAAGCAGTATTTTATACTTTGAGATTTTGTACACTTTACACAATGCAAAATGAGAAAAATATGAACACTTATAAAATTACACACAAATAATGTATCTACAGAGTATTAAATTACAGGAAGTGAAAGCCCCCACTGTTGGCAGATAGATGGCAGAGTTTCAAGCCTCAGTCAAATATAAACTCTTGTATCTATCTTATTAAACATAAGTGGCATTTTCTAACAATACCCTTGAGAGGTAGTATCAAGATAATCTTACCAGTAAACTCAACGCAGTAAAACTTTTGTTGGTCTGGCTCTTGGAGCCTCATTCAGCTAGGGTTCTCGGGAACTGGATTTATTTGGTTTTCCCTATGAAATCTCTAACTGCTCGAAGCTTGACATGGGCACAAGTTACTGATACTGTTTTAAAGGGTACATTTAAGAGATGGTGCTTTACTCCTAGGCCTCAATTTAGAGGTAGAGTTATTTTTAAAAAAATAAACATCAAGTCCAAATCCCTTTCCCTCCTCCTCCAATGGGAGACATTAAGGTGCTCAGGAGAGCAATGTCATCCAAGTCAAAAAGAAAGAAAAAAGGTGGCATTAATATTCTAGAAACAAACTCTCCTAAAACGGACACTCAGGCAACAAAGGAAAAGACATTTTCAGTTAGCTAGTAAGAGACTATCACGACATGAAAGGATTCAAAGGGCCCTTCGGCCAATTCCAGCATGTGCACTTCTAACTACTTAAACCAAAGGATGGCTTTCCAGTGTTTTAAGAACTTAGAGCAGCTGTGGTTTTCAAGTGCAACATTAGAAATAAGCGTGTGCAAGCACACAAACTCCCTCCCCCCGCTCCCCACCCCCCACAGTGTTTTCCCAAAGAATGAATGACCACCCCTCAGGTCTCTATCAGGGTTACTGACTCAGGAAAGGAAGTTTTTGGACTTGCTCAGATCTTTAAGATTTATTTTGATAATATGGCTAACAAGGGCTAGAATTTAGTCAAGAACCTATGATTTAACCAGCTTTTTAAATGAGTATGCACTTGAAATCTAAAACAAACTGCACTAGGATGTTTTGGCACAAAAACAAAGCCACTATTTCATGGCACCATCTTTCCCCTTCAGGAGAGCGGACAGAATACCAAACGTCTGTTTCTCAACTACTTAAATATATATATGTTTTCTCTTTGTCTTTGTCTTTTGGGCCACACCCAGCTGTGTTCAGGACTCACTCTTGGTGGGGCTCCGGGACCATATGTGGTGCAGGGGATGAAACTCAGGTCTACTCAGGTGCAAGGCAAGCACCTTAACGGTTGTGCTATATTTCCAGCTCCTGTTTAAGAGTATTTTAAAAACTTAACATTAAAATCTTGAATGATGGAAAGTGCACAGACTGAAACCTCCCCTATGGTTTATAGGAGTTTTAAAAGAGATTTGTCCTTTCTGCTACTAAAGCTTTCCCTTTGTGTCCTAAAAGAGCCAAGAGGGAAAATTAAACCCTATTGGAACCTGGTCTTAGTTTCCATGTCCAAGTCCTAAAGTTGGTCCAAATCCTTTCTAACATATTTTGTGTGATTATCCAAGTGCCACAAATACCGTCCAAAACTAAAAATATAATTAGCTTGAAATGAACTGGTTGGGGTTGTTAGACGTGCAACTATTAGTTGCATATACCCTTCCCTTCTTGTATTAAGAATTCTCTTTTGAAAGGCCAGTTTACTTAAGTAGATTGTGTTTCATATATTCTTCAGAAACAGCAATTTCTTCATTACCAGCTTCATACTAGATATTTCAAACGGCACATTTCCCGCACATTTTCTTAGCATTCCATTGGATTCTGTAGTAATCCTTGGGAAGGTTTTTATCAAATTTCTCTTGGTTCATATTTTTGTGGCTGCAACTCTTGTTAAGAATCTGGTACCCAGAAGTCATGAAGCTGCCCCTAAAAAGCAACACAGAAAAATCATCAGATTATAATTTTTTTTTTTTCTTTTTGGGTCACACCCAGCGATGCACAGGGGTCACTCCTGGCTCATGCACTCAGGAATTACTCCTGGCAGTGCTCAGGGGACCAGATGGGATGCTGGGAATCAAACCAGGGATAGCCACATGCAAGGCAAACACTCTACCCATTGTGCTATCGCTCCAGCCCCTATAAATTAATTCTTATAAAAGATACTAATCATCAATAGGCTTTGTTAATGAGAATGGAACGTGTTATATTTCCCTGAAAACCCTATGGTAACAAAAGTTTCACATGTTGTGGTCTAAATGAAAAGCATAAACATTTAAAAAAGAAAGTATAAGTGCAGTATTTCCCTTATCAACACACACACAGATAGAAGAGGTCATATTTAGCAAGATTAAAATTATAGCTGGCTTCGATTATGAAATTCTTTTGTCTTGAAATGCCATATTTACTAAGATGGCCTGCCTAAAAAGCAAAGTCTACTGAGTTTAGAAAGCTAAACACTGGGGCCAGAGTGATAGTACAGTGGGTAGGGCATTTGCCTTGCAGCCTTGAAGGCAGCCGACCTGGGTTTAATCCCCGGCATCCCATATGGTCCTGAGCAACACCAGGAGTAACCTGAGCATAGCCAGGTGTGACCCAAAAAAGGCAAAAAAAAAAAAAAAAAAAAAAGAAGAAGAGAAAAAGAAAAACACTGATAAGGGCCAGAGGGCTTCAGTAATAATACGTAAGACAAAGTGCTGCTGACCCTGGTTTGGATCTTCTGGATAGCTGGGGCTGAGTACATAGCCAGGGGTAAGCCTTAAGCACAACGTGTGATCCAAAAACACCCAAAAAATCTGGGCCAGAGAAAGTATAGTAGATCAGGTACTTGCATTGCAAACAGGTTGACCCAGCTTCAATTTCCTGTATCACATATGATCCCCTGAGTACCACGAGGGTTCACTTCTCAGCACAGTATCAGGAACAGCCCCTAAGCACTACTGGGAATGGTTCTAAACCACAAAACATTCTTCTACCCGCCCCCCTCCCCCGAGTCTAAGAAAGAAACAAAACCAATAATAAACCATTAGCTTAAGTCTAAGAACTCTCAAAGACCTCTCTCTAAGAGGAAGTGCATATCTGAGGAAGAATAACAACAATGAGAAAGTTAAAATATCAAAATTAAGACTCCTTTTCCTAGTTTTCGTTAGTGCTCCTGTTATTTTTGGTATAGATACAAGCAATCTCTGAGGGATGGAGAGCTACTACAGCAGGTAAGGTACTCTGCACCCCAAATGGTCCCCTAAGCCCTGCCAGGAGTGATCCTTGAGTGCAGAGCCAGGATTAAGCTCTGAGCCATTGCTGGGTGTGACTCCCCCCAAACCAAACAATAATAAAACCCAGAATCTACATTTCAGAAAGTTTCCAATAGATACCTATACACATTAAAACTTAAAAGTATCGGGGCTGGAGTGATAGCACAGCAGGTAGGGTGTTTACCTTGCAAGCAGCCTACCCAGGTTCAATTCCCAGCATCCCATATGGTCCCCTGAGCACCGCCAGGAGTTAACTCCTGAGTGTAGAGCCAGGTGTGACCCAAAAAGCAAAAAAACAAAAACAACAACAACAAAAAACCCAAAACAACAACAAACAAACAAACCCTTAAAAGTATCAGGGCCAGAGAGATCAGCAACCTGGTTTGTTCTCGGCCACCATACATATGTAGAGAGTCCCCTGAGCCCCACCAAGAGTGATCCTTGAGCACAGAGCCAGGAATAAGCCTTGAGCACACCAGGTGGCACGTGCCCCCCATATAAAACCAAGCAAATACAAATAAACTATAAACACCCTCTGTTTTGGGCCACGGAAATGAACCCCAGCATCACCTGGCTCCCTGAACACCAATGGGGAGACACTGGATGATCCTTGGCATCCCTGGCTTAAGCAGTACCACAGCATTGAACCACTTAGGCCAGAAATTGTGAACATAAGCCCTGATCCCTTGAACACTGCTTCACAGTGCTCAAAAGCAAAAACTTTGTTCTGTAAATGACTATCATCAAGACCATGAGAATACAAAGAAAAAAGATGTTTTAATATTATACATCTACTGAAAGGTATGTTTAGGATATATTTTTTGTTTGTTTTAGCTGTTTTCAGGGCTTACGGTAGCTCTGAAATCAAGGATCACTCCTGGTGGGCTCAGCAGACAATATGAGACCCGAGGAATGAGTCCAGGTCAGCTGCATGCAAGGCAGGTGCCCTACCCACTGTACCATCCCTGCAGCCCTTTTTTGTTTTTGTGTAAGTCCCTTAAATGCTTAGGATTTACTCCTGGCTCTGTGCATAGGGATCATTCCTGGCATGGAGAACCACAGGCAGTGCTACAATCAAAGCAAGGTCAGCTGCATCCAAGTGCCTAGCACCTATATAAGATCTCTCTGGACCCAAGAATGTGTAAATTCTTACAAATTCAATATAAACATAAAGATAACCCAATTAAAATACAAACAATGGATATGAATAAACATTTCTTCAAAGATGTTATACAGATGTCCAGTAAGCACATGAAAAAATGCTTAACACAATTTTTTTTTTTTTTTGCTTTTTTGGGTTACACCCAGTGATGCTCAGTGCTCAGGGGTTACTCTTGGCTCTGCACTCAGGAATTACTCCTGGCGGTGCTTGGGGGACCATAGAGATGCCAGGGATTAGAACTCAGGTTGGTCGCAAGCAAGGCAAACGCCTTACCTGCTATATTATCACTCGGGCCCAACACTATTAATTATTAAGAAAATGCAGATTAGATTATACTTCTACCCTCCAATAGCTGTAGTAAAATGGACAATGGGTTAGGGATGTGGCTAAGTAGCAGAGCACTTTCCCTGTATATATATTAGGCCCTGAATCTGAGCTCTAGTACAATGAAAAAAGGAAAAATATGGTAATAAATGTTGGAAAGCATGTGGAAAAATTATTCATGAATTTACATGGGAATATAAAATGGAACAGGCACTCTGGAAAGCAATCTGGTAGTTCATCAGATTTTTCCCCCCCTTGTCTTTTTGGGTCATACCCGGGGATGCTCAGGGGTTACTCCTAGCTCTACACTCAGGAATTACTTCTGGCTGTGCTAGGGGGACCATATGGAATGCCAGGAATCGAACCTGGGTTGGCCGTGTGCAAGGCAAATGTCCTACCTACTGTATTATTGCTCGGTCTCTCTTCAGAAAATTTAACATAATCCAGCAATTTCATTATCAGGTGTATGCTCAAGATGTTTTCACTTTGAAAACATGTTCACACAAAAACTTAGCACATAAAATGTTCATGGAAGCATTATTCATGGCCAGAAATTGTGAACAACTCAAACACTCATTTAATAAGTTGAATAAATAAAAGGTGACATATCCATACAATGGATCATCTGGCAACAGGAAGAGCATATGCTATAACATGGATTCATTTGACATTTGTATTAGGTTAAAGAAATCAGTCATAAAAGACACCAAGAATTAGGTAAATATATACAGACAAAAAGAAATTGAACTGTATTAGCCTTGGATTTGGCGACAAGTGAGGGTGGGAGTGCAGGTGGTTGGGGAGTCAGATGGACAATGGGTATAGAATTCCTTTTTGAGTGACAAAAACATGTTCTAAAATTACAATGTGGTGTTGGTTGCACAACTCTATGCACACACTAAAAGACACATAACACTTAAATTTTATTTCAACAAAGCTGTTAAGATAATTGATCCTTGGGCAAGAGAGATAGTACAGGAGTTAAGGTGCCTGCATTGCATAGGGATGGCCCAGGTTCAAATCCCTGGTTTCCCATAGAACTGTCAGGAGTAAACTGAGCACACAGCGAGAAGCCCTCCCTCAACACTACTGGATGTGGTCCTCTTTAAAAAGCCCCAATCACTGAGCTGAGAGTAGCCCCTGAGCACTGGAGGTATGGCCCACCCCAACCCCCCGCCCCCCCTCCCAAATTAAATACCCTCCACTTGATGTAGTACAAGACTTGCATATTTTGGGGCTACACCGAGCAGTGCTCAGGGCTCACTCCTGGCTCTTCATTCCAAGGATCACTCCAAGGAGGGCTCTGGAGGATAATATGGGGTGCTGGAAATCAGGTGCATGCAAGCTAAGAGCCCTACCCACTGTATTATCTCCCCAACCCACAAAAAAAGACATTTTAAAATGGACTCACTCACGTCTGAAAATTCAGTTAAAAAAAATATATATATATACACACAAACCATACAAACTGGAATTCTTAATTTACCACAAGAATCACTACAAGGTAATGCTCTCTCATATGTTTTAGCAAACTCTTTGAAAATATCATTTAATAAAACATTTTAGACGATTTTTTTGTACAAAGATACCTGAGTAGGTCGACAATTCTGGATGATTTCCTGCCATTTTCCATGAATCCGAGCAACCAAGTCCTTAACCTTAAAAATATCAAAAAGTTTGGGAAGAAAGATCAGATCAAATCAAAGCATCCTCAACAAAAATCTATTTAATGGTTAACACAAAATCTAGTAGTTTTAAGAGGGACCACCCAACTTGATTTTCTTCAAGAAGATAAATAAAACTCTCATCTTCGAAGGGGCTTTCAAATCATAGAGATCAGCGACACTTCTTTACTACCATAATCTAAACTACTGAATAGGAATTCATTTTCTCACAAGTGACTAAAGAACATTTAAAGAAATATATTCCCAGCCTTCAAATCACATTTCCAATTTGCTGACTCTTGAGCACACAGAGAATGAAACTATTGCATGGCTTTGATTCTTTTTTTTTTTGTTTGTTTACTTTTTGGGTCACACCCGGCAATGCTCGGGTACTCCTGGCTTTGCACTCAGGAATCACTCCTTGTGCTCGGCGGGACCACATGGGATGCTGGGAATCGAACCCGGGTTGGCTGCGTGCAAGGCAAATGCCCTATCCGCTGTGCTATTGCTCCAGCCCTCTCATTTATTTCCAAAATTCACTGCCTCTAGGTTTTTGTAAAGTACCACGAATCCTTTCTTTTTTTTTTTTAAACATTTTTTGGCGACACCCTGCAATGCTCAGGGTTACTCCTGGCTCTGCACTCAGGAATCACTCCTGGCGGTGCTGCTCATGAGTGGACAATATATGGGATGTTGGGAATAGAACCTGGGTTGGACGTGTAAGGCAAATGCCCTACATGCTGTCAGATTGCTCCGGCCCTGAATCTTCTTTAAATGTCTGATATATTTCTACATTTGGAGATTTAGCAAGTCTCCATGCAAAACTCAAACTTTGCTACTAAATACTCTCAATTAGTTCTTTTAAAAAATATATTATTGGGGCTGGAGAGATAGCATAGCGGGTAGGGCATTTGCCTTGCACGCGCCCGACCTGGGTTCAATTCCCAGCATCCCATATGGTCCCCTGAGCACCGCCAGGAGTAACTCCTGAGTGCAGAGCCAGGAGTAACCCTTGTGCATCATCGGGGGTGACCCAAAAAGCAAAAAAAAGAAAAAAAAAGGAAAAAAATTATTATTGGACTGGAGCAATAGCACAGCGGGTTGGACGTTTGCATTGCACACGGCTGACCTGGGTTCGATTCCTCCATCCCTCTCGGAGAGCCCAGCAAGCTACCAAGAGTATGCCGCCCCCACGGCAGAGCGTGGCAAGCTACCTGTGGTGTATTCGATATGGCAAAAACAGTAATAACAAGTCTCACAATGGAGACGTTACTGGTGCCCGCTCGAGCAAATTGATGAACAATGGGACGATAGTGCTACAGTGCTATTATTATTATTTGTCTGAGGGTGACTGACAGCAATGGCTAAACAAGCCATCCTGCTAATTTACTTTCAAAGGTTAGTTTAGCACGTAAAGATGCAATTAGATTTTGACCATAACTGCTTGAGAAAAATGTTCTAAACGGGAGCATACGCTGCCTGAGCCCATGTGCTGCTTACACCCATGTGGCGGAGCACATGTGGTGCCCCGGAACATGCGTCGTCTGCATCTCCTCTCTTGAGATGTGTACTTTCATGCTTTCGTGTCTAATGATAGAATGTGTGTAGGGGCTCTCTCCGCCCTCGGAGAAGCCTGTGTTCTCTCAAGTACATTACTCTCTCTCACTATCCCCCTCCACACCTTAAAAATCCTCCAATAAAATCCATTTATTTCACTGAAAAAAAAAAAAAAGCTCTAAACAGGCCAGAGCAATAGTGCTGTGGGTAGTGTACTTGCCTTGCAAGTGGCAGACCAGAGTTCTGGCATTCCCCCTAAGATCCCCTGAGCATTGCTGGGAATGATCCCTGAGCCAAGAGCCAGGAGTAACCCCTGAGTACTGCTGAGTGTGGATCCCAAAGAAACCAAACCAAACAAAAATAAAAATATCCTGGACAAGTCAGGAATTTTATAGTTAATTCAAATTTACAGGTAAATTGCCTTTTTTGTTGCTGTTGTTCCCATTTAGTGTTTAGCAGATTCAGTTTCTCTACAACAATTGTCACTTTTCTAAATTGAGGCTTTTGGGGAGTTACACAACTTAACTTACAGCAGAGCCATTCCCTAAAGCAAATCCACAGATGTCCATGTCACTCTCTAAGTTAGGAGGAGCCCAGTATCAGTCTATGTCCAGTCCTTGGTTTTAAGAAACCAAAACCTTGGGCAGTCCCTTTTGAACACGCTTGTTAGCAGTAGCCACTACCATTAAGTTCTGTGGGTTAGTAACTCTAATCAAGGTTCAAAAGAATGTGCTTCTGACTATGCTTTCCACTCTAAGGTAAGAGCTGACCCTCCTGTATGTATTTAAAAATCTGAAATTTGGTACAATTTCATTAGTTGCTCACTTTTATATTTAGCTTAAATCTCCTAAAATCCAAATACTAAATCCAAATTGGTATTGCTCAAATGACTAACCTTTATAGAAAATTAATACAAGATGTTACAAAGCTGAAACCTCACATTAAGTGATTATCCAAACAGAGGCACAAAAGTATTGACAGTACATTACAATAAAAAAAAAAAGGATGGATGAGGGCTAGAGTGATAGCACAGCGGGTAGGGCGTTTGCCTTGCACGCAGCCAACCCGGGTTCGATTTGCAGCATCCCATATGGTCCCCTGAGCACTGCCAGAAGTGATTCCTGAGTGCAAAGCCAGGAGTAACCCCTGAGCATCACCAGGTATGACCCCCCCCCCCCCGCAAAAAAAAGAAGGATGAGACTGAAATAGAATAAAATGCTTAAAAAGTGTTTATGGTTGGGGCTGGAGAGATAGTACAGCAAGTGGGGTTTTGTCTTGATGTGGCCTACCCATGTTGGATCTCCAGCACCTCATATGGCGCCGTGAGCCCGCCATGAATGACTAAGCACAGAACCAGGAGTAAACCCTGAGCACTGCTGAGTGTGACCCCAAAACAAAAAAACAAAAATGTTAGTGTTTCAGGAAAAACTGTCAAGTCATTTTTAATTAGCATGAAAGTTGTTTTCTTACCTCCATACTCATATTCACCCATTTCACTTAGATTATACCAAACCTTATTTATTTGTCTTGGTCACACCCAGTGGTGCTAGGGCCAGCTCCTGACTCTGTGTTCAGGGATCACTCCTGGCATGCGCGGGGAACCATATGGGGTGCTGGGGATATAACCTTGATCGGCTTCATGCAAGGCAGACACCCTACTTGCTATACTGCTGTCCAAAATATCTTAATTTTTACAATGGGCAAACCTAAAAAAATTTATTAGTATTCAAAGAACTTTTCTCCGTAGGTGCTAGGAGTTTTAGAATTTTAAGTACGGGGGCCAGAGAGATAGTATATGAGGTAGAGTGCTTGCCTTGCATGCAGCCAACCTCGTTTCAATCCTCAGAACCACTATGGTACACCTCAAGCCCTTCCAGAAGTGATCCTGAGTATAGCTATTGTGGATCCCCTCAACACCTTCACCGCCCCCCCCCAAACAAACACTGTAGCACTGTCCTCCCGTTGTTCACTGACCAAAAAAAAGGAAAGACCAACCAACTCTCCACTCCCCATCCCCCCCAAAAAAGAATTGGAAGTACAGAAAATTAGATCCCTTTAGCACTGCTAGGAGTGATCCCTGAACATAGTGCAAGGAGCAAGCTGGGAGCACTGTGAGCCCAAAAACAAATAAAAATCTCAAAGAGTCACCTGCAATGATGCTTCAGGGTCCATGCAGTGCTAAGAACTAAAATCAGGGCCTCTCACAAGTCAGTCTGTATTCTACCATTTAAGTGTTCTCCAGCTCTGAATTTCAATTTTTCTTTTTTTCCACTTTCAATCTACCTAGAAGTACTTGAGAGAAATTGACTCTATTATCAAAGAAAAAAGTCAGACTTCTAATCTTATATATATACTTTTTGGGGAGGTATTTTACCCGGGCACTCAGGAATCACTCCTGGCAGTGCTCGGGGGATGACATGGGATGCCAGGGATCAAATCCAGGTTGGCCTTGTGCAAGGCAAGCACCTTACTTGCTGTACCTGCTCTGGCCCCACATGTATACTTACTTTTCCCCCAGATAGTCTTATATGCTACTTGTCTTAAAATAGTAATGTAATTAAGATTAAGCTAACTTTACAAGTAAATAAAGAGAAGAAAAATGTGCTCACCTTAGTTCTGTAGAAGAGCCTCGCATCTTCCCTGATATCACACTTAACATGCTTTTCCAAAGCCCCACAGAGCAGCACGAAATGTTTCTATGTAAAACAAACACAAGGAATGAAAACAACTCTGAAGCATTACAAAGGAACAAAGAGAAGATTATGCAGTTGAACAACTAACAAATGATTAAAAAATATCTATCATTCTTTAGCAATTTCTGATGTTAACTATATCATACAGCAGTAATTATCAGAAAATAGCAACTGCCACAATAGACCATATTGGTTTATTGCTAGTTAACATAAAAAACATACAAAAGTTTTTGCTACGAATTAAGGCACGTTAATAAAAATTACCCCTAAAAATTCAGGATGGGGGTGCTCTGTGTTTAATCCTTGCTCTGCTCTCAGGGTTATTCCTGGTGGGGCTTGGGGGACCATATGGGGTGCTGGGGATTGAACCTGAGTCTCCTGCATACAAAGCTTATGCTCAGCCTGCTGAGCAAGTATTTATATTTCTTCTTCTCTCCCCCCTACCCCAACATACACACACTTGGAAGTGCTCTGGGCTTCCTCCTGGCTTTGCACTCAGGATATCTCTCCTAGCAGGGCTTGGGGAACCATATGGGGGAGTGGGCCCAGTGTGCTGGGGATCGAACCTGGGTAGACCAAATACAAGACAAGCACCCTGCCTGCTGTCTGGTCCCTGAAGGAAAAATTTTTTAAAGAGGAAAAAAACAAAACAAAACAAAAATGGGGGTAGAGAAGAAGAGATGGGAAGAACCCAGATGAGAACTGTTCTATTTGGGACATCTTCTTAATGGATCATGTGGCTGCCAACTTATTATGGTTAAGTTCCATGCCAAAAAAGGAGAATCATCTATAGACAAACAAATCCTGTCAATAATATGGTTGCAAGAAAACAACAATCTAGAGTACATTAAGTTTCTATAGCAAATCCAAAGTTAACTGTTGAGTTTTCTGCAATATACAAAAAAATCTTTTTTTCTTTTGTTTTTGTTTTGAAGCCACACTGGTGATGTTACTCCTGGTTCTACACTCAGAAATTATTCCTAGCGGTGCTTGGGGGACAATATGGGATGATGGGGATCAAACCCAGGTGGGACACTATACTATCTCTCTAGCTCCAGAATCTTCATTTAAAATGATCACTAGTTACTCTTACCAAACCAAAACCCCCAAAACATTAAAACCTACCCGTTGTCCAGAAGAAAAAGAATGAGAGCAACTGACTTCACCAACTAAATGAAGAAGAACATAGGTCAGGTAATATGCCTGTTAAAGAAAATAATAAAATGAGATCAATGAGTAGGCTAGTAGAAATGTCATCCCAGTTGTTCGACTATGAAAATTGGCTAGGAAGGGTTAAAAATTTGCTAAAGTTAGCTGAACTGGTAGGCAGAAAACCCCTAGGATTTCTGATTTCTAATTCAAGCACATTTTTCATTTTTTGTGGGGAAGGAGGAATGAGGAGGGTCGAGCCCTCCAGCCAAGTATTCGGAAGCTATGTCCAGGAGTGTGTCCAGGAGTGACCCTTGGGCAGTAAGTGGTGCTGGGAATTCAAACCGAGGTCCGTGGGATGCAAGGCAAGAGTGTTAACCCCTCATACTAGCTCTCTGGCTCTCAACTGCATTCTTTTTTTTCTTTTCTGGCCAAACCCGGAGGTACTCAAGGTTCACTCCTAGTTCTCTGCTTAAGGATCACTCCTGGCAGGATTTGGGGAGGGGGGGGGGCATATGGGGTACAGTGGATTGAACCTGGGTCAGATGCATGGAAGGAAAGTACCCTATTCACTGGACTATCTCTCCAGCCCCTCAAGTAAATCAATTATTCTGATAACTTCACAGCTGTCAAAAAAAAAAAAAGGCCTATAAAAAGGGTCTCAGTTTAAATTTCTACCAGCCAACTTCCCCCCAGAGCCTCCTCTTCAGTAAATCATTTAATTTTGAAAATATGAGTGAGGAGAGAGACCCTTAAGAGAAATCAGGTGCAGCAAGCTGCAGTGCTGTTTACTCCAGAACGGGATGTGCTCCAACCATCCTTTCACTTCACGTCTCAAATTCAAGTTTACTGAAGAATTTCACCGTTTATTTAAAAAAAAAAATAATTCTTTATACTCACTCTTGCTAGAATGTATCTAGTTTCTAAATTCGGAAATGCCCATGGTCTTAGCCTCTGGTTAGGAAGCTGGCATCAGTTATGTTCCACATTCTCTTTCCTAGTGCTCTAGCCCCAGTTACCTGTTTTTCTAGTTCCATATGAAGACTGTCATCGATGGTGCCATTTGGTTGTTCAGTTCTTTTCTTCAAGACCATTTTCTTTAGCAAATCGGAAGGCTTCATTTGCACAAGGTAGTGATGTAGGACTGATATCTAGAAACAACAAAGAGGGGACCCTGAATCATACTGAGCAGTACAGCTTCTCTTTAAGCCACTTTTCCCAGAGTGTCTTCTTGTTCACTCTGTCTTCCCTAGTTCTTGTCCCTTCAGCATTCTTTCTAGTCCGGTGACATGCATTTCTCCTTCACGCAGAAGTCTGAACTGCTTAACAGGGCTTTTTTTTCCTTTCCTTTCCTTTCTTTTTGCTTTTTTGGTCACACCTGGCGATGCACAGGGATTAGTCCTGGCTTTGCACTCAGGAATTACTCCTGGCGGTGCTCGGGGGACCATAAGGGATGCTGGGACTCGCACCCAGGTTGGCCGCGTGTAAGGCAAACCCTACCCACTGTGCTATCACTCCAGCCCCTAAACCTAAAGTTTAAAGACTAATTTTAAAGCATGTACAAGATGTAATTACTATATAATATTAATCTTGCGATAAAAATTGCAAACTTCAATAAAGGAAATACATTTGATGAAAATGATCACATTTATATACCATGTTGTAATTTTCCCGGTAGTTTTTAAATATTAACTTGTCTAATTGTGCACAGTCATCCTGTGTGACAAAGGGTGTAATTCATTTCCATTTCTCTGATTAAAAACTGGATCACACTGGCTAAGTACCACACATTCATGTATTTATGATTATAACAGCATCAGAGCTAACCTAAATTTTTGACTTAGGTTCTATGCATTTTCTATGTTCCTCATTATCTCTCACATTTATTAAAACAAAAAAGTTATTTATACCTGAAGATTATTGGCATTGGGGATTTCTTCATGTTTCTCATCCAAAAGCTTTGAAATAATCACTAGACTGAGGCACTGTCTCAGTTGCCTGGAATTAGGATTTAAAAGTAATGAGAATTAATTTTCAATATTGCTTGAAAAACAAATTAAGCCCAAAAGAGTTCTTTTAGTTCGAAAGATAGCTAATGCTTCAAAAGAAAGCTTATTAAAACACATAGACTTTTTTTTTTTTTTTTTTTTTTTGCTTTTGGGTCACACCCGGCAATGCTCAGGGATTACTCCTGGCTCATGCACGTAGGAATCACTCCTGGCGGTGCTCGGGGGACCATATGGGATGCTGGGTTGCTGGGAATCGAACCTGTATCGGCCGTGTTGGCTGCGCGCAAGGCAAACGCCCTACCGCTGTGCTATCGCTCCAGCCCCTAAAACACATAGACTTTTAATCACCGTCACTGTCCTCCTGTTGTTCATTGATTTGCTCGAGTGGGCCCAGTAACATTGTGAGACTTGTTACTGAGAGACTTGTGTTTGGCATATTGAATACGCCACGGGAAGCTTGCCAAGCTCTGCCGTGCGGGCAAGGACAAGAAAATTTCATTTAAAATATGTATATAAAGTTGAGAGTTGTCTGACGTTCAGACAAATTATTAAGAACCCTTCTCTTTTTTTCTGTTGATTTACTGATAGAAAAACTTAAAAATTTTTTTTTTAAATTGAGATACCTTTATTTACCAAGCTATTCATAATGCAGCAATTTTATAGTAATTCATAATCAAATTCAGGCGTACAGTTTTCCAACATCAATTCCATCACCAGTATCGGGGACGACTCTTGTCTGGGTTCTGGGACTACATGGGATGCCAGGGACCAAACCCTGGTTAGCTGCATACAAGGCAAGCACCTTAACTGCTATACTATAGTTCTGGTTCCTAGAAAAACTATTTTATCTTTGGAAAAATTTTCTTTTTGGGTCACCGGGTGTGACCCCACAGGGGTTACTCCTGGCAGTGCTCGGAGAACCATATGGGGTGCTGGGAATAGAACCCGGATTGGCTGCGTGCAAGGAAAATGCCGTGCCTGCTGTGCCATTGCTCCAGCCCTGGAATATTTATTTATTTATTTGCTTTTTGGGTCACACCTAGCGATGCACAGGGGTTACTCCTGGCTCTCACTCAGGAACCACTCCTGGCGGTGCTCAGGGGACCATATGGATGTTGGGAATCGAACCCGGGTTGGCTGCATGCAAGGCAAACGCCTTACCCTCTGTGCTATCGCTCCAGCCTTATCCTTGGAATATTTTTAAAAAGATAAGATTCAACTAATAAAAATTAAAAAAAAAATCAAGACTGTCACTGTCACTGTCCTGTTGTTCATCAATTTGCTCGAGCGGGCCCAGTAACGTCTCCATTTTGAGACTTGTTGTTACTGTGTTTGGCATATTGAATACGTCACGGGTAGCTGGAAAATCAAGATTATAAAATATTAAATATCAAAATGAGGCCATCTATATCTTTCTCAAACTTAATGAGCAGTTCATAAATGTTAACTGTTTTCTTTATTTTTTATTGGTCACGCCTGGCCATTCTCAGGGGTCACTCCTGGCTCTGCACTCAGGAATTACTCCTGGCAGTGCTTGGGATCATATAGAATGCTGGGATCATATAGGATGAACCCTGGGTCAGTCACATGAAAGGCAAACACCCTTCCTGCTGTACTATTGCACCAGCCCTACATGTTAACAATTCTCTCTCTCTCTCTCTCTCTCTCTCTCTCTCTCTCTCTCTCTCTTTCTCTCTCTCTCTCTCTCTCTCTGGTCACACCTGGTACTGCTCAGGAGTTGCTCCTGGCTCTGCACTCAGGAATTATCCTGGGCAGTGCTCAGGAGACCATATGGGATGCCAGGAATTGAACCAGGTTGGCTGCATGCAAGGCAAACACCCTACCCGCTGTACTATCGCTCTAGCCAACAGTTTTCTTAATGTCTAATTCTCACTTTCAATACCTTCCACGGGATGTCCAGTTAGGGACCAGCTGTACCAACCACAGAAGATTGTGGGGATGACTAGAGAGTTCATTTATAGCAAGACAGAGCTCAGGTACCTGAAAAAAAAAACAAGCAAGCAAGATTTTTCAAACAGTGGAATCAAACATCCTCCAGATCATAAAAATCCCTTTTTGCCCTAATGGAAACAATAATATTTTATTACTATTTTGTTTGGGGGCCCTACTCAGCAGTGCTCAGGGATCTTGGCTATGTACTCAGGAATCACACCTATCAGTGTTTGGAGGAATCCTATATGGTTCAGAGGGTCACACCAGGGTGTACTGCATACACGGCAAGTTGTTTAACTCATACTGTTTTAGCCAAAATTTTATTGTGTGGGTTTTTTTTCTCCTTCATGTTTTTCTGGCCATACCCAGCTGTGCTCAAGACTTACTCCTGGCGGTGCTCAGGTAGCCATAAAATGGGTGCCAGGATGCACCCAGGTCAGCTGTGTCTGATCAGTTGTACCATCTCACCAGCCCCTCCAAAACACTTTGTTTCCCCTCCCCCCACTTTATTTAAACACTGTGGTCTACAAGTTTGTTCACGATCATTTGTTACAGGTATTTAATATTCCAATCCCACTGTCATCTTCCCTCCACCAATGTCTTCATTTTCCCAAGCTTGCCCCTGTAGCAGTCCCACAATAATTTACTTCGTATTGCTTGTTACCACTAAATGACTAACCAAAATATCCAAAAAAATTATTTCCGAAGAAGAAAATATGTGAAAAGGGACATTCAGTCCTTATCTGAGCAAGCTGCATTGGTGGAGGACTAAAACACACGTTTGCATGTGGCGATCCTAGGTTCACTCCCCAAGCACTCTCAGCAAGTTGTAGTCTCCCACTAAAACAAAACAAATACAAAACAGAACAAAAAATAATACTGAAATTTTAAGTAATGTTACCTTTGTATTCCAATCTCTGATGTTTTTCATCAAATTTATAAGAAGGCTCTGAAAATCCACTAGAGGAATCTGTTTCAGCTGTTTCTCCAAACTCATTTTAAAGACCATTAAAATCAGCAGCATTATTTCATGGTCCTGGTAACCTTCCGGATGTATAGATGTACACAAGCCTAGAAACTTTGATATGAATGCAAACAGAATATTTGCTTTACTTGAAGACCTTAAATTACAGAGTTTTCGACAAAAAATAATATAATAATACTTTTAAAAAATGGTTTTGGGGCCAAACCCAGCTGTTCTAGGGACTTACTCTTGACTCTGTGCTAAAGGATCATGACCATTCCTTCTGGGCTCTGGGGAACATGTCAGGTGTCAGAAATTGAATCTGGGTGAGATGCACGCAAAGCAAGAGCCCTGCCTGTTGTACTAGCCCTTTTCTGTTTTTCTTTTCCAAGACTTTCTTAATAGCTCAGTATTAATGCTTTGATTTAGCTAGTAAATACATTTTCATACCGTTACTAACTCTTGATCATGAAGTTATGTTGGAAATGATATTTTTTTTCTCCTTATGCATCTTAAATCTGAAATACTATAGGTGTAAAAAACTGTTTCAAAAAATTAGTAAAGGTATTTCAGAACTATTATTATTTTTTGCCACACCTAGCTGTGCTCAGGGCTTAATCCTGGATTGCAGTCTGAGATCACTCCTGGGAAGAGGTCAGGGGGCCATAAGGGGTAACGGGGATTGAAGCAGGGTTGACTGTGTTCAGGCAAACACCTATCCACTATACTAACTCTGGCCCCTCTAGAACTAATCTAACTAATCTAATCTAAAATTCCCTTTTCTGCCACATATAAAACAAAAATAAAAATAAGATTTAATACAAGATTATCAATAAATTTCAGAGACTGGATGTCACTTGATAAGACAAAAGAAACTAAATGGTTCTAACTTTGTGTTAAAGATAGACAAAATGTTTTTCCTACCTTAACCACATTTAAAATATTGGTTTCAGGAAGACTTGAAAAAACTGGTTTATAAGATGAATCATCAATTTCTTTTTCCCCAAGTGTCATCTGCATTTCAGAACTATTGAAAAATGAATAAAGCAATATGAAATTAGGCAGCTCATAATCAGGAAATTACTATATTTATGTATAATTTATATACAGTTAAAAATGTATGAGAGGGAGAGCTAGGGCCACAACCTGACAGTGACCAGGGGCTATTCCTGGCTCTATACTCAGGAGTCACTCACAGAAGTGCTTGTGGGACTGTATGTGAGGCCAGGGACCAAACTGGGATTGGCCACATGCAAGGCAAGCACTTTAATCCATATACTCAGAGGCCCTAGAAATGTTTCCATTTTAAGTTCTAATAAATGTATTAGAGAAATCACTATCAATCGAGAAACAGAACATTTCCCAAAAGCCCCTTTATACGAGTTCCAAATCAATCAATATCCCACTTCAGGTACACAAAAAACAATCTGGTTTCTGTCAGTATACTTTAGTTTTCCCTTGAACAATCTCTTATTATAAGACACTATTCTTGTTGTTCCTGGTATCAGAGAGCTATGCAGAAGGTAGCTCTAATTACAAAAAGCTCATAATCTGTTGTTGTTTTTTGGTCTGCACCTGGCTCTGTGCTCAGACACCACTCCTGTCGGGCTTGGGGGAGCCATCTGAGGTGCTGGGGATCAAACATGAGTCGGTCTCGTACAAGACCAAGTATCCTACCTACTGTGCTATTACTCTAGCCCCCAAACTCATACTTAAAAGTCACATTGAGTGGCCTAAAGAAACTGCCACAGGACCAGGGAGATAGCTCAAAGGGATGGTGAGCATACTTTGCATGTGGGAATCCCAGGCTCAATCCCTGAAACTCCATGGTTCCCTGAACACTGCTGGGAGTAACCTCTGAGCTCTGAGTCAGATGTGGCCTCTGAGTACCACACGTATGAACTTCCTGGCCCCCTCTCCCCCAAATAAAAAACTGCCCAGTAATAAAAAAGAACTAGTACTAGAGTACAGGAGTATGGTACAAATGGTAAGGCACATGCAAGACCTTGGGTGTGATCTCCTGCACAGCACAGACCTCTAGTACTAATATTACTGGGAGTGGCTTGTCTCCTTCACTGTCCAAAAATAAAAAAAACAGAAACAAAAAAATTCTAAGTCATTTGACAGAGAAGACACATGAAACTGGCTTCTAGAAACATGAAATATTTGGGGCCACAGAGATAGTACAGCAGGTACGGTGTTTGCCTTCAAGCAGCAGACCTCGGTTCAATCCCTGGCAGACACCCCCATGATCCTGGAGCCCTCAGGAGTGATCTCTGAGCATAAAGTCAGGATTAAGTCCTGAGCACTGCTGGGTGTGGCACCAAAACAAAATAGAAATATGAAATATTGGAGCTGGAGAGAGTGCAGTGGATAGAGTGCTAGCTTGGTTGTGTTTAGGGGTTACTCCTAGCTCTGCGCTAAGGGATCACCTCTGGCAATGCTCAGGGGACCATATGGGGTGCTGGACACTGAACCCAGGTTGGCTGCATACAAGACAAATGTTCTACCTACTGTAAAATTGCTCTGAGCCCCCAAAACCCATTTTTGAGTCCATTAAATATTAAGTAATAAAGTAATAAAATAACACACACATGCAAGGGATATACTTTACTACTAAGGCACATCCTTAGCCTTTTAAAAAATTTCTCTGTGGCCAATTTCTTCTGCTATTGAGATTAAGTGTATTTATTTAAATCTTTAATCTATCAGTCTGAGATATAGATATGCTATATTCTTACCCTAATCCAGGTTTTCAGCTAGAGAACAGTACCAGTCACTAAAAAGACAACTTGTCTATCTCTCTCTCTGGCCACACTCAGCAGTGCTCAGGGCTTACACCTGGCTCTGTGATTAGGGATCACTCCTGGTAAGGCTCACTGTCACTGCCACTGTCCTCCCGTTCATCGATTTGCTCGAGCGGGCCTGGTAACGTCTCCAATGTGAGAACTGTTACTGTGGTTGGCATATCGAATACATCACGTGTAGCTTGCCAGGCTTTGCCGTGTGGGCGAAATACTCTCAGTAGCTTGCCAGGCTCTCTGAGAGGGACAGAGGAATCAAACTCGGGTTGGCCATGTTGGCCGCTTGCAAGGCAAACGCCCTACCTGCTGTGCTATCGCTCCAGCCCTGGTAAGGCTCATGGGACAATATGTGGTGTCAGGGATAGAACCTTGATTGCCACATGCAAGGCAAAATGCCTTACCGCTGTACTATCTCTCTAAGCCCCTCTTTTTCTCATTTTAAAAAATAATCACTTTAAGTACATATATGTAGTTGGTTTAATATAAGTTGTTGCATTAGTTCTGCCTCAGAATACTTCAGACTTTGCTGTGTCAAGGATCTGGAGCAGAAATCACTGCCCGGCCAGTGAGAGTTCTACCCCCAGTGCTGCTGCAAAGGTTCATCACAGCTCTGTAGTTTTGAGCCTGGAAACTCTGCTGTCTGTGATCTGCAGCACTAAAAGTGATTTCTGATGGTGCTGCAGCCAGGCATGTGCAAGCAATACAACTGAAAGAATGTGGCCCCTGCAGGAAGATACGTAAGCCTTGGCGGGCCTATGTATGAGCACTACAGTGACCCCTGGCAAACACAATGACCAAAAACTCTCTAAGACGACCACAGACAGTCATGTGTGACATAGCAACGACAACAATGAAAAGAAGGGGGAAAAAAAGAAAAGAAAAAATAGGTAATTTTCAGAGACATTATTTTTCCCATAACTTTACAATCACTTGCATAGTCACAATTTCCTCTTCCTCCCCCCAAAAACCCCCCTAATTGTGGTATTTTGTGTTTACCTTTAGGAACTCAAATATTTATAACATTAAATATTCTATACTGAAAGCATAATTCCTCCATTAAAGTCTCTTAAAAAATGTGCCTTAGTAACATTTATATATACATACACAATTCTATTTAAATTTATTCCGAGGGGGGCTGGAGTAATAGTACAGTGGGGAGGGTGTTTGCCTTGCATGAGGCTGATCCAAGTTCAATCCCTAGCACCCCACATGAACCCCTAAGCATGCCAGGACTAATTCCTGAGTACAGAGCTGGAAGTAACCCCTGAGCACTGGTGGGTGTGGCCCCAAAACCAAACAAAAGAAAAAAATATTTATTCCTAGTTTTTTTTGGTTTGTTTTGGGGTCATACCTGATTTATGCTCAGGGATTACTCTTGGACCTACACTCAGAAATTACTCTTGGCAGTGCTTGGGGGCCCATACAGGATGCCAGGGATTGAACCCAGGTTGGCCACTTGCAAGGCAAGAACCCTATCCACTGTACATCTCTACACCCCCAGTATTTCATATTTTTCAGGTTATGTTTTAATGATAGTTATTATATCTTAAGGAAAGTCACTGATTTTTCTTTATTAACCTTATCCTAGCATCTATACCAAATTCTCTTACTTGTTTGTAACTGCTTTCCAACTTATCTACAGTCTTCTATCTATAAACACTAAATCACTTTTGTAAATAGTGAATCTTTTAAGAATTCATTTCTAATATTTATCTTTTTTAAGACATCAATACATTTTTAAGTTGTTTCATGTGGTTCCTTCTTTCCTTGTCAATCCATCACTTCCTCTAACATTTGAATCTCTGTCTTCAAAATGTCCCAACAACAAATTCTACTTAATCCAGTTGTAATATGTCAGTCTTTAATGACCAGAATCTGATTTCTTCACCCAATTGACTTATTTTTAGTATTTTTTTGGGGGGCCACACCTGGTGATTCTCAGGGGTTACTCCTGGCTCGCACTCAGGGATCACTTCAAGAGTGCTCAGGGGACCATATGGGATGCCAGAGATCGAACCTGGGTTGGCCGTGTGCAAGGCAAGTGCTCTACCGGCTGTACTATCACTCCGGTCCAATGCAATTTACTTTAGAGTCATCTTTCAGGATCAGAGCAGATGGATCTGCTTAACAATTTTAGGTATCCTCAAAACATGACTAGCTTAAGATCATTTAACTATCAGACCCTACACAACAGTAAACAACATCTTTGCTGATAAGCCAATACCTACGAAAAAAAAATTGACCATCAGATGTTTCATCTCTCATCAGCTGTATGTTAGTTCTTCCCCACAGATCTAACAAGTAGTCCTACGAGTAAAGCAAATCAAAATACTTTATGAGGCACTGCCAGTAATTTTTGTCTTACTTTACCCTCTTGTCTAATTTCTTTGGTCAGTAGTTTAAAACAATGTTAATTAACAATATTTTGTTACATTATTCTTTTTTTAGGGGGGCTGCCCACAACAGGAAATGCAACAGGGATTGCACAGGGCTTATGCCTGGCTTTGCATTAAGGAATCACTCCCAGGCAGGGCTCAGGGGCACTATATGTGGGGCTGGGACTATAACATTATTATTATTAAGTGAAGCAAGATAGTTTCTATTATACACAACTTATTTAGATGTAAAGGGAGAAAAAGAATAAGTACATGTTCAAGAGAGAAGGCAGACTTCTCTAGAGTAGAAAAAGCCAATTATGACATTATTTTTAACATAACATTGTTATAGTAACAAAACGGTCTAAGGTTATAGTAACAAAACATGAGAATGCTTATTTCCCTGTTAACTTGTTATAGACTGACAGGTATTAAGAAGACATTAGTTCAAGATCCATTTCAACTTTAATAAAAACCAAGAATGGATATTGAACATATTATCAAATGAATATTAGAATATATGCAAATTATTTAAAATAATCTTTATGAGTTAATTTTGAAAAGAAAACTTACACTAGATTGTCTTCATTAAAGTCTGGCTGAAGATTCTCCAGAGGAAACAAAGACTTAAAATCAATTCCCATATTGAAAAACACAGCCGCTATGTCAGCCAATGATGGGATCCAGGGCCACACTGGTGAATCACTGAAGTTATCTAATTAACAGAAGGAAATATTTTATACCAAACCCTGGGCCCACAAACTCACAGTTGCAAAGTAACAGCCTGCATTTTATCATAATCACAATGATTTTATAGAAAGGACATTTGGCAATGGTCTGCTACATAATAGGGATAAAAAGAATGATCATAGGGATGGGTTTTTCAAATAAATGTGAAGAAAATGACATTCCTTCCCAAAATACCTGAGAGTAATGGATAAAGGGGTGTACCAGAACTCAGGAGAAAGCAATATATTTTAAATGATGCAAATAGTAATACTGCTGCTGAAACAACAAGATTTTACCATCTTCAGTTCCTACATAGCCTCACTCTTCCAGTCTTCAAAACAAGTGAAACAGATGAAACACAACTCTTGATTTTTCCCTCATTAACATAAATTTCTTACAAAAGAGACACGGAAATTATTTACATGATGTAGATTTCAGAACTTTTACAAAATGGGCATCATCACATAATACCACTTCAAAGGTGAGTTCAGTAAACGAACATCTCAAGAATGTTGCCATTTAGAAACGTTATCTAGAACTACTCTGGTGCAACCATACTCTGGGAAAAGAAATTTATCTTCAATTTTAACACTGACTGGCTGACTCAAATCCAAAAGCTTTTAGTGCTTTCAATACTTTATTTTTCCTTTTTGGTTTTTGGGTCACATCCAGAAGTGCTCAGAGTATATTCCTGGATCTGCTCAGAGATTTCTCCTGGCAGCGCTCACAGGACATGCCAGGGAGTGAATCCTGGTTGGTACATGCAAGGCAAACTCCCTACCTGCTGTATAATCTCTCCAGCCCAGCTTCCAATACTTTTCCTTGAAATTTCTCTGGAAGCATAAAGCATCCTTTGGTTACAGTTTCACCTACACTCCTTAAATCATTACTTGGTCAAAGAGGGAAAATAAGTCTTTAAAACGCTTATCACTATGACGCTAGCTGCCATAGTTCATACTCTACTCTCAAACCTCCTCTATAAGGAGAAGGCCCCTGATGCTTGTTTCATCATAAGAAATCTTTATTTTGAGGGGGAGAGAAAGGGGGTTAGACTCAGCACTGCTCATGGGTTACTCTTGGCTCTGCACTCAGGAATTACTCCTGGTGGGAATCAGGACCATATGGGATGCTGGGGATTAAACCCAGGATCTTACGCGTGCAAGACAATTGCTCCTATCACTAATTTATATCCTTGGCCCTGCAGATACTAATTTCTGGAGTTTCCTTTCATCATTGAAGATTTAGGTGGCAAAAACAATTATCTTGCCCACACAGCAAAGCCTGGCAAACTACCTGTGACATATTCAACATACCAAACACAGTAACAACAAGTCTCACAATGGAGACGTTACTGGGCCTGCTTGAGCAAATAGATGAACAACGGGAGGACAGTGCAGTGCAGTGCAGTATTTTTAAATATGCTCATTTTAGCGATCTGTAGGAGATCCAAGTACATACACACAACCAATAATATATTGTTAATCAGAAAATTTACTCACCATTTCTAATTGTAATTTCCATCAATGTACTTAAAATCTGCACAGACACAATACAATCTGTGTGAACTGACATCATCTGTTAAAAGTAAAAAAAAGAACAGTGAAAGAAATCACGAGCATTTGCAATTTGCTTAGGCATACATAAAGGTGTTTTATGTGCATTTCACTGACTTATAATTATTTTTTTGTTTTTGGGGCCACACCCAGTGGTGCTAAGGGCTTACTCCCAGCTCTGGATTTAGGGAATCATTCCTGGAGAGAATTGGGAGATCATTTAAACCCAGGTTAGCCACGGACAAGGCAAGTGCCATATACCCTGGACTAGCTCTCTGGCCCCACAACAGTCCTATGAAGTAATCATACATTACACATAGGAGTAAATACGCTCAGAAAGATTAAATCACTCTACTCAACATGATATATATGGAGTTGTTCTTAAATCTAGTATAATTCTGAAGGAGGGCTCTTTTCAATCTAAAAAGTTTATAATGTTAAAGCACTTTCTTTGCATGCAGTTGCCAGTGTAATTCCCTGCCCCACATACAGTCCCCGGAGCAACACTAGGAGTGACACCTAAACATCACCAGAAGTGTACTCATTCCCCCCAAAAAGAAAAAAAAAAGCAGCTTTTAATTTTTTTTGGGGGGGAATGGGTGAGCTATACTCACTTCAAAGTAAAATAAAAGAACATATTCATTTATGTAGGTAAGTGCTAAAACACTTTAGAAACAACGATGACAGGTTCAGAGTCACTCAGAAAAAATGATGAGAAGTAAGAAACTAAAGAATATTTACAGGGAGACAAAAGTATTAGGATAGTTGCTTTAAAATAACTAAAACACTGATCTGGAGTTGCCTTGCATGCAGCCACGCCAGGTTTGATCCCCAGTATCATGTATGGTCCCCTGAGCCTCATCAAGAGAGATTTCTGAGCACAGAGCTAGAACTAAGCCCTGAGCATAACAGACTGTAGCCCAAAAACCAAATGAAATAACTGAAATACTGGACTGGAACAATGGTACTGTGGATAAGCTGCACACAACTGACCCAGATTTGATCCCTAGCATCCCATATGCTTCTCTGGGCACTATGAAGAGTGATTCCTGAGTGTAGAGCCAGGAGTAACCTCTGAGCATCACCAAGTGTGGCCCCAAAACAACAACAACAAAACACAAAACAAAACAGGAATACTATTGGGCCAGAGTGAATACAACAGGTTGGGAGCTTGTCTTGCATGGGGCAGACGTGGGATTCCCAGTACCATACATGGTTCCTCGAGTCATACCAAGAGTGCAGAGCCAGGAACACTGCTGCCTTTGGCCCAAAACTCAATAAATAAATAAATAAACAACAACCACAACAACAACAACAAAAACCAACAAAAACCCATGAAATACTATTAGAAATGCGGTTTAGTCAAGGAAGTTACAATAAAGTGGCAATGTTGAATTAATACTGTCAAGAATTACTAAGGTCCTGGGGGCTGGAGCGATAGCACAGCAGGTAGTGCGTTTGCCTTGCACGTGGCTGACCCAGGTTCGATTCCCAGCATCCCATATGGTCCCCAGAGCACCTCCAGGAGTAATTCCTGAGTGAAGAGCCAGGAATAACCCCTGTGCATCACCGGTGTGATCCAAAAAAAAAAAAAAAAAGAATTGCTAAGCTTCTAGAAGTGAGGCCCTAACCACCAGAAGCAAATGTTCTTTTCCTGGTTCACATAACATATCTAGTGTGCTTAGAATGTTCTTCCTGTATCAGTATAGGTTTACTTGATTACTTTCTTCAGGTTTTCACTTAGGTCCTCATTCTATCGAGGGACTACATCAACTACTATATATAAGAGCAAAGTTACAGGGCCCAGAGATAGCACAGTGGCAAGGCACCTGTCTTGCAGGCATGATGTCGAGTTAAAACACTGGCACCACTCCACATGTGCCAAATTGGATCCTGATGGCAATGCCACTTGGGATCCCTAATGCCACAACGAAATATGTGATCTCTGGTACCCCACAACCACAACTGAATAGCATAATTAAAGCTGTGTGAGCACCATGGCCAGCAAGTGTGACTTCTTACAAGTCAGAGTGTAAGCACAATAGTGATTGCTGGTGAGCATCACAACTAGAGTACAAGCCCTGACCAGCACCACAAATGAGCATGTTCAGACTCAGACATCACAGGGAACACAATGAAGGAAAGAGTAAAGATAAGGGGCGGGAGGACACTGGCTGAAGAGACAGCACAATAGGCTGAGCACATGCTTTGCATACAGGAGGCCTGGGTTTGGTTCCTGGCACTGTGCTGTGTCCACTGTGCACCACAGGGAGAAACCCTTGAGCACAGAACTGGGCACCACTCGGTATGCAACCCTCCTCTCCCACTCCCCACCCAATACCAAATACAAACAAAAAAACTATGTGTGGGTGGGTAAAGTAAAAATAAATAAAACCAAACTCAGGCATGAAAAATGTTAGAAAATCTCTTCTAAAACTATAATAGTGATTTACAAGTCTGAGGAAATACCTCAGATACAACTTTCATTGACTATCAGGCAGATAATCTGTGTTAGCTCTTTTTTCTTTTCCCTTTTGGGCTACACTGGGCAGTGCTCACGGATCACTGCTGGTGGTGCTCAGGGGATCATGTGGGATTTTGGAGATGGAACCCAGGTTTAGTTACATCCAAGGCTAATGCCCTACCTGTTGTATTATTGCTCCAGTCCCAGCATTTTCTCCACCATCTCTACATTGACTCCTTTTGTCTCAACTTATCCAACCCAGAGAAACCAAAGATTCAATATGCTAGATTGCATTTTCTTTAATAATTCACAAATAAGATATTTTGAAAGTTTACTCTTCCTGACTCAGCCTATAAAATTGAGTTTGCTAAGGAGAAGTGGGAAGGTGAAGTGTGCTATTGGGACATCACATGCCTAAAACATTATCATGCATCCTCCCGACATTTCTCTTACCCGAAACAGCCACTTTAATACAGGAATAGGACACTGGACATAATGATAAGCAGAGGTAAGAAAGCCTTGTGTTGTCAAAAAAATCTGATCTGTTTTTCCTGACCTGAAAATTTAAGATAAAATCAAAATAATTGTTACTTTCATGGCAAGAGATTTCTACTAACACATCTGACCTAATCTGGCATAACTGAAGCAAATGAATAAGCAGACCATCCTCAGTCAGAGAGGCAGGTTCCACCCCATCGATGGCTTAGTCATACAAATAATTTAATTGACAGAGTAATTTAACTGACCCAATCTATTGGTTGTGTACAAAGTTTCTGTTAGATAACTCTACATTCGCTGGCAGTGTTAAGAATTAGCCTATCAAGCCTTCAAAGAGTGCTTTTGTCATCTGGGGAATGTACTTTCTTTCACAAAACTCAGCACTAGAGTGTCTGTGATCTCTATGGATCTAAGATATGATGCACTGGGAGAAATTAGACCAGTTTGGGTAGTGAGGTAGACTGCTAGCTCCCCAAACTTCTATTCTTTCCTTTTGATAACTGAACCATTATTTTCAACTGGGCACAGTGACTGCCTGAAATAAACATCACTTTTTGTTTTTTAATTACTTGGCTTATAGGTAGGTATGGTCATACTAAATTCTAACTAATAAGTAGGAATGTGAGATTTCTGAGAATCTGAATACAAAGATGGGAGCTCTAGAACACCTGAAGCAACGAGGAGCTAAGGAGAGTGAAAACGGACTGCATTAGTCTTGGGCTTCCTATCTGTGAACTTTTTTAACAAAACAGGTACACTTTCTGTTTAAGAATCTGTTATTTTTACAGCTGTTTCTTATAGTATATTGATCCTAATCTGAACCAATTAAAGCACATGGTGTACAAAAGAAAACTATCCTATGCTGTTTTCTACAAATAAATATTAAAAACAAAATAAATTCTAACATGAAAGAGCACTGAAAACTAAATACATCAGAATGAAAATTAACCCATTAGAACAGGGTAGGGTATCTTTTTTTCTGCCAAAGGTCATTTAGTTATTTATAACATCACTCGTGGGTCCTAGAATAGAAGAAAATAGGTCACTGGCAGCCAACAAAAAGTTTGGATTTACCCTGTCATGTAGAGCATATAATTTTGTGGGTCTTAGTCTGAGACTAGCATTCCCCATCACTGCATCAGAAATCATTTAGAGCAATATTATTAATAAAAAAAGCGAAACATCTCTTTTTCTACTTACTTAAGAATAAGCTTTTCTACAGCACTTTGTCCAATAAAACCAGAATCTCTTAAATCCAAGGTATACTGGTTGAAAATTTTTCCAGAATTGAGAAAATTAAATATTTCTTCACCTGGATGATGATCAGGAATAGCATCAATTGTAACTGAAAATTTCTTTAGAAATTCCCTTTAAAAAAGAAAAGATTATTAAATACCAGGCAGTCATACTGTGCAATTTTTCCTGGAGACACACACTTAAGTGTTGGGATTCAAACCCAGGCCTCCTACATGCAAAGCAAACATTTAGGCCCACTGAGCTATGTCTTTGGCTTCTACTATGTATAGTTTTGTATTTAAGTTAGGTGCAAAGAAAATTTTTCTGAAAGCTCACACTGGTCCAAGATTAGAAGGCTAGCAAGAAATGGTACATCCTCTCATTTTTGCTAATAGTCCAAAGTCACTAAATTTGTGTGTGAAAAAAAAAAACAATAACCAGAGAGAAAAGACCAATGATTTGACTTGGACTTAATCTCTGAAATCCATCAGAAATTGATTAGAAAACCTATCATAGATTAAATGCATAACTTATTTATTGCACTTTACATTCTATGCGATAGCACAGCGGGTAGGGTGTTCGCCTTACACGCGGCCAACATGGCCGACCCGAGTTCGATTCCTCCGCCCCTCTCGGAGAGCCCGGCAAGCTACCGAGAGTATTCGATATGCCAGACACAGTAACAACAAAGTCTCCAATGGAGACGTTACTGGGCCCGCTCGAGCAAATCGACGATCAACGGGAGGGCCTTTACCTTTACCTTTTTTTACATTCTATTGGGCTTTAAAAAAATTAAAAATTGTTGGCAATCCTGTGTTGATCAAATCTATTTGTACCATCTCCCCAAATACATGTTCATTTATTTTGTTAGATCGTGTTTCAGGAATATACATTGCTTTTGGGGGACAGGATGAGCTAGGGGGAGGCAGGCGTGGAGAAGGGATTGGGGCCATACCCAGTGATATTTGCAGGGGGTGGATAATGTGGTGCTGGGGATTGAACTGGGGTCAGCTGTACACAAGGCAAGCCCCTTAAATCCAGTACTATATCTCTGGCCCCTATGCATTTTTAAAAAAATATATAATGCTATTGCAATACTTTACAGACTAAGATACAACGTAAATAGAATGCCTATATACACCATTGTTTTATTTACTGTGGTAATCAAATTCACAATATTTTCAATGTGAATCTGTATTTCTTAATAACCAGAGTGATAGCTCAAAGTGGAATACATGCTCTGCATGCTGGAGCCCCAGACTTAATCCCCAGCATTGCGGGACTCCCAGAGCACCTGACCGGGAACAGCCTGCAAGCACACCAAGTGTCCTCTCTAGCAGTGTGTAAACATGCTGAGATATATGCTGTGAAAAATACTGTACCTGTGCTCTTCTAAAAGGCCATCCTCATCATCTGTACTGTCTTGATCTCCAATTCTGAGTGGAGATTTGATGCCTCGGCCCTGCCTAATGTCTTCCTGTAGTTGCTTTTGCAGTTCATCTAACCTGAGAATGGAAAGAATGTTATATTAAATGGCTTACTTTAAAAAACAAAAACAAAATCCTTTGCTTACATCTAAAAGCAGCATCAAGAAAAGCTTCAAGTACTCTGTTACATGACAAACTTTGTCTCCCAAACACATCACATGATATACATATTCTTCACTAAGACACAGAAAGTCTTTCAGAATTAGGCTTCTACCCACCTCTTGGTATGGCACTAGAACAGTATTCAATCACACAGACTTCAAGAATGACCTCCAAGTGATTTAAAAAAAGGGAAAAAATAAACATTGCCAATTGCCTCTACTAATCCTTAAAAGTTCAATTAAGAGCTGGAGTGATGGTACAGCAGGCAGGGTGCTTGCTTTCCACATGGTCAATCTGGGATGATTCCTAGCACCCCATATGGTCTCCCAACCTCCATCAGAAGTGATCCCTGGGCACAGAGCCAGGAGTAAGCCCTGATCACTGCCAGGTTGGCCTCAAAACAAAATAAAAACAAAAAAAGCTCATTTGACTCCTGGTAGACCGACAATCTGATCCTGCACATTAGACTTGCTAGCAGCAATAGTGATTATCTTTGTCATCATCATTACAACACCTAACACTGAGTATGTACTACATGACTAGCACTACACCAAGAACTTCATGTGTCAACTTTTCTAACCTTCAGAATAACCCCATCTAGTAGCTTACTATTACTAATTTTATCCAAGAAACAGATCAAAGAAATGCTAATTTGCTCAAAATCACATAGCAAAGAGCTGATGGGATTCACAGTTTAGCTCTGGAGTCCCTGCTTACACTGCCCACCACTATTAAGTCTTACTTTATTTTGGGGGACACATCTGGTGATGCTGGGGGTTGCTCTATGTGTTGTTCTGAGGGCTATATGGTATTGGGGATTGAACCTGGGTCTCCTGCAATGCAAAACATATGTGCTCCAGTCTGTGTTGAGCTCCCCAGATCTCCAAGATTAAGTGGTTTTCTTTTTTGATGATGGGCCGTTAGGCGGCCTGGAGTTCCCTCCCAGGGATTCTGGTTGACATGGACTGAGGCTCTGTGCCAAATCAGTTCCTACAGTTCCTGCAGCAGTGCTTGGGGGTGGAAGGGCCATACCTAGAGGTGTTTAGGGTAAAAAAGGTAAAGGCCCTCCCGTTGATCGTCGATTTGCTCGAGCGGGCCCAGTAACCTCTCCATTGGAGAGGTGTTTAGGGTACCAAGATTAAACTGGGGTTGACAGCATTCTGAGCACGTACCTTAACTCCTCTCTACACTCTCTCTGGCCCAACATTTTTTTAAGCCATTAGCCATTTAAAACATTATTATTATTAATTGGGGTGGAGCGATAGCACAGTGGGTACGGTGTTTGCCAGGGATGTGGCCGACCTGGGTTCGATACCTCCGCCCCTCTCGGGCAGCCCGGCAAGCTACCGAGTATCTCACCCACACGGCAGAGCCTGGCAAGCTACCCATGACATATTTGATATGCCAAAAACAGTAACAGCGAGTCTCACAATTTGTTGTGAGACGTTACTGGTGCCCGCTCAAGCAAATCGATGACCAACGGGAGGAGAGTGCTACAGTGCTATTATTATTATCTGGTGGGTGGTGGTGGTGGTGGTGGTGGTGGTGGTTTGGACCAGAGTTGGCAGTGATCAGGGCTTACTCCTGGCTCTGCACTCAGATCACTCCTAGCAGGGCCCGAGGGATCACAACGGTTGCTGGGAATCAAACCTGGGTCACCACATGCAAGGCAAGCTTTCTACTCCTATCACTCCAGTCCTAAGAATTTTTTGTTTTGTTTAAAAAAATTTTTTTCCCCTTTATTTTGGTTTTGGTCAATACCAGGCAATGCTCAGGGCTTACTCCTGGCTAAATGATCACTCTTGGCAGTGCTTCAGGGAACCAAAAACAGTGGTGTGGATTGAAGCAGGGTCAGCTACGCGTACAGGACAAGCATCTCAACCCTTAGATACTATCTCTCCCTGGCTCCAAGGTTAAGTTTCTAAACCAGGGTTCTTATTCGTGGCTCCAGTCCTATAGGAGATAAGGTTAACACAACAGCAGATAAACATTAAATACAGTAATGCTCCACCACTACAGGGAGAGTAATTTGTTATGTATAATATTTATTTTCTATTATTTATTATTTATTATTCACCAATTATCAACTCATTATTTTGGCAATGCAAGCAACTTTAGATGACATAAATTTACAAAGTATTTATTTGGTTTTTGGGTGACATCTAATGATAATAGTAACAGACCCAGCACCAAATTTACAAAATATATAAAGAATTTTACAATGGAGATTTGTTTTATTTTGGGGCCACACCTGGCAGTGCTCAGGACTTACTTCTGGCTCTGTGATCACTCCTGGCAGGGCTTGGGGACTATATGTAGTGTCATGGATCTGAATCAGATGGGTGCAAGCCAAAAGCCGTACCTAGTTCCTTGAAGACAAACTCTGTAATGGAACTGGGTGACAGACTCAGACAGAGCCTCATACATGCAAGGATTATTTTCTACTATTTGATCCATATTCCCAATCCCTATAATAAACTTTGATCTACTAATTGTAACTTCTGGGACTTCACCCCTGCCAACTCCAGCCCCAAATGTCAGGAGGAATCTAATCCAAGCTAGCACCTACACAAAGAAAATGTTTTACCACTGAGCCATATCCCTGCCCTTGTCTGCTATTTGAATAATGTCTGAAATCTATATCCATATCTATCTATGTATATACACCAAACTCAGCCCTGTCGAGCTTTAATGAAGCTCTCAGTATTTTTTATTCTACTTTATTAAATCACAGTAAGTTACCAAGTTACTCATGATTGAATTTCAGATGTACAATCCTTTTACCAGGGTTCACTATCCTCACACCAATGTCCCCTGTTGCCCTTTCGGCCCTCTCTGAATTGTCTTTTAAAGATACTCTTTGAAATAATAATATATATTTTTCCTTTAATTAGCATAAGTAATCTGTAATTAGTTACCTAAACTCCCACGGGGTCATTACAATTCTTAAACCTTTTTTTATTTCTGTGTATGTGTATGTGTAGAGAATATCAATAATAATTCTAAACTGCTTTCTCAGAGTTAACTGATACAGAAATATGTCTGATTATGCTGTTTTCAAAACTTAGGCTATGCAGGGTATATAAATCTTTGAATTTTTAAAGTTTTTTAAATAAAATTTTACTTATGAAACAAAAGTAGAGACTGGAGAGATAAGATAGTACTGCGGGTAGGGCACTGGTCTCGCACGTGGTCAACCTGGGTTCAATCCCTTGGCATCCCATACATTCTCCCAAGCACTGCTAGGAGTGATTCTTTTTTTAAAAAAAAAAAAATTCATTTTAATTAAAAAAATTAAAAAAATTTTTTTAGTTGAATACAAAGCTTTTATGATTGAGTTTCAGTCATACAATGATCGAACATCCATCCCTCCACCAGTGTGCATTTTTCATCACCAACGTCCCCAGTATCCCTCCCGCCACCCTCATCCCAATCTACCCCCTGCCTCTGTGGCAGGCATTTTCCTTCTTACTCTGTCTCTACTTTGGGGCGTCACGGTTTGCAATACAGATACTGACAGGCCATCATATTTGGTCCTTACTCTAGTTTCAGCACAGATCTCCCATCCCGAATGATCCCACCAGGAGTGATTCTTGAGTATAGAGGCAGGAGTAAGCCTTGAGCATAACCAGGTGTGGCTCCAAAAGCAAAAGAAAACAAAAACAAAACCCCCCAAACACCCACCATAAAACCAAACACCAAAAACCCCAAAAAACCAAAACCCACAAACAACAACCAACAACAAAAAACCAAAAACAAAATCTTTTTCCAGGCAGAAATTCTTCTCTATTTAAAAAAATATGTAATCACAAGTGATAAATTAACTCCTAGATCTAATGTAGATTTTTTTTTTGCTTTTTGGTTCACACCTGCCGATGCACAGGGGGTTACTCTTGGCTCTGTACTCAGGAGTTACCCCTGGCGGTGCTCAGGGGACCATGTGGGATGCTGGGAATCGAACCCAGGTTGGCTGCATGCAAGGCAAATGTGCTATCTCTCCAGCCCTGTAATGTAGATTTTTTTTTCTCCCTAAACAGATATATAGTTTAGATACCCAGAAATTTTCAAGTGCTGATAAAGATGTGGCAAAACCAAAGCTGTATAAGCCCCTGGTAGGAAATACCAACTACTATGAAAGTCAATACATCAGTTCATACAAAAATTATGTATAGAATTACCATATGATCTAGCTTGTGAGTTTATACCCCAAGAGAGAAAGTGGGGAAACTGAAGAGATATATATAAATGCTACAGCATGGATAAACCTTAAAACATTATGCTAAGTGAAATATATGGACTGCTTTTGTTTTTGAATTCCATCCCAAACTGGTACTGGGGGAGGAGGGTGGTGTTACTGCCAGAGGTTCTTGGGGGGAACATAGTGGAAGACGGGATCAAACCCAGGATTCCCGTAAGCAAAGCTAGTGCTCTTGCCCTTTGAGTCATCTTCCTGACTCCAAAAGGACATACATTGTGTAACTTCTACTTATACTACATACCCAGAATTCTACTTATACTACATACCCTGAATACTACATACCTATGTACGTCATACAGACAAGAGAGTGCTAGAGGTCAGGGGGAAAAGAGAATCATGGGTTGTTATTTAATGGGTGTGGAATTCCAACTGGGAAGATGTAAAAGATCTGGAGATGCATGGTAGTGATGCTTTACAACAAATGTGAATGTAATGCCAGTGAATTTGTACATTTAAAATGATTAGGGGCCAAGGATGTGGATCTGTGGTGGAGCACCGGTTCTTCATGTTGAGGTTCTGGGTTCAATTTCCACACCAAAAAAAAAAAAAAAGTAGACTAGACTCTAAAAGTGGAAACAAGGATGTGGTTCATGTGGCAGAACACATGCCTTACATGTCTGAGCTTCTAGGTTTGATCCCCAACTTCTCAGAAATATGACTAGAGGAATGAACTTTATGTTATATTTTATCACAATGAAAAACTGGGGCCGGAGAAACAGTACAGTGGGTAGGGTGCTTGCCCTGCACACAGTCAGCCCAGGTCTGATCTCCAGCATCACAACAACACCCGCCCTCCCCCCACCCCCCAAAAAAACTCCAAAAGTTGTACCTATAACATTTGAGCAAGAATTTCAGTCATCAAATACTAGGTATATAATTACAAAGAAAATTTTGTTAGTAATGCAGTACCGATTAAAACCTTGATTTTCTGATCAAGCTTTTGAACAAATCCTAGAACAAGAATGCCATATTTCTAACACAGCTGAGAAGAGAACTATATTAATTTTGTTACTAGCATAAAATGTGAGCTAATTCTTCATTTTATTTATTTATTTATTTTTGCTTTTTGGGTCACACTCGCGATGCACAGGGGTTACTCCTGGCTCTGCGCTCAGGAATTACCCCTGGCAGTGCTCAGAGGACCATATGGGATGCTGGGAATCGAACCCAGGTCCGCCGCGTGCAAGGCATACGCCCTACCCGCTGTGCTATTGCTCCAGCCCCTAATTCTTTATTTTAAAAAGCAAATTAAAAGTAGCCACACAAACAAACATGTTAAATTTAGCAAGGTAGTGATTATGCTAACTAACCTTTGTGTGTCTTCCATTTCCTTCACTAGACGATCTAAGGAATTAGTGTAAGTTCCGCTGTGAGTACTTTCCTAAAACAAGAAGAAAATTTTAAAATACTTATAACATCTTAGTAGAAGAGTTGGGATATTTTATGTTATCCAGAATACTAAAGAATATTTTTTATTTCAATAACCTGGGCCATGAGGGTACCTTTCTAAAAGAATTTTCACCACCATGCTTTAAATCTAGTATTTTGTACTGCAGGCAACTTGGTTTTATGATCGATGAGGAAAAACACTACTCAAAAACCCTGCTAGCCTTAGAAACTAACAGAAAACACCCAATGGCTCTATGAGTTCCTAGTCTTTATTATTTTTAAATTCTATTTTAAGCAGAATCAAACTGCTGATCTTTAGATCTTTAGGTGTTACCACGGAACATTAACACCTTTCCCACCAAATTTAACATCCATAAAAACTTAATTCAGCTTATTCCCCAAGATAGAATGAAGCACTTTATAAATGAAATTGCACACCACAATTAACAACATTTCTACACTCTACCTTCATTTACAGCAGTGGTCTCCAAAGCAGGGGGTGTGCAAGGTGATCCATTGGGGTGCAGGAAGAAAATAATAGAACTTCTATTTATATGAAACTTCTATAGAAACTCTAGTAGAACTTAGTCTATAGTAACTTCTATATAACTCCTATAGGAAAATACTTCTTTCCCTTATGTTTTTGTATAGGCTTTAAAAAGTAAACAATAAGATAGCAGTACATGTATATAATCTTTAAGCATACATATTATATTGGGACACATGCTCAAAATTTTTTTTTTACTGACATAATGTGTGTGATCAAAGAAGTTTGGAGACCACTGATTTACAGGAACAGAACTAAAGAGTGGGAAATCCAGGAATGATGACAAAACCTTCAAAACATGAATGACACCTGCTTCAGTTCAATTAATGGTCATAAAGTTGAATTTTAAAGTAAAATTTTAAAGTACAATTGATCCCTCTCTTTCACTAATTCATCTTTTCCTCTTAAAGTAAGATCAATATTAAAGCTACTTACTGTGTAGTCTGATAGTTGAGACTTATGCCCTTTCGAAAGAGTATGAGGCTTTCCTGTGGTTGCAAGAGTTTGACTGAAGTTCAAAGCCATTATTTCATCCAGTGATTTTAATGTTTCCTCCTCTTCGTCACTGTCTAGGTTGTAACCTAAACTTTCTTCATCACTATCAAAAGCACCCCTTAGCTTCCTTTTCAGTGCACTGCTACCTGCATTGGAATTTCCTGAACTCTCTCTATCTGAAGGGGCTTTATCCGATGAGGCTGGAGGGTGTGATGGGGTACATGGCACAACTTCCATAGCTGGAGAAGGAGACTTTGTAGAAGTGCCATACTCTGAATGCAAAGATTCTCCAGAACTTTTCCCTGAAGATGCGCCAGAATCAGCCTTATGAGTCTTTGTTTTGTGCTCCTTGTGTCTGGATGACTCTGAAGAATGCCCGGTATGTTCTTTTGATGAGGAACGCTCTTTCTCTTTCCTAGGAACTGGCAGGGTGCAGCTTTTAACACTCAGTGGTACCCGAGGGGAACCGGCACTTGGAACGGGGGAAAGTAAAGGTAGAAGTTTTGTGTCCTTTGATGTCACAGAGGAGCTAGCAGTTTTATTTTTCTGAAAGCTGCTAGCTTTTTTAACTGCAGATTTTTCCTGAGGTAAAGCTAAGTGGGGTTTCTGTATCTTAGTCTCTTTGGTACTTTCCACATGGACGTGGTCACTATTCCTTGAAGAATGGTGGCCAGAATTTGTAGATGACACAACTTCAGAGGAGCAATCAGCTTCTTCACTTGGCTCCTTGGATATATCTTCTAAGCGCAGTACATCGCCAGGGGTCTTTAGTGCAATGTGTCTTATAAATTTCTCTTTCTGATGTGGCCCTTCAGGACGCTTCTCAAGGAAGGACTCTTTTGCTTTGGGCACTACAGATTCTCTTGTACTTTTCAGGTCTGAGTCCACAGAGTTCCTTTTTCTTTTGTCAGGAAATTTATTCTTAGAGCCTGCTAAAACAGAATTTTTGCCAGATTAGTACAAAGCTTATTTTCTACTAGTAAAGTCTATTCAATGAAATATCTAGAACATTTTGAAAAGATGTTTAAATTCTAAAAAGTTTAGGCTGATATTCTTCACATATGGAATGACGAAAAAGAGTTAATGGATCACTTTATTAACTGATAAAAATACAGGTGTCCAAGGACAGAGAGACAGTGGAGATGAAAACACTTACCATGCAAGCAACTGCAGCAGTGACAATGGTTTGAATCCTGGCACTGAGCACAGAGTCAGGAGTACTTTCCCTAAGTTCAGGGTCAAGAGTAGCCCATAAGTACTGCTGAGTGTGGCCTTTCCCCCAAAAATACTAGTGCTCGAGAAATTTAAAGCTAACGAAAACTGCCCTTTGTTATTCCAAAACTATAAAAAAAGTTTTCTACCTAAATAGAAGTCAAGATATCTCTCACCCAAATTGCTCGAGCGGGCCCAGTAACGTCTCCATTGGAGACTTTGTTGTTACTGTGTCTGGCATATCGAATACTCTCGGTAGCTTGCCGGGCTCTCCGAGAGGGGCGGAGGAATCGAACTCGGGTCGGCCATGTTGGCCGCTTGTAAGGCGAACGCCCTACCCGCTGTGCTATCGCTCCAGCCCAAGTTAAAAAAAAAAAAACCTGCTAATTTTTACTAAGAAAAGAATCACAAAAGTACTTTCACTCACTAATTTTTTGAGTATGGAACTATATGGCTCCAGAAATATAACATCTCTACATAGATTTTTTTTTCCTTTGGTGGAGGCAGGGGTGTGTTCATGTCTGGCAGTGTTCAGAGAGCACTCCTGATGGTGTTTGAGAAACCGTATGTAGTGCAGGAGATCAAACTAGGGTTGGAAGTGTACAAGGCAAGCTACAGTAACTCCCTTACTGTCTCTCTGGTCCCTATTTTACTTTAGTATGTGTATAACAAGTTGAAGGCAGACCGATTTTCATCCAAGTTATTTCTCCCTAGTTTTATTCTTCCATATGTATTCATAGAGTCTTTAGCTGTGTTAAAAATTTAACTGTGCTAAAAATGATACGCTAAGTTTCCAACTCCCAGAAAGTCTGAGTGTGACACTATTTAAAAATGCTAAAGGGTCACACCTGGCAATGCTCAGAGGTGACTCCTGGCTCTGCACTCAGGAATTACTCCTGGCAGTGCTCAGGGGACCATATGGGATGCTGGGAATCGAACCTGGGTCGGCTGCGTGCAAGGCAAATGCCCTACCTGCTGTACTATCACTCCAGCACATTCATCCCGTTTCTTAAGTTTGATTAAAAATGGGGGTGAGGTGCTAGCTTTGGCAGCACATATATTAAAATTGGACCGATATGGAGAAGATTAACATGGCACTTGTGCAAGGATGACAAGCAAATTCGTGAAGCGTTCCATATTTTTAGGAAAAAAAAATGGGGGTCAGTGAGATACCATAGAGGTCAAATGTGTTTGACCTGTTTTGATCCTGGTACCACATACATCACGGAACATCACCAGGTGTCAGTCCTGAGCAGAGCCATAAATAGCCCTTGGCATCACTAGGTGCAGCTCCAGTCACCACTGTCCTCCCTCATGCCAAGACATTTAATTAAAAACAAAAATAAAACTTAAGAGTTAAATAATTAGACAGCTTGATCAATAAATAATCTGAAGTTAAAAATAAAAAATTAACAAACATGTTCCACCCCATATTTCTATAGACATTTCCAATTGGAAGAAATAATTCCAAGTTTATTCAGTTTCCTGAGGAGAAGGGTCTTACAAAATAGGGTAGATGTGCAGGCTGGAGAGATACATGGCAGTTGGCCCAGGACTGCCAGGAGTGATCCCAAGTGCAGAGCAAGGAGTAAACCCTAGTATGGGCCAGTGTGGCCCCAAAACAAAAAATGAAATAAAAAAGATCTCAAGTTCATGTCTTCAAAATACTGTGTAACTCTAAAATACACTAAAAACTATTTAACTTGACTGCAAGGGTACTGCATAGCACTATGGGCCCAAGTAGCACCACAGGGCCCAAATAGGATCACATCTTCAAGCCTTAATACTCAACTGGCTGGTCTGGTACGCTGAGAATCACTGAGTACCATGAGTATCACTTGGGAACCTCTCTACCTCAAAATAAATAAATAAAGGTTTTATGTAAGACCCAGAGAATGAGTCAAAACTGCCTCTCTTTTTTCACTGCTTTTTCTACTGTTTTGGTTTCTAAAAATAGCTGCCTTATAAGAATATGTGGATCAAATGAGTTGAAAAAACATAGAATGGGGATGGAGAGAGATAATCACAGGGGCTAAGGTGCTTGCCTTGCATGCAGCTGACCCTGGTTCAATCTCTCATATATGGTCCCTCAAGCATTGCCAGGGGTGGCCGCTGAGCAGAGTCAGGAATAAGCACTGAGCACTGCTGGGTATGGCCCAAAACGAACAGAAACAAAAAAAATAAGAGATCAAGGCATAGTATACAGCAACAGTGATGTTCAATAAATGGCATCACTTACTATGTCCAGTGTATCTTACTACATTTGCAGAAATTTGTGAAATCTATTTTCTTGTCCGTCCTTCCTTCCTTCCTTCCTTCCTTCCTTCCTTCCTTCCTTCCTTCCTTCCTTCCTTCCTTCCTTCCTTCCTTCCTTCCTCCTTCCTCCCTCCTCCCTCCCTCCCTCCCTCCCTTCTCCTTTTTTTTGGTTGTTGGGCCACACCCAGTTGTGCTCAGACCTTTTTCCTAACTCTGTTCAGGGATCACTCCTGGTAATTCTCAGGGGATCTATGCAGTACCCGAGAATTGAATCTGGGTTGGTCACATGCAAAACCAAGTGCCTTACTCACTGTACTATATCTTTGACCTCTAAATATTTTTCAGCGTTTAGGGGCTGGAGTGATAGCACAGTGGGTAGGGCGTTTGCCTTGTACGCGGCCGACCTGGGTTCAATCCCCGGCATCCCATATGGCCCCCCAAGCACCGCCAGGAATAATTCCTGAGTGCAGAGCCAGGAATAACCCCTGAGCATCGCTGGGTATGAGCCAAAAAGCAAAAAAAAAAAAAAAAAAAAAAAACCACCTTTTTCAGTGTTTGTATTCATAGCAGAAAAAGAACTAATAGACCAGATTACTAATAGTTATTGAGGGCATTTTATTTTCTGTATTATAAATATCTTCAGTATTTGAATTTTATACTGTTTTAGTTAAAAAAATTTAAAGATTTAATTAACCTGTAGCTGTTACTGTGTACTTTCTCAACTGATACTAACAATACAAACTATCACAAAGATGAATTGATACTAAAAGTACAGACTGTCATGAAGATGTCCTTGAAATCTGATAATTAAACTACTATAACCATGTGACTTAAACTATAATAAAAAGGTTTTTGTGTTAAAAAGAAATCTTTGAAGTACTAAGAAACACCCTTTTGAATTAAAACTCAAAAAGTCCTCAATTCAAGAATGTAAGACAATGTTTCTTAATGTAACCAAAGATTCAGTAGAACAAGGAACATTAGTGTGAGAAACACAGTAAGGCAGAGGAGGATCAAAACAAGCCATGTGTAGGCTAGAAGTGATAGTACAGCAGGTAGGGTACTAGCCTTGATACAGCTGATCCTGTATGGTTTCCATTCCCCACCCTGCCCCATCCCCAGCACTGCCAGGAGTAGATCATGATTGCAGAGCCAGAAGTGACCACTGAGCAGTACCAAGCGTGGCCCCAAAAACAAATCAAACAAAAAACCCCTCCAAAAGCAAAACAACACCCAAAACCCTACCCTCAAACAAACAAACAAAAACCCCATGTGTTTTAATACTCAATTTAGGAACTATTTCTTTTGAACGTAATTTTGCCAAACCTGCAATTTACTTGAGATACTCAACTATAAAAAGAAAAGTGCATATTTAAACAAACTGCTTTTAAAAACAGTACCACTAAGATGCAAATTTATTAAAATTTTTTTTAATTAAATTGATTGTACCTGAAGGTTCCCATGAATCAGATGAGGATCTTTTTCTTGAGAAATGTCCATTTTCCTATTAGTAAAATGAAAAAAATACAGGAGTTGGAGGCAATAGAAAACGTGTACTCATTTATACACAAACTTCTAGACCGAATAAAACAAGCATCTACATTTTGGTAAATTACAATGTCTGTAATAAACTATCTTAAATTCTTAAATTTTAAGAAAAATGGGCATTTGTATCATAAAAACATCTTAAAATAGTTCTCCTAGTGCGATATTCATATTAGTCACTCAAGATTAATAACAGCACACTGCACTCTTATTATGCTAGGCTTCTAAGCATAAGTACCACCAAACACTGTCCCTGTTCCTGTCCTCCCGTTGTTCATCGATTTGCTCGAGCGGGCCCAGTAACGTCTCCATTGGAGACTTTGTTGTTACTGTGTTTGGCATATCGAATACATCACAGGCACCAAACACTGAAATCCTATAAAAATGAACAAATGTTACTCAACTCCATTTATCATTAGCAAATCTATTGCTAAAGGCACTAAACTCCTTGTAAATGTGCCTTAGATTTACAAATATTTTCCAGCAATATGTGTAATGCAACAATCTCCACTCATTTTTTTAATATCCTTTTTTTTTTTGTTTATCTAGCCTAAAAATCTCATAGCATTTAATATAACATTTTCTTCATATTTGACCGCTTACTTGCTTCGGTATATACAGAAGTTTGAAACCTTGACTTCCCAGGGGAAAGGTAAAATTTTAATACTAATCTAAGACCTACTCTCTAAAGAGAGATCTAATGCAGAAATCTAAATGCAGAGTTATAGATAGTTACTATGTCATCACTATCATTAAGTTTTCTAAGACCATTACTCAATTATCTAAGATTTATAGGGAAATGTTAACCAGATACTTTCAAACTTCAAAACACATCAGAGTCATCTTTCAAGGCTTTTAATCAACGTTGTTGGGCTCTCTATCCAGTTTCTGTTTTGGTGGGTTTAAAATCAGCCTAGGTATTTAAATTTTTACTAAGTTCCCAGATGAACCTGATGCAGCTAGTCTAGGGCACTAAGCCTTATGCTGAGATTATAGATTTTCAATTCCTCCAGTTATCCTAAGGACTGGAGCCTAATTTTCAGCAAAGTCTAATTTAATAATCACTTTACTTTCCTTAAAAAAAAATAAAAGCTTCAGTGTTTTCTAATAATGAACTTTGCTCCTGCTACGAATTATTATTTTAATTTTGTTTTTTGACCTCTAAATATTTTTCAGTGTTTAGGGGCTGGAGTGATAGCACAGTGGGTAGGGCATGGCTATGCTTCTGGCTTTTGAGTTCAGGAAAACTTAAATGGTGCCAGAGATCAAACCTGAGTCAGTCAGACTAATGAAAGACTTACTCACTGTATTATCTTTCTGGCCTCAGGTGTGGAAAAAAAAAAAGGGCAAGAAACACTACTGAGTTTGACAGAGTTCTAGGAAATCTAACGAAAACTGCATATGACCGTATTTCCTTAACGAAAGATACCAATTGTGTTATTGTTTTTGCATTTAGTATTCTAAAGACAATAAAGCAGAGGTAAAGCTTAATTCAGTAATTATTGTACATACAAGATTTTTTCTTTTTGGGTCACACCTGGTGATGCACAGGGGTTACTCCTGGCTCATGCACTCAGGAATTACTCCTGGTGGTGCTTGCGGGACCATATGGGATGCTGCGAATTGAACCCGTATCGGCCTCGTGTAAGGCAAAGGCCCTACCCTCTGAGCTATCACTCCAGCCCCAGTACATACCAGATTTGAAAGATTACTTTTTCCAGGGATGACATCATTCTGTTTACTCTGCTCCTGCACTGGTTTACATTTTCTTCCGACGCTAGAGGATTTTAAGGAAAGATTACTTGCTTCTGAAAAAGAATTTTCTGAGTTGATTCTCTGCTCCATTTGCTCCTTTCTCAACTTCTTTAGTTCTCTTTCTCTGCAGTAGGATGCTAGTGACAGCTGGAACTTAGCTCCCAGGGGGCTTTCTCCTGGGTGGTGCCTGGATAGGCTGCCCCTGCTGCTCAGACTTCTGGAGGTCTTGAAGATATCAGTGCCTGTGGTGTGCTTTGTGGAGTCTGAACTGGTCTTGCTTCGCTCTCGGTCCTTCTCTCTGCTCTTTTCGTGAATAAACAGAGACTTTCTTCTCTCTGGAGATCGATGTTTTTTCTTGAATGCTTTCATGTCTTTTGGCGAGTGGTATGAAGAAACATAGACTTTTGTAACTGCCTTTGGGTATTTCGTGGCTAGTGACACACAAGGCCGACGTGACTCATGTACACCATGATCTTTATGGTGTTCTTTGTCACCTTTCATGAAAGTCTCTAAAATAGGGCTTTTTTCTGATGACACCCTTTTGGGTTTAGATTTTTTTGGTGATGAATGTTTTCTTTCAAACTGTTCTGTCCCAGGGATGGACAAGCCACTTCCTCCATATTTGATGTTTGATTTTTGTGGAGAATCCAACATGTGTCTGTCTGAATAGCCAATAAAAACACATACAAATTGCATGTTATTAGAAAGAACACATTTTTGTATTATTTAAATTGTTACCACAAATTTAAAATGATAAACAAGTCAGTGGGAAAGGAGAAAATAGTTGGAGCAGTTTGTTAATATTCTTAATTTCATAAAGCATTCTGACAGGAATAAACTATTATATTAAAAAATTATAATAAAACAGTATTAAATGGAGTTATTAACTGGATTATTTTAAATGTTAGAAAACATAACTAGGGGCTGGAGACATAGCACAGCGGGTAGGGCGTTTGCCTTGCATGCAGACGACCTGGGTTCAATTCCCAGCATCCCATATGGTCCCCCGAGCACTGCCAGGAGTAATTCCTGAGTGCAGAGCCAGGAGTAACCCCTATGCATTGCCGGGTGTGACCCACAAAAAAAAAAAAGAACGCTATTCACAATGTTTAGAACTTACCTCTGGAAAAAAAGCACTGCATCTTCATATTTTTAATTCTGTACACTGTCTAATCAAACTAGTAAGTTTTCAGTGAATTGAAAACTGAATTCACCCATCTCCCAATCCCTGAAGATTCCACCAAAAAATGCATTAATAGTACACATACCTTGTTTTGAAGCTGGTCTGAAGAAATCTAAAATTGACTGCTTCCTGAAAATAAAAGCATAACTAATATGGTATCACATAAGTATTAAATTCTCAATAACTCAGATTAAGTGAATCTATAGAGGTTGAACTTCACTAATTGGTTTAATTATTTGGTCTGACAATGGTGGTAATGCTTTGCAAAGAAAATCAGAAAAATTCACTTCCTGCAGGAGTATTTATGAAAGCATAACTTGAAATTTATATACCATATAGTTATATAAATATATATAGTACTCTAAAAAATGATGATTGGAATGTGGATCTAAAGAATTTGCAGTGTCTTTTAGGACTGAAAAGTTTTCTGCTACAATATAGTAAAAGATATAGTAAAAGACCTTGAAGATGGAGACCTGATCCTATTCTTTGATATCTTTGGTGAATGGTACAAAATACTACTAAATAGATGTTTGTTAAATGGAAGGGAGTTTATAAAAAAAACAAGTAGTAATCAGGATCATAATTAAAGTAGATGAATGGCAATATAGTGATTTGCTGGTCTGGGGTGGCACTTGAAAAAGGGTGTGCTGTGAGCTGGAGATAGTACAGCAAGTAAGGTATATGCCTCCCATCCTGCAGACCTGGGTTCAAACCCTGGTACCCCAAATGATCACCCAGAACTACCAGGAGTGAGCACTGAGCACCACCCGGCGGGGTCCCAAAAGAAAACAAAACTATGACAGGGAAAAGGCAAGAAAGGATCCAGTATTAAGCATATATTATCCTCTGTTTATAATATAGTATGCTCCAATTTGTGTTATACCACATCCTACTGTGAACCATCAGCGGTATACATCAGAATCAATGTAACAGCAAAAATTAAGAGTGAGTCTTCACAACTAGTGTTTTAAAATCTTAAAATTTTAAAAGCAAAGAATTCTTACAATATTGACAAATACAACACACTGTCTGGGGAAGCACAAGAAAAGTTAAGAGAAAAAACTAAAAACCAAATCATTCTAATTCTTAGAGATTTCAGCAACCTACAAATGAACACAAAATGAAATAGGATCATATTACCAGAAATTGTATTCTGATTTGTTCATGTATTTAAAGCTTTGGTCAACTGCACAAAGCAAAAAATAATTTTCTGGCAAGTTTGCTAAAATGTATTCTTTACCAAAAGAGACAAATTATAAACAAAGTAATCATAAATATTTAGCCTCTATGAGGCTGGACTACTCAAAGAAAACCAACAATCCAATGCCCTTGAACTGGGCACATAAAAATTACACAGATCTTTAATGGCTTAACTCAGAGTTAGCAATGTTTGTCTGAAAAGCTGGTAGGAAAGCTAACTGGTTATGAAATGAGTGCCGAGCTAAAGAATATACATTTGTTTTCGTGACATACACTAACTCCACAAGAGAGTAAAAGGTAAAACACTAGAGGTTCTACGAGGAAAGGATGTGTTCAATTAGGAAAGACACAGGAATGAGAAGCAGCTAAAAACAAAATGTTTATAGATTACTAAGCATAACACTATAGCGCTTCCTAATAGTAGAGTCCACTCTCCTTTTATTGATAAAACAGAGAGAAATTGGTTTTGAGTAAAACACAAGAAATCTGGAAAATAATCACAAAAAAGAACAGTTCCCTAAATTTGTTAAGCATGGAAATACCAATTACTTATGATTAATTAATAATTTAACAGTTCACAAACCCTTATCTGATTCTTCTGGGGTGAACTGTGTTTTAGAATTTGGAATATACTGGGGTCTAGAAAGGGGTGACTTGGCTGTAGTATGTAAGGCCTCCACTGAGGTCTGACACTGAATCCCAAATTCTCCAAGAAAAATTTAGGAATCTTAACACTTAATGGGATTGGGGCTGGAGAGACAGTATATGCTGCGGACCCGGGTTTGATCTCGGGTACCACATATGGACCCCCAGCATGCAAGAGTAATTCCTGAGCACAGAGCCACAAGTAACCCCCTGAGCACTGCTGGATGTGGCCCCCAAACCAAAAACAAATAAATAATTAAAAAAAAAACCCCACTCAATGGAATAAAGACCATATGAGTTCTAGCCAGGTTTGGCTGCCAAGTAACATGTGATGCCAAGCCATTAAAACTTTTGGTTCTTAAAGCTTTCAGGATCGAGACAAGGGGTTGTGGACCTATATCCCAATATAAAAGACAACTTTACTGTTCAATGTACAGGCTTTTAACCTTAAAATAAAAAAGACAGTACCAAGTGGGTAGAGAATTTAAACATATTTTATTGTCAGAGGATGTCATTGAATGAAACTCCCCATCTCATTACACAGCACCCACAGAATCTTTCAAAAAACAAAAACAAAAACTGGCCTCCGGGAGAGGCGGAAAGATACCTAAAGGGGAAACATCATCTTCTGAATCTCCCGTCTTTCAGATATGGATCACCGTGTAATGTGGACTCCTACAGAGTAATTCGCGGACGGGCTCGCCTCGGCTCACCTTGTTACATAATTTCACACCTCTCCCCCCCCCCCCTCCGCCCCCCATAAGAGCTGGATTACGCTAGGAAGCCACTCAGATCGCACAAGACCTTGACAACGGACAGAAAACGACCTAAACGTGCACCGAGCAGTTAGGGCCCAGGGTCCAGCCGGCGTAAAGGACAAAAATCACGTTCTACCTAAGGCGGGTTCTCCGTAGCCGTCCAGGCTGCGGTCACTAGCCCGAGACCAGCGTCCCAACTCCAGGCAAGGAAACTCCAACTCCCAGAAGCCCCCGCGCGAAGGCGGGGCGGGGGGTTGCCAGGCCCCGGAACCCCGAGGCGGACGCTCGCGGAGGATGGCGGGAACTGGGAGCGCGGCCGTCCGCAGTCCTCCCTCATACCCTTGCCCCCGCGACCCGGCCCCTTCTCCAGCCCTCTGCACGGTACCTGTCCCCCGGGCTCTCTGTTCTCTTTCCCGCTGCAGCAGGAGCGGTACTACCGGGTCGCAGATGGCAGCGCGGGGGCGACGACCCCGGGGCTGGGGATGAGGGGAAACCTGGCCTAGCGGACATGTAGCGCCTTGTCATGTCGGCGCCGCTGGCGACGGCGGCATGAGCTGTGGCCGGCGAAGTTGGGTGCGTGGTTGCCGTCTTGCTGCTGGGATTCGGCGAGGCTGTCGGAGCAGAGGTGGGCGGCACCCCCTTCTATCTTCATGGCGGTTCTCTCTCTTCGGAAGTGACTCCGGTGTGAGCGGGAAGGAACCTGAGGACCAGCGGGGGGCGGGCCGTGCCTGAAGCGTCGCGTTTGGATTGGCTAGCCTGGCGGTCCTTCTGGCCGTGGCGCAATAGGCAGCCGCGGCCTCTCGGGGGAGGCGGGGTTTCGGGAAGGGGGCGGGGAAAAGGAAAACAGCCCTCCGCACTCCGCCCCCCGCCTCCCGCCTCCCGCCTCCCCCCCGCCTCCCGCGCCACTCCATCACGTGCGCTCGCGGGGAGCGCACTGCCGCGTCCCGGCAGCTTTGGCCTTGGCGGGCGCGCGGGGGCGGGAAGGCGCGGGCCCACCCGACTGGCGCTGCAAGCGCTGCAGGCGCTGCGGCGCCTGGTACCGGCTGGCAGATCGAGGGCCTGGGGGCGAGATGTGCACGAGAGAATGCGAACCCGGCAGCTGCCTCAGTGACAACGACCACCAGTTGTGCCTCAGTACCCCGCTGCTGTCCATCACATGCAGCTGTCCATCTCCTTATCGTCTTAAGGTTAAAGTGCCCTAATGCTGTCATCATTTCCTCCGAAGCCTGCACGGCCTTCTGTTTAGATAGGGCCATTTATGAGGTTTAAGTCCAGAGCTGGAATCCCCCCTCTTTTGCCGACCCCCCCCGCCCCAAAAAAGAAAACAACATTGAAATAAATATTATTGCACATAAACACTTCGTTCCTCAACTGTAGAAAGGTGGTTTCGGTGCCTTTTACGCCCGGGGTTTTGAGTAAAACCCAATGGGTCAATTCTCAATGATGCCCAACGAGAGAAGTCTGGTATTGTGAATCTGCTGGTGGTCTCATCCTTCTTCGGAAAGGACTTATGCATCGGAGAATGCAGGCCAGGCTTTTCCTTACGACCTGAGATCCGCTTCCATAGCTATAAAACAGGTGTAATTCATTTCTGGATAGTCACCAACTACCTGGGGAATAGTGTTTCTGCACCACCGGGTCCAGAGTCTCTACCAAGCACCAAGCAAGTTACTGTTACCTTTCCTTTGTCACACTTTAGCACTTGATTATTGTCAGGACCAGTCCCAGTGGTCTTTGACCCTGGTGGGATGTTGGGGGTGCATTTACAAGCAGGAGGTGCCTCTCTTCTGCTCAGCATCTGCACTACCCCTGAAGCTATCTCCTCAGACCGTTCTTAACACTTTAACACTAAAATGTTCCAAAGACAGGCCAGATATTGCAATCATACCTGTTAATTAAAATGCCCATAGAAGGCTACACAGAGATTGGCAGACCTGGTCAATTAATCAATGGAACAAAATCTTATCGCAAAAGGATTTAGCCTTTAAAGTTTAAAGTAAAGATTTAAGTGCTGCGGTAGCTGGACTTATTCGACTGGCCTGAAGTTCAGCTCCTTTCCCTTCCTTTCTCCTAATAACTGAGAACTTACCGCACCTAGCATTGTTCCTTACATAAAAAGAACATAATAGATACGCAAAATATGTTGAGTGAATAATGATGATACACTTGTTTATTGAAGCTCATTTCCTTATTATTCTATCTCTTGTAGTAGCACTTTTTTTTCTGTTAGTTGTTCCTACACTGGTAAGCTCATGCTTCTGTAACAGCACATCCACAAACATTTAATCTGCTCTGTTTCATTGCATGCTCAGCCCATAAAGGAGTAATGCATAAAAACATGTTCTGCATGATCAATTACTTGCTTTTCTTGGATTATAGTATTTGAATCATCCAGCCTTTAAAAGTATCACTTTAAGTCTGTATTCATGCTAGCGAACAATAGTTTTCACATTTTCTTAATCTGAGCAACAGATTATAGAGTTAAGTGAGGCAAGAAATCCCTTGATCAATAAAGGGAGATGGAGTCATAATGAAAACACAATTTAAAAAATCTCTTCTTAACAGGGCAGTAGTTATCTAAATCCTCAATAAGCATCAAGGCTTTTCTTTGTTTAGGCTGTATGTGATAACGGTACAGATTTGGGTTGCCCAGTGAGATACGCTCAACATACTAACCAGAAACTACTGGGAATGTTTCTTAAGAATCCTCCCACCCACTCCAGGAAATAGTGTTAAAAGTCTGTTTTGTCTTCATACTCCTTTTCTTTTGAGTAAGTTTATATATTTACACTATATGCATACACATGCACATACACAGTTAATGTAAGGATTTTTTAAAAACATTAATTTGTACAGAGGACCCAGAAGCATATGTTCCGCAAAAGATGTTAAAGACCTCTCTCTGGTGTTAGCATGTGAGGAGGCAAGAGGAGAGAGAGAGAGACTAAAGTGGGTCTGGAGAGAGAAATGATGAAAGAAGTAGACAGGACTAAATTAAAGATCGCAACAATTTCAGGGAAGATGGAGGAAATAATTTGGAGAAATTAAGACTAGATGGACACTAAAGGCTAGTTTGAGTTTTTGCTTTTGTTTTATTTTGGGGCCAGATCTGGCAGTGCTCAGGGCTTACTCCCGGCTCTGCACTCAGGGATTGCTCCTGGTTGATCTTGGGGGACATATTGGATGCTGGTGATCGAACCCAGGTGGACCCATGTGCAAGGCAAGTACCCCACCCACTGTACTATTGCTCTGGTCCCTAAAAAGGCTTGTTAGAGAAGCTTTCTGGGCATGAAGATGACTAGGGTGATAAGGAAGCAGGAATGGGGGAACTGGGTGGCATTTACTCCTGTGAGTAAATTCTGTGGGGGTTTAGTTCAGTTTAGTACCCCGGTTTAGGAAGTATCCTGGGTGGTAAAAAGACAATAGGAGAGCTGCCTCTGACTTTGTGGGAAACAGCAGCAGAAACAAAATGACAAGAACAAAAGATTAAGTTTTTTGGGAGAGTCAAAAGGTGGATGTGCAAAGAGAAGTGACTGTCTAGCTGATGACAAGAGTCCCAGATCACAAAGAGAAAACAACTTGGGCAGAGTAGTTCAAAATGTAACTTGGTAGGCATGTACTAAAAGAGCATGAGGTCCATATAAATGCTAATGTTTCTAGTAGCAGGGAACTCTAAATGTAACTTCTGACTCCACAATAATGACCTACATTCACTCACTCGGAAATTGCTACATTCTGGAGTAAACTCCCAAGGCCTTTCTTAGGGGAATAGGCCAAGAAACAAAGAAGGTTTGCAGAAATAGTGCCCTCCCTCTCTTCCTCTCTGTCTTCTTCCCTCTCTCTCCTCTCTCTCTCTCCCTCTCCCACCCACCATCTCTCTCTTTCTCTCTCTCTGTCTCTCTCTCTGTCTCTCTGTCTCTCTGTCTCTGTCTCTGTCTCTCTCTGTCTCTGTCTCTCTCTCTCTCTCTGTCTCTCTCTCTCTCTCTGTCTAGGGGAGGGGAGAAAGTGACCTAGGAAAGGGGATAATGAACAGATACAGAGAAGCTTGAAAACTTAGAGAAAGTAAAATCACTTGATGATCCAATGAGGGGTAAGCTCCAGCTCTTTAAGATCTGTGCAAATCATTTTGCAAATGGTTGCTGAGCTCAAAACCACCCAAATGCTTAGAAAGAAAGCACTGGCTTGGTTTAAAGCCAAAGGCAGTGTAATGTGATGTCATGTAACCTAAACTTCCTGGGAGTAATTAGTAGAAGTTTGCAAAAAACAGATCTGAGTACATTTATTTTAAAAGAAAACTTTTCATAAGTGGAAAATCAGTTTCACTTGGAAATTGACAAATTTCCAAATGAAAATTAACTGAAAACTTAGAACTTAAATTTAAAATAATTGGTTTAAAAACTACATATACATTCCAGTTTCTTCTAGAATGGTATTGTTTACTAGTAGGATGAAGCATAAATATTACTAAGGCATCTGAAAGCAAAGAAACTCTGGAATTTTTCTCTAGCCTCTTAACTACATTTTTTTTTTACACTCAGCAGCTCACTAAAGGATTTTGAAATCGATGTCATGGGTCACAGACCACATTGAAAAATTTGAAAGAAGGAATGGAATTGAGAATATTGGTGCATATCATGTAGTGTAGGGGTATGTGCTGCTTTGCAAAACTTCCATTTTTATACGTAATTTATATGGTAGTAATTTAAAAGTGTTTCTGTGACCCTACTGTGGACCATGGTCAAATCACTTGAAAATGATTGCTAAAGTCTGAATTCATATTTTATTCTTCTGTATCAGTGGCACCACACAACAGAAGCTGGGCGAAGAGAGAGTATAGTGGGTAGGGCACTTGCCTTATTTTTAATACAAGGGTAAAGGTAAGGTAAAGGCCCTCCCGTTGATCGTCGATTTGCTCGAGCGGGCCCAGTAACGTCTCCATTGGAGACTTTGTTGTTACTGTGTCTGGCATATCGAATACGTGTCTCGGGTAGCTTGCCAGGCTCTGCCGAGCGGGCGAGATACTCTCGGTAGCTTGCCGGGCTCTCCGAGAGGGGCGGAGGAATCGAACTCGGGTCGGCCATGTTGGCCGCGTGTAAGGCGAACGCCCTACCCGCTGTGCTATACATATAGTCATAAATAAAATATAGGATGGGGCTAGAGAGCTACTACAGGAATTAATACACTTGGTCAAAACTGACCTGGGTTCAATTCCTGGCATCCTGTATGGTTCCCTGAGCATGCCAGGAGTAATTACTGAGCACAAAGTCAGGAATAAACCCTGCTTACCTTGAATGTAGCCCAAATTCAGAAAGAAAAAAAGTCTCACAATGTTACTGGGCCCGCTTGAGCAAATCCATGAACAACAGGAGGACAGTGCTACAGTGCAGGTGTGTGTAGGGTTGGTGGGGGGGTACACTCAGCTGTACTCAGGGCTTACTCCTGGCTCTAGAGTTCAAGGGTCACTCCTTGCAAGGCTCAAGGGAGATATGTGGTGCCAGGAATGAAATCTGGGCTGGCTGCACGCCAGGCAAGTACTTAACCCATTGTATTTCTCTCCAGTCCTAGTTCATATTTATCTTAAAAGATTTGCATGCACATGCATTTTATTTATATATACTGGTCATCTTGTCACATAGGTTGTTCATTACAAACAATGCCATCATTGACATCTATGTACATAATTTTTGTGCCCACATCCAAGAATTTCTTTTTTGTTTTGGGAGCCATACCCAGCAGTGCTCAGGTTTTTCTTCTGGCTCTGCACTCAGAGATCACTCCTGGTGGTGCTCCAGGGAATGTCACAGATTGAACTCAGGTTGGCCACATGAAGTAAATGCCCTCCCTACTATACTATCATTCCATTT